CTGGCAGCCATCCTCCCCTCCCTGCCTCTCTCCAGGTGGCCCTCAGCCACAGAGGGGTCCTCACTCCTTTTTACCAGCACAGCCTCTATTTCTGCCCTGTCGATGGGGCCCTGGGGCTGGTGGGAGCACCATGGACCCTAGACTGGCAACCGAGAGCAGCTGACATTCCTGCCTGAGAGGCTGGGGCCCTCGGCTCGCTGTGCACCCAATGGTCAGCTCTGTAACTCTGAGCAAGTGAAACCACCTCTCCGGCGCTCACCTCTGAACCTCGTTCGGAGAAGATTCAGTGACATTGTGAAGAGTTTTTAGTCCTGTACTCCAAATGGTGTCTGTGCTCAATGAAATTTTGTGATTGCTTTCTATTTGGACCATAAGCACTTTTTAAAAAAAACTTTCTTTTATTGATTATGCCATTACATTTGTTCTATTCCCCCTTCCTTTCCCCTCCACCCTGCATACCCCTCCCCCACCATTTCTTTCCCTTTAGTTCATGACCACGTGTCTCAAGTTCTTTAGATTCTGTATTTCCCATACTATTCCTACCCTCCCCCCATCTACTTTCTATCTACTGTCTATGCTACTTATTTTCTGTATCTTCTCCCCCCTTCTCCTCCTCCTCCCCTGTTGCTAACCCTCCACGTGATCTTCATTTCTATGGTTCTGCTCCTGATCTAGGTGTCCTCTTAATTTGCTTTTGTTTTAGGTGTGGTTGTTAATAACTGTGAGTTTGCTGTCCTTTCACTGTTCATCTTTTTTTATCTTCTTTTTCTTAGGTAAGTCCCTTTAATATAATAAGGGCTTGGTGATGATGAACTCCTTGAATTTTGGACCGTCAGCACTTTTTTGCAGATGCATCGGTTCTGGTAAGATGACATGTAACCTTCGGGGCTTAGCACAGACCAGCATTCCCTCCATGAAAGTGGTGTCCAAATGAGTCTGCGTGACTCACCGGAGGACTTTAACTGAGCAAGCCCAAAGACAAGCCATGTGAAGTGACCATTTCATTTCTTCCTTCCTTCATTCAGTGATTCAATAAACACTCGTTGTGCCAACTGTGTTCCTGTCCAGGCCATTGAGAAACTCATAGGCTGAAGGAGGAGGCTGACCCAAGATCAAGCTCAGCCCCGAGCCTCATCACAGCCCAGAGATAAAAGATAATAGTGCAACTTGGGCATAGGTAGTGGTCAGGGAAGACTCCCTGGAGTAGGTTTCAGGGGTAGTGAAGTTCAAGTTCCAGGTGGGCAAACAAAGATGTGGTGGCAGAGCCCTCCAGGAAGGAATATAAATAAAAAGGGCAGAGAGATGAGAGAGGAATGAGTGGGGTGGGTACGGAAGGTTCGAGAGTGTGTGAGGAGAGTGGTGAGACGTGAGGTTGGAGACCAGCCTGGAGGTGGTCCTGGTGGCCCCATGGGCTGCAGGGCAGGGCTAGAGCTTTGCCCTGAGGACGGTGGAGAGCCCCTGACACAGGAGTGCCATGGCCAGCTTTGCATTTTTTAAAAAAGCTTTTGAGGCCTGGTAGGCATCTAGGGATTGCCTTGGGGTACTTGGTATCAGATTGGTCAAAACTCTAAAGAATAAGAGATTCCTGGGCCAGAGTGGGACCAAGGCAGCAGGTATCATGAGAAACTGCTGTTGGCAAGGTCACTGCTACAGCCTTTTCAATTGAGAATCTGTCTGCATCTGTTAAAATTTTACCTGTGCGTGACCCTCCGCCAGCAATTGGCATCTATCTCCAGCTGCGTATATTATATATACTGTGTTCTGAATTGTGTAACCCCAATTTTTGTGAGTTCAGAAGGAGAACTGTACCCAGCATGGCCTGGGATGAGACACTGACGCAAACAAGGCCCTCAGTGTAGCCTTGCGAGACCCTAAGCAGAAGCCCCTTTTGGGCTTGGACTACTGAACCACGGAAACTGTGACATAATAAAAGTTATTTTAAACCACGAAGTTTGTAGTAATATTGTTATGCAGCATAACCACTAATGCAGAGACCTGTGTATTTTGTCATAAACAGATTAAAAGTGAGAGATAAAGATTTGATCTATTCAAAATTTTCTTTGCATACCATTTATATCTGGAGAGTTTTGCTAACCAGTGGAATGACTACACCAAAAAAAAAAGAGGTCTATTTTATATCAGACATATCTGTATTCAAAATTCAACCTCCTGGGTCCAGAAAGGAATTGCTCCTTGTCTGGAGGACACAGTGGAAGAGCAGCAAGTTGGTGGCCTGCAGGAGTCTACGCCAGTGTGCCTGTGTTCTGTGGAAGCAGATGCCCAATGGCAGCAGGGCAGAATGAGAGGATGGAGAAGACAGATGGTTGTTCTCTGAAACCACCAGAAGTGTGGTTTGGACCCCCATGAGCAGAGCATTTTGAGGCAGAAGCAGAAGATTTGTTTTCTTAAGAGACTTTGTCGATCATGAGTCCAAACAGAGTTTTTAGTGACTTTGGAGTGCTGCAGGGGGCCAAGTGACATGTTCTGCCAGGAAAGAAGCCACTGCTCCTGCACCTGAGGACCAGCAGTCTTTAGGAGTGCTGGAGGGAAACTCTTAGCATAGGCCTGGTGTCCTCGCAGAGAACATCATTGGCTGAGGCCACAGAGAGGCATGTGGAGAGGGTTTATGGGCAGACAAAGAAGAATCCAGGAGGGAGAGCTGGTGAACCCTGTCAGTGACGCTACCTCACAGATGGACCAGTAAGCAGCGTAAGATACTCTTTGTGGATTGTGCTGCTCCGGTTCCCTAGAAAACGGAGCTGATAGGGTAATGTTTGATGCTTACTGGTGCTTAGACCCCATAGAGAGAGAATGAAGTCCTGTTCTGGCACCGCTTCACTAGACTTCCAGAACCTCAGCTGACCCCTGGGCAGGTGTGCCCAGTCAGTCACACAGGGCATCTAACTGGCTGTGTGGAGAAACCATGCTTCAGAACAGTGCACCAGAGGGAGAAGAAAGAAGACTTCAGAAATGGCTCCTTTTTGCCTGTTCCTGTTACCAGGAGAGACTGGAGTTGGGGACCCGATGGAACTTCTCAGTTCCCGTCTCTCAAGACTTCTCATTCAAGTGAGAGACAAACACATACAGTGGAAATGAGATAGCAAGTTTATTTATGAAACAGACACGAGTACAAAACTGCAAGCTGGCACCTGGCTAGTCTGAATGCCCACGTATAGAGGAAATACAGTTGTTAGTAAGCTTGTTAGTAAGTTAGTAAATTTGTTAGATACACTTGAGTTGAGGCTACAAGTGGGCACTCAGCTAATCTGAATGCACCAACTACTGGGGTTCAGGGGTTACATACCTTAGTCAGCTTTCAGATTCCCCCTCCTCCCTCTTATAAATTTTGGGAATAAGGCACAACTAGAAAGGCTTTCTTTCTCAGTTAGTAGAGGCTCTTTGTGTTAGTTAGAGAAGTTGTTACAGAGGCTTCTTTCCCAGCACAGAGTCTCAAGGACTCCCCTTCTGCTGCACTGTTTTTGCTTCTGATGTTTGGAAGACCTTGGCAATCTTATCGGACCAGGCTCAGGACCGCTGAGTTAACTGGTGAGATGTGACTTCCTTTTGTTTCCTGCCTCCTGTTTTCAGTTCTTTGTTACATTATAATGGTGAGGTCCCTGGTTTATTTTCCCTCTGGGTGCTCATTTCTAGCTGCTTCCTACAGTGACATTCCCACAAACCAAAAATTTCCCCCTTATCCTCAGGCCAGGGCAGTTTGGGATATTTTGGTGTTAGAGAAATGACTAGAGTGCAAGGCAGATTACTTTAAGCTCTAAAGAGAGGCCTGGTCTTAGTCTGTTTGGGCTGCTATGACAAAAATAGCATAAATCATGTGGCTAATAAATAACACTTTATTTTTCACAGTTCTGAGGGCTAGGAAGTTCAAGATGATGGTGCTGGCAGATTTAGTATCTTCTGAGTGCCTGCCTTCTGGCTCACAGATAGCCATACTTTTGCTGTGTCCTCACTTGGTGGAAGGGCACTAATGCCACTCATGAATGCTCCACCCTCATGCCCTAAGCACTTCCTGAAGGTACCACCTCCAAACACCATCACATACAGTGTATGGTTTCCACATAGGAATTTGGGGGAGTTACAGGTATTCAGCCCTCAGTAGGCTCCTTCTTGGAGTGAAGTCTTCTGAGAAGAGGCATTTGAGCTAAACCCTGAAGGCTGACATTCCAAATAAAGGGACGAGGATATGCCCAGATACCAAGGCCACAAAGTACAAGGAGTGTTTGGGGAATCTCAGGAGACCATTTTAGTTCAGACACAGAGTTTCAACCAATTTTACACTTCTGGATAAAGAATTTGAACTTTATTTCTTAGGTAATAAGATGTCCATCGATAGTTTTAACCTAGAGATACTACACAATGGGAGCTTAGAGCTCAAGAAAGTTTTCTGGTTCCCATAAGTATGATAGTGTACAGTTAAATCCACAGAAAGGGAGAGCAAGATAAAGCTGAGCTTCCTAACCCAGGTCTGGGAATCACCTGGGGGTGTGCACGTGAAGCTCAGAAACTGCATACAGTATTTTCGTGAGAACCTCCATACTTTCAATTTTTCAAAGGGTCGGCCCCTACAGGTTTAAAGTGCACTAGCAAAGAGAGAAAATCAGCATGCTCCTTCTCTTCCCCCAAACCTGGAGGGAGGTACATCCCATCTGGGGGTCAGCAAAACTAACCCGAGGAAAGTCTGCTAGGTCAGACTTAAGTGGCAGTTCAGGTTCCTAGTGGGATGACCTGGAGAAGATGTGGACACCAGAAGGGTCCTGTCACTATACAGATTCTAGCTGATTTGGTCCTGCTTCCTAGCTGGATGCTCTGCTGGGGAGGGAGCTGGTACCCAGCCAGAAGGTGGTACCTAGCCAGAAGGTGGCACCCAACCAGCTTGGGTACTCCAGCATCTTTACTCATATGGACTTGCCGCTGATTGCCAGGAGCCCAGACCCTATCTCTCAAGGCTCCGCCCCCTGGCCCTGCGCGAAGCAGGACGGGAAACCAAGATGGACGCTTCCATTTGACTACCTTTCCTGAGCGGGGAAACTTACGCCCGCCGTCCTCAGTTGCTGCTCGCTCTTCAGCAGTGGGGGAAGGAGAGGGAATGAAAAGTTGCAGCGGCGGAGGAGTCCCGGTGAACGACTCTGCTGTTGCCCTGGGGGCGCAGCCAGGGCTCGCTGCGCCTGACGCGTCCTGAGTTACTCAGGTAAGGGCCCGCTCGGCAGAGCTGGTGATGACCGCGTGTCCCCTAACTCTCGCACACTACCTAGCCTGGTAGCTCGGAACCGGAGAGAGGACCGGGAGCACGGGCGTGACATGTCCTGTGGGCTGGGGTCTGCGGTGCACCTTGCCGCGTCTCCTCTCTGGCCTCCTTCCTTAGCTAAAACGCGGTGTTCAGGTGCTGCGTCTGCTCCCCGATTGGCCCCTTCCCTTCGGACAGGGTTTTCTGAGGCCCAGGTTCTTAGTCTGTTTTTTTCACCCACCCCTAGACAGGCCGAGGAAGCTCTGCCCTTTTGCGGAGACTTAACTCTGGTGTGCCTTTGGGTTTCCGCTTGAACGAGCTTTGTGGTTACCTTTGGCAGGGTAGTTTTTGTTCCTAGCGAGCAATGCAGATGTCCTGTTTTTAACACATCAATTTAATACAGTACTTTTATATGTAGCTCCTGATGTTGTTCCTGGTACACATCAGTTTGTGGTGCTGTACAAGTATTCAATATATTGCCTTAGCACAAAATGATGTTGTACTGTGAAGATAATTCTATAATACTTTTGTAATTTTTCTCTCAAAAGTTTTAAGATGTTGGTTATCCTGTTGACTAAAATTTAGGAAGACCAGATGATTTTTTGGGAGGGTACATTTTATTAGGTACTCTTTCAGGCATGTCCCAAGTTTAAGTGGTCTCAGTACTGACTTCTCGGAAGGAGGAAAAAATGTCATGATTGTAACATAACAGTTATGTCAGAAATACCATTTAATTCATAGCAAAAGTAATTGCAGCTCTAGAGGAGCTGCATAGGAACCACAGAGGCTTTGAGATATTGCAGCCAAGAAACCTACTGGTGCCACAAAGACTTCAGAGGAGAAACTAAGTCAAATTAAACTTTTCATTGTAAATGCGTTCCAAACACTGTTTTTAATGGTTGTCTACAGTGCTGACATGAATGTTTGTTTTGATTTCTGTATTTGAGGATTGCAGTTTAACTGTGAAGCCATAATCCCCCACCCTCTTAAAAATACATGTTTATTGATTTAAGGGGGAGGGGAGAGTAAGATAGAGGGGGTGACAGAGACAGAGACATACATGGATGTGAGAAACATGATTGGATGCCTCCCATCATGCCGAACTAGGGATTGATCCTGCAACCTCTAGGTAGTATGTTCCCTGACCAGGAACAAACCCCCAACCTTTTGGTGTATGGGATAATGCTCCAATCAACTGAGCCACATTGGCCAGGGCACAAAACCCTTTTCTTATATAAGTGTTGTCTTGGAGACAAAACTGGCACCCACCTTATATGCCACATTATATAGGGTCAGAATTTGACTGCTGGGCATTGCATATAGAAATGGTTTGGAAGCAGAGGGCCATATTTCCACCCACAGCTCATCCAGTTCTTTGTGCTAATAAACTGAACTCTGATATGTTATGATAATTCAAGGCTAGGACTCATAAATTTTCAAACAAGCAGGACTGTCCCATTGCCAGAGTTACTTTATTTGTGCCTTGATGTTTGGACCAAAAATTGGAATTGATTGTAGTTGTATGTTTGGGTGGATTGGAGCTCAAGATTACTGATGACATTTGATAGTTTCTTAAAGCTGGAAGTAGTTTAACTTTTGATGAATTAGAAGTCATATGTGGTTTTTGTTCATTTCAGTATGCCAGTGATCTTTTAGGTGTGCTTTTGAAATGAGGTTCCAGCATCTGAACAGAAATGCCCTTAACGTTGAGAGCCATTTAGTATAAAACTTGTCCAAATACTTCAGTGTAAAGTGTGGAGAAATTAGTGTGTGGTATAGGTGTTGTGGGACATAAGTGCTTGTCTGAACCCAGTAGTTTCCTAGGGTGTTAACTGTTAATTGTTGATTTGTCTGCAACTAAAATGTAACTGTAATGTTAGTTGTGTGATGCTAATGTAACTGTAAAATGATAACTGTGATTACCTGAAAAATCAGAGCTGGTGCTCCCTTTGATGTTATGATTATGTGTATATATATATAACATTATGCATAGGATTGTGTGACACTTATCCAAGGATTAATGACTGTTCTGTAACATTTTATGGTATTTTTCTTCTGACTTTGACTCCAACAGCTGACCATAGTGTGTTTGAATTCTTTTAGAAATAATGTTGATATCTGGAACCCATGTCGAACTTCTATGAAGAAAGGGCAACAATGATTGCAGCTGGGGATTTGCAGGAATTTGTTCCTTTTGGTCGAGACCACTGCAAGCATCACCCTAATGCTTTGAATCTTCAGCTTCGTCAGCTTCAGCCAGCGTCTGAGTTATGGTCTTCTGATGGTGCTGCTGGTTTGGTGGGATCTCTTCAGGAGGTTACAATCCACGAGAAACAGAAGGTTCTCTTAAGATTCTCAGTTTTGTTTTTGAAATGTAGAGAGACGTGATCTACTTGTAATGTAAGGCTATTAGATACAACTGAGAAATGAGTTTGGTGATGGTATTTCCAGGGTAGAGGTTAAGATTTGGTAATTTTATTCAAGGCTAAAATAATGATCTTACTGTATTATGGTGTCATAGCTGTTAATTAGACATGTAACTCATGGACTTGTAATGAGAGTTACTATCATTCAGGTCCATTTTAAACCTCTTTTTCCACTCAGTATGTGAGGACCAGATTTCATGTTATTTGATGGTTAAATAGTAGAGTTAGAAATGGTCCCTACTGCTAAAAAGTTCCATGTTCATAGAGAAGAAAAGAAATGCCACGTGAGTAGATACAGTACTAGTTTTTAAATAGGGGAATGACATGTAAGTGTGTGTCAAAGTCGGTGGTTCTCATCTTACTCTGTTTTCATAGTTTGGGATACCAAAATCTCAGGGAGGGGAAGTCTGCGTAGTCACAAATCTAAACCTTTCTCTGCCTTGTTCATTTGACAGTTGGGACAAGGGAAGGAAGGTGAATGGATGTGCATTTGTGAAGCAGGGAAATCTGCATGGTGTATATAAGCTCCCGGTGTCCCGTGTGCACCTCACTGCTTTCTCTTCACCCCTCCCCCAATATGCTTATTATTTCTTTTTTGTTTCCCAAACATGCTGGTTTAATTTTTATATATATAGGTCAGGTATAAATTTTGTTTGTTTACAGTTTTGGCAGCATAATATGGTAGTACAATATAAAACATTTAATATAGAGAATTCTTGAGCATAATCACGGAGTCCTGTAAGATACCTGATTCATACACCCACACCCCCCACTCTGTTAACAGTCAGTGGCATCAGACCTTTTAAGAGTTGGGCTCTACTGAGTCTTACTCCACAGGAAAAAAGAGAGAGTAGGAGGATTGTATTTGGATGGCTGTTTGATTTTAATTAATAAATCTTGCTCCATACTGTTGAAAAAGAAATAAAAACAGTGCTTGAACATGTCTTACATATGTAAATTTTGAAGGAAAGCTGGCAGTTAAGAAAAGGTGGAAGCGAAATTGGAGAAGTGGATTATGATGAGGAACTCTATGTGGCTGGAAATATGGTGATCTGGAGCAGAGGAAGTAAAAGCCAGGCCTTGGCTGTTTATAAAGCCTTTACAGTTGATAGTCCTGTTCAACAGGTGAGTTGATCGGAGTTTTAGTATTTGATTGATCTTTTTTTTTTTTTTTTTAAACAAAGCTTTTGCTTGAAATTTAACAGAAATGATAAAAACAGCATAATGATCCCAGAACTGGGTGTACATTTTTAACATGTGGTGAAGATAATGCTGGGGAAATAAAAATTTCATTTATTTTCTGTATCATCACTTTTTTACACTATTGTTTGTTAATTTAAAGGAAATGTTTGAACATTCGAGTAACTTGGTTTATTATTGTCAATAAAAATTTATAAGACATTAAGGGTACAAAACTAAATTAACACATGATTATATTTCATTGGGAAGTATTAAATAAATAAAAAGCAGGTTCATTATAAAAGAGTAAGAGAAAGGAAAAAATCAAACTTACTGTCATTGTACTTGGCTGTTAAACTTTATTCTAACAATTAGTGACTAAAGGGATAGAATTAACTATTACTCGTTCAGCTTTTTTAGGAAGACATGCAGGTTTATTTCCAGCTAAAGAAGGAAACCATTATTTAAAGGACATTGCCAGCTAATAAATATAGAAGGAATGGTAGAATTAGAAAATGACCATTTTGTACCCTTCATTGTGATCACTGGTTCAGACAAGGTTTGTAAATAGATAGTAATGCTATTGGGTGACAGGTGTTAGCATGGCATGAAGGTGTCACCCAAGATGAAGGAACAAATACATCTACTTTGAAGCTGCGTGGTGTTCTCCACCTCAACAACGTGATGGGTTTGCCACCACTCGTAGGGAACAAAGGAATGTTCTTATGTACTTACAGCTGTAATGCAGCATGAAGACATGATGTCATCTACTCCATTTTCTTCCCAAAAATATTTGACATGAGTATGTAAACCTAACTTTTAGTTACAGGAAATATGGGGAACCCTAGAGAATCAACTTGTAAAATCTCATGAGTGGGTGGAGGTGTAGATGAAACAAGAATACCCAGAAGTCGATAATTATTGAAGCTGGCTGATGGGGACTCATTATGTTACTCTGTTTGGTTTATATGTATTTGAAATTTTCTGTAATTTAAAAAAACAGGAAAAAACACCATGAGGAACAATGAGACAAATTCAGTATTGGGCAGCGGTCTACATTCTGTCTCTTTAAGGAGTCAGTCATAGAGAGAAGAAAAAACTAGATTAAAAGAGACTAAAGGGACATCACCAAATGTGGTATTTTTTACACCTTGTTGAATGAACTTTGAATCCTGGTTCTTGAAAATCGGCTATACAAGACATTGTTAGGGGAAATTCGAAAAAGTTGCAAATGGATTGAATATTAGGTGATGTTAAAATTTTTCCCCCCTCAGGCAGGTTGATGGTTTTATGGTTGGTTATATAGGAGAAATATTTGTTTTTTGAAGTGCACAATGAAGTGTGTAGGGGTGCTGTGTCATGGTGTAGGCGGTTTTCAGGCACCTCCCCCACTGCAGTCCCCACACGCACACAAACGCACATGGGCAGCTGCGGCAGAAAGTTAGCAAGTGTTAGAGCTAGGTGAAACAGGGGTTCCCTATACTCTTTCAACTTTTGTTACTGAAAATTTTTAGAATAAAAACTGGGAGGGGGGAAATGAATACATTTATAATAGTCGAATTAATCATTGGGCTATTGACAAGATATTTTAAGGCTTTTTGACTCATTTAAGCCCCTTATTGGTAAACAATGAAAATCTTGGTACCTAGACACACTGCTTTTTGCTTGTTTCCCCATTACCTGTTTCCTGGTGAACATTGTGCTTTTCTAACAGTGTACTTGGAAAGATAAACTGAATTATTCTTAAACTTGAGGACATGTGTAAAAGCATTTCTGTCCAGGAGTGTCGAAGCAAGTGATTGTTTTGATGATAATTTTCCCAGCATAACCATATAGTTGGTATAGATATGAAAAGTGACACATGAGAACAGGGACTCAGATAGCTGAGCACCAGTATTCATAGCAGCGTCATTCATAATAGTCAGAATTGGAAACAACCCCTGTGTGTCTGGACAGTTGACTGGATAAACAATATGTGGTATATGCCTATGATGAAATATTGTTCAGCCTTTAAAAAAGGAAGGAAATTCTGACACGTGCTACAACATGGCTGAACCTTGAGGATGTCACACCAGATGCAACATAGCAAACACTGATTACACCTTTGTGAGGTACTTCGAGTAGGCAAAGTCATAAACACAGTAAGCAGAATGGGAGTGGGTCAGGGGTGAGAACCGGGAAGTTACTGTTGAACTGGCGGATTCTGTTTGGGATAATGGGAAAATTCTGGAAATGGATAGCAACGCGATTGCACAACTTTGTGAATGTGCTTAATGGCACTGACTTTGTGAATGGCACTGATTTTGTGCAGCTCCAGGTGGTTAAAATGGTAAATTTTATGTTATATATATTTGTCACAATTGAAAAAGACCCATAAAGTGCCATTAAATAATTTCAGTAAGCCATAAGCATGTCAGTGAAAACTGAATGGCTTTTCCTAGGTTGTATTTTGTAAGGTGAAAGTTAGTTTGGAAAAGTTAGTTTTTTAAAGATTTTTCTAAAGTGAGGATAGGAATGTCTAAGAATGATAAGGTCATTAAGTAAGTCTAGAGATTATAAAATGGCTCTTCTGATCATTTTTAGCTTATTTAGCATGTAGGGTGAAATATAGGTTGAGCCACTGTTTGAAGTCACTTGTACTGCAAGGCTTCTATGTAGTAGATTTAAAAAATTTTTGGCTTTTCATAAAATTTATTTGCAAACATAGCTTATATTAATTAGTGTAATTTATAATATTAATTAGTTTAATTTTTTTCTTTTTTTATTCCTATAGTGAATGCGTTGAGCTGATGAGGAGACAGTTGTTATGTAGATATCATAGTTATTATTTAGATACCCTTAGTTAATAGGTTATTATTTAGATATAATTTTCTTAAGTAAACATTTTGTTTTAATTTTAGGCATTGTGGTGTGACTTCGTTATATCACAGGATAAGTCTGAAAAAGCCTATAGTAAGTTTCTTTTTGAAATTTTATTGCACTTTTTGATTCCAAATATGTATCTTATTTATTTTGTTGTTCAAAATAAGTAACTACTAATAGTGGTTTCGCCTAAGCATTTTTATGTTGTTCATTAAAGAACTTGTGTGGTTGGGAGTTGTCATTTGTGATCGTTGGGATATTTCTGAAGAAAGACCTCCCCATAATCTTACTATGCCCTTGCTCGTAGGCACTGCTGCAGTGGAAAAGTGTATGTGTGTGCTGCAGAGCTCCTGCATCAACGTGCACAGCACGGAGGGGAAGGATTACATCGCGTCCCTGCCTTTTCAGGTGAACCGGAGTGTTTCTTGCTTTTGCATTTGGTTGGAGATTGTTCTTGCTTTAACTGGTTTCAGAAATATTGCTACTTTTCTGTCTTATGGTTAATCTGGATGTTATTTTTACTCAAAATAACTAAATTTAGTAACTTTAGATGCTTACCATTTTTTCATTCTTCGCATAAACAGTAAATTAGTGGAGTGAATTATGAAGTCTTTCCTGAGGGTATTTTTTCTGTTGAAGTGATACGTAGGAAATCCTTTCAGTTATACTAAGCACATGATAAAATTGGTCTTTATCCTGCTTCTCAGCTTTTTCATGCCTAGTGCTAATGTTAAAGTTTTATCACACTGTCACTTTGGTGCTGATATTTGCTGCCCCGGCAGGAAATTGAGATTTAATTCTTTCTTAGACTTGATTTTGTCTTACACTTGCTTGTTAAAACTGCTTTTTAAAAATATTGTAGTTAATGATCATATTATTTTGTAAAACTCTTATTAAACTGGAAGAACATCTGGTGTTTTATATTGTTTCCTGAAAACATGTTATGAAGAGTAGCTTCTTTTACTTCTGTTTTTCCCACCCTTTTACCGGGCAGGTTGCAAATGTTTGGCCCACCAAATATGGATTACTGTTCGAACGAAGCAGTTCTTCACATGAGCTACCTCCAGGTCCACCCAGGTATCCAGTTTACTCAGTTCAGAATATCGTTACTTGGGCTTTTTGTGTTGGTTCTGAGGTGAAATTGTTTCCCTAAGAGTTCGGGATGATGATAACTTCCATGGTAACAGCACAGATCTATGCCATTTTCTTTCATGTCAGTGTTACGCACTCCTGACTTCTGCTCCTCACTTGATATGGAATCATGTACAGCCTTTGCCTCCCAGTTGTAAAATTGAACAAACATACGGCTTTCTTAAAGATAACAATACTCGGTTCTAAGCTCTACCATCTTTTTATTGTGCTACTTTGGGCAAATCATCAGAGCTTTCTTGGCTTTAGTTTCATTATTTGTTACAGAAATACTATCATTTACCTCTTAGAATTTATACAGGATTAAATGAACTAAGGTATATAACCTCTGTCAAAGGGCTTAGTATGCATTAGAAGCACAAGAAATGGTAGGTGCCTATTGATAGTGTGTCTGCTGTCTCTGGAATCAGTTATGAGCTCACTGAAAGGCAGTGCCTATCACAGTGTAGTACATGTAGTAGATAATATGTGTTTAGAAAATGACTTGCAGATTTTAATTTCTTTCTGTGTTTAGATAGAGGGCCTGTTTCCCCTCCACCCCCTTTTTTTCAACCAGTCCTTAAAAACATGCAGCATCTTTATTTTCTTGAAGTTTTTTTTGGGTAGAGACTTTATTATTTTTCCTTTTTTAAAAATTTATTTAATTATTGTTCAAGTACAGTTTCCTGTTTTTTACTCCCATCCCAGCCCACCGCCCCCAGTGCTCCCCACCTCCCTCCCATTTCCACCCCCCCACCTTGGTTTTTGTCCATGCGTCCTTTATACTTGTTCCTGTGAATTATTCCCTTTTCCCCTGAAATTCTCTCCCCTCTCGTCTCTGTCAGTCTGTACTGTATTTCAGTGTCTTTGGTCATATTTTGCTTGCTTGTTTGCTTTGTTTAGGTTCCTGTTAAAGGTGAGATCATATGATATTTGTCTTTCTCTGCCTGGCTTATTTCACTCAGCATAATGCTTTTCCATCCATGCTTTTGCAAAGGATAGTAGCTCCTTCTTTCTTTCTGCTGCATAGAATTCCATTGTGTAAATGTACCATAGTTTTTGGATCCATTCATTTACTGATGGGCACCTAGGTTGCTTCCAGCTCTTGGCTATTGTAAATTGTGCTGCTGTGAACATTGGTGTGCATAGGTTCTTTTGGATTGGTGTTTCAGGGTTCTTAGGATATACTCCTAACAGTGGAATTGCTGGGTCAAAAGGCATACTCATTTTTAGTTTTCTTAGAAAATTCCATACTGTTTTCCATAGTGGTTGTACCAGTCTGCAATCCCACCAACAGTGACCTAGGGTCCCCTTTTCCCCACAACCTCTCCAACATTTGTTGTTTGTTTATGATAGCCATCCTGACCAGTGTAAAGTGGTATCATTGTGGTTTTTATTTGCATGTCTCTGATGGCTAGCGATATTGAGCATCTTTTCATGTGTCTCTGGATCCTCTGCATGTCCTCCTTGGAGAAGTGTCTGTTCAAGTCCTTTGCCCATTTTTTAATTGGGTTGCTTGTCTTCTTAGAGTGGAGTTGTGTAAGTTCTTTGTGTATTTTGAAGCTTAAACTTTTGTCTGAGGTGTCATTGGCAAATATGTTTTCCCAAACAGTTCGTTCTTTTTTTATCTTAATACTGTTTTCTTTAGCCATGCAGAAGCTTTTTATTTTGATGAGATCCCATTTGTTTATTCTTTCTTTTATATCCCTTGCTCTAGGGGACATATCAGTAAAAATGTTGCTGCGTGAAATAGCTGAGATTTTCCTGCCAATGTTCTGCCCTAGGATTTTAATGGTGTCACAGCTTATATTTAAGTCTTTTATTCACCTTGAATTTATTTTGGTGTATGGTGTAAGTTGGTGCTGAAGTTTCATTTTTTTGCACGTAGCTGTCCAGTTCTCCCAACACCATTTGTTGAAGAGGCGATCTTTACTCCATTTTATGTTACTGCCCCCTTTGTCAAATATTAATTGACTGTAGAGAGTTGGGTTTATTTCTGGGCTCTCCGTTCTGTTCCATTGGTCTATGTGCCTGTTTTTATACCAGTACCAGGATGTTTTGATCACACTAGCCTTGTAATACAGTTTGGTATCAGGTATTGTGATCCCTCCTACTTTGTTCTTCTTTCTCAAAATTGTAGTTGCTATTCGGGGTTGTGTATGGTTCCATATAAATTTTTGAAGTGTTTGTTCTTATGTCTGTGAACTATGCCATTGGTACTTTAATAGGTATTGCATTGAATCTGTAAATTGCTTTGGGTAGTATGGACATTTTGATGATGTTAATTCTTCCAATCCATGAACATGGTATATGTTTCCATTTGTTTATGTCTTCCCTGATTTCTTTCTTCAATGTTGTATAGTTTTCTGCATACAGGCCTTTTACCTCCTTAGTTAGGTTTATTCCCAGATATTTTATTTTTCTTTTTGCTATATTGAATGGGATTTTTTCCTTGATTTCTGCTTCTGCTGATTCATTGTTGGTATACAAAAATGCCTTTCATTTCCAGATATTGACTTTGTAACCTGCTGTTTTGCCAAACTGATTAATTAGTTCGAGCAGTTTTTAGGTAGAGTCTATAGGATTTTCCATGTACACTATCATGTCATCTGCAAACAGTGACAGTTTTGTTTCCTCCTTTCCGATTTGGATGCCTTTTATTTCCTTTTCTTGTCTGATCGCTGTGGCTAAAATTTCTAATACTATACTATATAGTATAGTAAACTTCTATACTATATTGAATAGAAGTGGTGAAAGTGGACAACCTTGTCTTGTTCCTGATCTTAGTGAAAAAGATTTTAGTTTTTGCCCATTGAGTATGATGTTGGCTGTAGGTCTCTCATATATGGCCTTTATTAAGTTGAGGAATGCTCCCTCTAGTCCCACTTTGCTGAGTGTTTTTAACATAAATGGGTGTTGTACCTTATCAAAAGGTTTTTCTGCATCTATTGATATGATCATGTGATTTTTGTCTTTGTTTTGTTTATGCAATGTATTACATTTACTGATTTGTGAATATTGAACCATCCTTGCATCCCTGGGATGAATCCCACTTGGTCATGGTGTATGATCTTTTTGATATATTGTTGGATGAGATTTGCAAATATTTTGTTGAGGATTTTAGCGTCTATGTTCATCAGCGATATTGGCCTGAAGTTCTCTTTCTTTGTTGTGTCTCTGTCTGGTTTTGGAATTAGGATGATGCTGGCTTCATAAAAAGAATTTGGGAGTTTTCCATCCTTCTGGATTTTTTGGAATAGTCTGTGAAGAGTAGGGGTTAGCTCTTCCTTAAATGCTTTGTAGAATGCTCCTGTGAAACCACCTGGTCCAGGGCTTTTGTGTGATGGCAGTTTTTTGATTACTGCTTTAATTTCATCTGCTGTTACTGGTCTGTTTAGGTGTTCTGCTTCTTCTTCATTGAGTTTTGGAAGATTGTATTTTTCTAGAAATTTGTCCATTTCACCTAGGCTTTCAAATTTCTTGGCATACAGTTTTTCATAGTAATTTCTTACAATCCTTTGTATTTCTGTGGGGTCAGTTGTAATCTCTCCTCTTTCATTTCTGATTGTGTTTATTTGTGTCCTCTCTCTTCTTTTCTTGATGAGCCTACTTAATGGCTTGTCTATTTTGTTTATCTTTTCAAAGAACCAGCTCCTGGATTCATTGATCCTTAGGATTGTGCTTTTAGTCTCTATGTCATTTAGTTCTGCTCTGATCTTGGTTATTTCCTTCCTTCTACTTGCTGTGGGCTGTCTTTGTTGTTGTTCCTTGAGTTCTTGTAGGCATGGGGTTAGGTTGTTTGTTTGAGATGTTTCTATCTTCTTTAGGTAGGCCTGTATTGCTATAAACTTCCCTCTGAGGACTGCCTTGACTGTGTCCCATAAGTTTTGGGTTGTTTTGAGTTTATTTTCATTTGTTTCCAAAAACTTTGATTTCTTCCCTAATTTCATTCTTGACCCATTCATTATTTAATAGCAGACCATTCAGTCTCCATGATTTTGGGTGTTTTGGGGTTTTTCCTTTGGGGTTGGTTTCTAATTTCAGTCCCTTTTGGTCAGAGAAAATGCTTGGTATGATTTCAATTTTCTTGAATTTGTTGAGGCTCGTTTTGTGTCCTATCACTTGGTCTATCTTTGAAAATATTCTATGTGCATTTGAAAAGAACGTGTATTTAGCTTCTTTGGAATGAAGGGCTCTCTCTGTATATATCAGTTAAGTCCATTTCATCTAGGGTATTGTTTAATGCCATAATATCTTTGTTGATATTTTGTTTGGTGTGTCTGTCCATTTTTGTTAGTGGGGTGTTAAAATCCCCTACTATAATTGTGTTGCTGTCCATATCTTTCTTTTTTTTTTTTCAAGGTTGCATAATACGAGACCAATATTAAAATCAATTTTATTCATATTTAAACTGAAAAACTTCTGTTTGTGATAGCATCACACAGCATAAAATACTCTGTGAAGTTACATCTTTAAAAAACACCAATTTAGTTTTAAAAAAATCGCTAGAGGTTTTTCTAGCAACCACCATGGGTCAGACTTTTAGTTGCGTCTCCAATACCAAAGTCTCCCAGACTGGAGTCCTGCGTCCCGATTTTCAAATAGCTTCTAAATTTTCTTGCATTATTTAAAGTTGCTTCTTTTTAAAAAGCTCAAAACCTTCCCTGCTCGTGTGAAGAGGTGTTTTATACTATCTGTGATCCGGCCCAGCTCCATATCTTTCTTGAAGTCCTCTAAGATTTTCTTTATGTAGTTGGGTGCTCCTATGTTGTGTGCATATATATTTGTGAAGTTAATGTCTTCTTGGTGGATTCTTCTCTCGAGTATTATGAAGTGACCTTCTGGGTGTCTCTTTATGGCCCTGTTTTTGAAGACTATTTTGTCTGATGTGAGTATTGCTATCCCAGCTTTTTTTTCTTGTCCTTTTGCTTGGAAAATTTGTTTCCAGCCCTGTACTTTTAGTCTGTGATGGTCTTTTGTCCTGAGGTGGGTCTCTTGTAGGCTGCATATGTGTGGGTCATGCTTTCTTATCCATTCATCTATTCTATGTTTTTTGATTGGAGCATTTAATCCATTTACATTTAAGGATATTATTGATAGGTACTTATTCATTGCCATTTTTGTACCTGTGTTCCTCTCTGTCTCTCTCTTTTCCTTCCTTTCCTTAAAGGAGTCCTTTTAGTATTTCTTGTAGGACTGGTTTGGTGGAGGCGTATTCTTTTAGACTTCTTTTGTCTTGGAAGCTCTTTATTTGGCCTTCTATCTTGATTGAGAGCCTTGCTGGGTAAAGTAACCTTGGTTGCAGGCCTTTGGTTTTCATTAGTTGGAATATTTCTTGCCATTCTCTTCTTGCTTGGAGTGTTTCCAGTGAGAAGTCAGTAGCTAACCTTATTGGGGCTCCCTTGTATGTTACTTCTTTTTTCTCCCTTGCTGCTTTTAAGATTCTCTCTTTGTCTTGGAATTTTGCCATTTTAATGATGCTGTGTCTTGAAGTGGGCCTCTTTGGGTACCTCTTGATTGGGACTCTGTGTTTCCTGGATTTGTGTGATTTTTTTTCTCTCATCAAATTAGGGAAGTTTTCCCTTATTACTTTTTCAAATAGGTTTTCTATCCCTTGTTATTCTTCTTCTTCTTCTGGTATCCCTATTATTCGGATATTATTACGTTTCATATTGTCTTGCATTTCTCTTAATCCCTCTTCATTCTTTCTGAGCCTCTTTTCATTTTCTTCCTCTTTCTGGGATTTTTTTCCTACTTTGTCCTCCAACTCGCTGATCCGATCATTTGCCTTATCGATCCTGCTTTTGATTTCTTCCACTGTGTTCTTCAGTTCAGAAATTGTATTCTTCATTTGCTCTTGTCCCTTGCTGATAGTTTCTATTTTCTTTTTCATGTTGATATAGTTTGCAGTGAGTTCATTGTAGCGCCCCTGTAATTTCTGGTAGCTCATGGTGAGCTCTTTGAATTTCCTGATAACCAGTGCTTTGAATTCAATGTCTGATAGTTGACTTGCCTCCATTTCATCTAACATTCTTTCTGAGGCTTCCTCTTTTTCTTTCATTTGGAGATTGTTTCTTTATCTTCCTGTTGTTTGTGAGACTCTTCTTATTTGCCTCAGCTTCTTAAATTGATCTGTTCTGGGTTTGTGGTGTATACGTCTGTGGTAGAATACCTGTGAAATTCAGTGGTGCAGTCTCCTTCAGGTATCTTGATGTTCTCCGCTTCCAGCTACTCGTGTGTGTGTGTGTGTGTGTGTGTGATCAGTTGGAGGGGGAGGCAAAATGGTTTATGACAGTGAGACAGTATTTTATGATATTTACAGTCACAGCCGGTAGAGAAGAGATAGAAGATCTTTAGGCCATATATAGTGTTAACTGTAATCTTCAACCCAATTTGCAACTTTTAAGAAAGGAAGGACAAAAGATAAGTCTGTTGTTGGGGAAGGAAGACTTGTGAATTGGATCTAGAAAGCAGTGAGGTTCCGGGCGGTCAGATTTTGAGGTAAAGTGAGAGGTAATAGTAAACAGGTGTAGCGTGTGAGCAAATAGAGTTGATCACTACAGTAATAGAATTCAGGAGCCTGTAAAGTGGGCTAAGATTGGGAGATGTGTTGTGAAGTATTTACAGTTGTATAGAACAGCTATTATTTACAATAATATCAGAGCAACAATCATATGACAGACTCTATGTGATCTGGATAACATGAATAGGGGGTATAGAACTTTGGGTAGTGTGCTAAAGGAAAACAAGTGGCTTGAAGTATAGAAAATTAGCAATACACTGTGGAGGAGAGAACAAGGGAAACCTGTCAAATAATACAATATAACCAGCCAAGACTAAGAAGCCTATACAGAAAGAGGAGGAATACAAAGATACTATTAAAATCTCAAAGAAGTAAGAATAATGAAAAAAATATGCAGCAACTTGTGGCTTCTCTGCTATAACAAAGTGAAATTTGTCTCTCTGTCTCTACTGTTGGGATGCCCCCTCTTTGGGTCCCACTCTGGTCTCTTCGAAGTTCCCAGTTGTTTGTATCCCTTGTGGGTAAAAGAAAACAAAGCAACAAACAAACAAACAAAAAAGGCAGGAGAAGGGAGGAAAAAGCAATCAGTTTGGAAAGAAAGGAAGGAGTAAAACGGGGAAAAAGAAAGAGGAAAAAAGTATTGAAAGATAAAGCAATAATAAAATTAAGAAGATATAAGATTACTAAAAAAAAAATTACTAAAGAAAAAAAAACATCCCTTGTTGGTTTCAAATTGTCCAAACCGGGTTTTCTGGTTACAGCAGGCAGAGGGTCAATTGGTGTGGTTTTTCTGAGAGTGCTCTCCCAAGAGCTAGCCCGGCGCCTTTCCCCTGCGCTCCACAGGGCGATCTGGGTTCTTTTCAGAGCACCTTCCCCAGGGGTCCTTTCTGTGGGCAGGGTGCAGGCCCGCATGTGCCAGCCAGGCTGCTGGACTGGGGTGTGGGCTCCCGCCTGCCCACCAGGCTGCCTGGGTCCAGTGAGATCTGGTACGATCCTTCCCAGTTCTATGGGGGACTCAAGTGCTTCCTCCCTCCTCGGGATCACTGCCAGGCTGGGTGGGAAGCAAGCCAAGCTGCTGTCGCAGGAGAACACCTCAGTCCACTTTCCAAAAACACTTCCCTAGAAAGCCTGCCTCTCAGTCTAGCCCAATCCCCAGCCAGATTGGTGACAACAATACGTCTTTCAATTCTCCCAGGCTGGTGACCACAGAGTCTGCAGTTGAACACGGCCCTTTGTCCTCATTACCCTCTCTGTAAACTAAAGCAGACAGGTTTCTGCCCAGTGTTGCCCAGCCTTGCTTAGAAGGGGAGGGAGGGAGGGAGCTGATGACCCAGCTCTCTCCTGAGGACCCTCCAGCAGGCCCAAGGCTCCCAAAGAGTCTGCTGTAGACCCGCCAGGTGCCGGGGCTCCTGAAGAGTCTGTGGCAGGCGCCCCCGGCGCTGGTTGCAGAGTGAAGCCTCTAAACCCCGATCGAGGCCACCAGGCACTGGCCGAGGGCGCCGGCCGCTGCTGCTGCTGCTGCTCTTGTCTTTACTCAGGTCCCCAAGACCCCACTGACCTGCCGCTTTCTGGTCCTTCCATCACAATCGCTGGCCTCTTATTGTCATAAATGCTGGGGAACTGTTGGTCGTTTCCGCTGTTCCTCAGTAGATCTGCCAGGATTTTCTCCCATGTGTATGGGAAATGGAATCCACTCTGTCCTACTCGCCACCTTCCCAATCATCCTATTTTCTTGAAGTTTTTCTTTTCTTTTTTTAAAAGTGCATTCCTGTGTAAATAGGTGTAGGAGACAACATTTTTTCTAGCTTCCAAAGACACATTGTTGCTAAGGGAGGTTACAGAAAGAGACTACCTTATTGCCCATTACCCCACTGGTTCTGTAATGTCATGACTGCTGTTTACAGATGGTTCCTGGGCTGTACTGATTTTCCACTGCATGTGTGTCTGTTTCCTGCATAAGAGGAGATTTCTAGGAACGAAATAGAAGATACAGTGAAAAACACTAAGTAGAAAGTTTATAGGGTTTCTTTTTGGGAGGTAGTTTTCTAGTTGCTTGTGTAATCTGGAGAAGATTTTTTTTTTTTGCAAGGAAGGTGCAAAATTTGTGCATAAATGGATTTATCTTCTCTTGATTGATTATTTGGTTGTTTGTTACTAGAGAACCTTTACCAACTATGTTCAGCATGCTGCATCCACTAGATGAAATAACCCCACTTGTTTGTAAATCTGGAAGTAAGTGTATTTTTTATATAATTTTTTTCATAGCTTATTTTTTGTATTTGGGGGAGGGGAGAAAATGAAGGTGCTTATAAAAATTTGACTTGCTTTATAAAAATAATAATTTAAGCATTTTACAAAAATAACTTTTATATTATGAAAATAGTTCATGTTAAGGCAAGAACTTCTTGCATACCATGGTATTAACTGTTTTAGTAGTTATTCTTTCCTAAAAATAAGGCCTATAAGTGGATCAGGATTACTGATGTTTGCTAACCTAGCTGTAGAATGATTAATAAGTAACTGATAGATGAATTAAAATTGTTTATTTATTTTTTTGAGAAAAATAGGTTATTAGACCTGTACTGTGTAAATTTTAATATTTCATTTTCCCTGTTCCTCTTAAGCTGATTTACTGGGGCTCAGAATTTTTAATATTTGTTACAAGTATTTCTGGATGTATATTTAAAAATTTTCAGTGTGTCCAAACATGATAAGTAATTGTGACTAACAAGAATAGAAAGTTTAAAAAAATTTATATGTTTTACTTTAAGACTTTATTGCAAGCATGAATGATATTTTAAGATATCACTGAGGTGCTTATCTTCTGTATCAGGGCTTGGCAAACCATAGCCTATGAGGCTTAAGTGCTAAGAATAGTTTTTACCTATTTAAAGGAAGTAGAAAAAACAAAAATGATTATGGAACAGAGTCAGTATGTGGTCCGTAGAGCCTAAACTAGTTACTCTTCGGTCTTCTACAGAAAAAATTTGTTGATGATTCTGTATTAATTTGGTAGCAGTTACAGACAACCCAGATAAACATGTTAGCACCTGTGATTGAATTGCACGTGGCCATCATTGATCATGTTTTTGAATAATATTTAATGACCTTGGGAATTGCTTACTCATAATGCTAAATAAGATACAGAACAATACAGAGTGATTTTGATTTTGTAAAATTGTAAGTATATATACCTATAGGAGAAAAAACTAGAAGGAATACTCCCTGATGTATTAGTAGTGACTATTTCGAGATGATGGTATTATGAGCAATTTAAATTTTATTTTTTATAAAATATTGTAATAAAATAATTGTATGTTTTTATTTGCTAATTCAGCTGAGAGGGGAACATTTAGGGTGCTGTCAGGTAGAGACAGAAAAGTCAATTCATGGTATATAGAGATAGAAAGTCATAAAACTCACTAGGAAAGCCTTATTTTGTATGTGTAATCAGCAAAGTAGAAATAGGTATACTGTTCAGTACTGTTTGAATGGTTATTGTAGAGGACAGATTTCATACAGAAGAAGGGAACCAGTAAGGAAGTCAAACTTGGCAGAAGAGTTCATTGAAATTGATAAATAATTTAATTATTGAAGGATTCATGGACCTTTTATCTGTGGCTGATTAATGATGGATCAGCACAAATCTTTACCTTTTAATTGTGTATTTGTGAAATTGAAACTGGTAACACTCTCATCTTTAATGTATTTTGAGGAATTTAGTGCCCAAAGTAAATTTATTAACAATATTGGGTTAATTAATTAATATATTAATGGATTTTTATGTCGTAATTGGCTTGGTTTGTCTTGATCTCTAGGAATTGTAAGAAGTCTTTTTATAAAGAACAGTTTCGTTAAGTTCATTGTTCAAAATCTCATCATTTCTGTTTCTTCATTAAGGTCTTTTTGGTTCATCACGGGTGCAATATGTTGTAGATCATGCAATAAAGATAGTTTTTCTCAACACTGATCCCTCCATTGTAATGACCTATGACACTGTTCAGAATCTGCATTCTGTGTGGGTTCTTCGGAGAGTCAAAGCAGAGGTAAGGATAAAGTGTTGTTAATACTGAAAACCTTGACATGTTTTGTGAACTAGATTGAGCTTCTGAGGCAAAAGAAAGATTTGTCTTTAATAACTCAAATCTACCCTGAATTCTCACAAGGAAATTACTTTACCCTTTTCATCTAATAATTATCTTTTTCTCCCCCTTCTTATAATTTTGATTTAAGGAAGAAAATGCTGTTTTAAAATTCTCTGAGCAGGGGGGAACTCCACAGAATGTGGCCCCTAGTAGCTCCCTCACGGCACACCTCAGAAGCCTCTCTAAAGGAGACTCCCCCATGGCCTCGCCTTTCCAGAATTACTCCTCCATCCACAGCCAGAGCCGCTCGGCCTCCTCACCCAGTCTGCACTCGCGCTCTCCTTCGGTCTCCAACATGGCGGCCCTCAGGTGGGACTCTTGTGTGCGGCGTCTCCTCTCTTACCAAGACAGCCCAAGAAAAGCATACCCCTTTCAAAACTTTCTCTAGTTTGGGGGCACTTAAAATTTCTTTTGCCAGCCCCTGACTATTTTTGAGGGAAGACAGCCATTATTCTAGTTGTCTTAGTAAGACTTGCGGGTCTACTGTGTTACCCTTTTCAGCAAGTCATATTTGGAGGCTGCCTGTGCTTGCCATAAAATTGGTTCTCTCATTTGTACCACTCAGTGGCTGTAGTTTGATGAATATTGGTTGTAAAAATACTTCAGTACTTTAATTGGCATTATTTTTTTCTTCTTGGCTGTCTATCTGTCTTTCTAGCTATCATCTTATATATTGATATAGAAATACAGTTTTGTTGGTGTGCATATGTGAGTATATAGGAACATAGTTGAGGCTTTTTAAAAAGTCTTCACCTGAGGACGTGTTCACTGATACTGGAGAGAAAGGAAGGTGGGGGGAGGAGAGAGAGCGAGAGAGAGAGAAAGAGAGAAAGAAAGAAACATCACCATGAGAGAGAAATACCTATGTGTTGCCTGCTGTATGCTCCCTCCCTGGGGGTCAAACCTGTAGCCTTTCGGTGCATGGGATGATGCTCCAGCCCACAGAGCCATCTGGCCAGGGCCAGTTTAGACCTTTGAATGATATAAGTGGTACATTTTTTGAAGCAGCAAAAGAAATAATTTTCACTTTTAAAAGGAGGTAGTCTAAGAAGAATTGGAAATCTTTAGAGTATAGTAAAACACATTAACATGAAGTAGTTATACTCTTCTAAGAAACTGTTTTTCTGACTGGGCTTGTGTCATGGGTGCTCTTCGTACCCAGAAATTTGGAAGATGGTGCTGGAAAGTATGGGATGTCATCCTGCATCATTGTGTGATGCCCTCTCTCTCTTTATTTTGCAGTCGCGCTCATTCCCCTGCCTTAGGAGTACACTCTTTTACGGGGGTGCAGAGGTTCAGCCTGTCGGGCCATAATCAATCTCCAAGGAGACACAGTATTTCTCATTCTCCAGAAAGTAATTCGAATAGCTCTTTACTTGCACCAGAAACAGAGCCAATTGTTCCAGAACTTTGTATTGACCATTTATGGACAGAAGCAATTACTAATATAAGGTTTGGAATTTTTTTAAGGTTTTATTTATTAATTTTTAGAGAGGGGGGAAGGGAGGGAGAAGGAGAGGGAGAGAAACGTCAATTGCGTGGTTGTCTCTCATGCACCCCCTATTGGGGATCTGGCCAGGCATGTGCCCTGACTGGGAATTGAACCCGGGATCCTTTGGTTTGCGGCCTGAGCTCGATCCACTGAGCTACACCAGCCAGGCCATATTTCTATATTCAGAGGAAAATGTTGCTAAAAGTCTTAGAAGATATTTGGTATTTTATTTAAACTTCCTTTTAGTATATTCAGTTGTTAATGCTTATAAAAATACATAGTGTGTTAAGGCCATCTGTTTCAGTAGAGGACATTAATGTATTAAAGTGATCATAAACATTTTTGTCATTTATTTTTTTAATTTAGTAGTAAAATAATCACTCAGATTTGAGGTGCTTGATGGTAATGGGAGAAATAATTTATTTATGTAGATTAGGAAACTTGGGATTTTGTATCATTTTAAGAAGTGTTTTAAAGTTTTTGAGTTGGGGGAGAGGGATAAAAATTTTTTGTTAAAAATAGTTTTTGAGTATCGGCTGTTATTTTATTTTTAATTTTTCTTGAAACATAGTTCAGAGCTCTGTTTTATGTGATCTTTTATAAAATTTCCTCCTTAATGATTTGTTCATGAATTCAGCTAATCCCAGTTCAGTTGTAGGGGCTAGTCACTATGGGTTAGCAGGCAAATTAGTCACTTCCCTGTCCTCAAAGAGACATGGGAGGATGATGACACAGGAGACATGGCCTGGTCTGCTGGTGGGGCTTTGGGAAAATGGAGAAAGCACAGTGGGCAGAGGGCATCAGAACCTAAGTTAAGGATAAGTCTGTGGTGTGCTCAGCTACAGATGTGCTCACCAGGGTAGAGAGAGAGATTACCTTTAGGGCTATTCCCTTTGATGAGAGCTGTAAGAAGGTGCTTTGTGTATGGGTCTAAACTCAGGGAAGAAGATCAGAGCAAAGAGAGGTGCTTGGAATTTAAGGAGTATGTAGAGGTCAGGTTCCTGGATGGCCTGTGGATGAGCTCGCAGTTACAGGGCATCTGGTAGCCCTCTGGAACTGTGCATTGTAATTGTGTATATGTGTAGTGTATAGGCTTTTTCCTAAGGAGAGAGTTTTCACACTCCGTAAAGTCTCAAAGTGGGTCTGTGACCACCATACAATTAAAACCTGGTGTTGTAGAATCAGAAGAAGGGTAGGGACTGAAGTCTTGGAAACTTAAAATTTTGGGGGTGAAAAGAGAGAGAAGAGACAAAACAACGAAGCAAGAGAGGTCAGATAGGAGCAGCAGCAGGAGAGAAATATCATGGAACTGAAGAGCCTTTCACAAAGAAAGTGCGAGCATTGCCAGGTGCTGGTGAGGTGTGGTATCAGAGGTGAGTTTAGAGAGGAGATACGTGGAGGGCAGTGAGTTCACCGGTGACCTTGGCCAGAACTCTTGGGGAGAAGAATGGTGGAATAGAGTGGGGGACAGGAAGTAAATGGGGCTGAGGAAGGGAATGTAGACCTAGAGTCTGTCTTAAGGAGTTTGCTTTTGAAAAGGGGTGAGGATGCATAGCTTGCCAGATGGAGGCTGTGGATCAGCGAAGAGTATTGTTTATGCGCACCTATTTAAAGAAAATTTGAATTCATGACTAAATACCTCAGTGTCTCCAAAAAGTAAGGGTAGTTCCTTACCCAACCACAAAACCAGCGTTACACCCAGCTGATTAATATTCAGTCCATCTTTATGTTTTAAGACTTTTATCTTAACATGAGAGAGTAGGTTTTATTTTTAAAGATTGTATTGATTTTTAGAGAGGAAGGGAGGGAGGAAGAGAAGGATGGAGACATCCATCTGTTGCCTGTCATATGTGCACCAACTGGGTACCGAACCCACAACCCATGGATATGCCCTGACCAGGAATCAAACGATGAGATTTCACTTGTGGTACACACTGACCAACTGAGCCACACCCATCAGGGTGAGAGAGTGGAGCATACCCAAAGGAGGGAACGTGTCCAAAATACAGGGAAGAGGAAATGACTGTGGACAAGGAACAGCAAGGATCAACAGTGGAGAGATTAGCCTGGGGGGAGAAAGAAGGCCATGTTTATCAGACACAGACGGGGTGTTTGTGCCAGAAGGCAAATACCCGTGAGTCTGTCTTAAGGAGTTTGGATGCAGAGGCAGGGTAGAGGATAGGTCGCTGAAGGAAAGTTGAGATGGGAATACAGTGTTGAAGTAGCTTTTCTGTTTTTGTTTCTCATATCTAATAAAAAAAAGTTCTACCCTTAAGGGCCTTGCTGTGGTAAGTTGAATATATTGCACATCAGGTTTTACATCTTTTTGGTCTTCTGTACCACTCTAGGAAGAGATCTTTGGGAATAAGAGGTATGGATTGAAAAATAGTGAGGAAATAGAACCTGATATGAGAGCGAGGGAGAAAAGAGATAGGAGGGGGCATGGTGTAAAACGCCTGAGCCCTTCAGCCACGGAAGGCATAGGGATTCAGGTCTGCATTTACTTTAGTAGTTGGTGACTTGTGTGACATGGAAGTAAAAATTTCATTGATGTTGATTTAACTTACTGTGATATTCCCCAAAAGAGCCGTGGAGTGGGCTCAGAATCAAAAAGCTGAAAGAAATCTCTGATCTTGAAATTCAAAGCCTAGAAGTGTTTTTGGGTCTTCAAGGTTATTGGTTGTCCCATGTAGTTTTTAGGTTTCTTGCAGAATATTTTCAAAGACTTTTAATAATTACCATGGTATATTTTTGAACCAGTGCTGACAGTTACTTCTTAATGTATCTATTGTAGAGAGAAAAATTCACAGGCCTCAAAGGTGTTCATTACATCTGACTTGTGTGGGCAGAAGTTCTTGTGCTTTTTGGTGGAGTCCCAGCTGCAGTTACGGTGCGTGCATATTCCTGTTGATTCTGTGTAAATGACGTAGGGCCTCTTTGTCTTTCTTTTTTCCCTCCTTCCTCCATCCTTAGTAGCATTATTGAAATAATTTACATACCATAAAGTTAACATGTACAATTAAACCACTTTTAGTAAATTTACAGAGTTGTGCAGCCATTACCACAATCCAGTTTTAAAAGCTTCTCTCATCTTGAAAAGCCCCCTTGTGCTTGATTTGCAGTCAGCCTCCTTCACACCCCTAACCTCAGCGACCGCTCTGTAGGCCTTTGGTCTTCATGGATTTACCTTTCCTGGACATTTTATAGAATCATACAAAGTGCAGTTTTTTGTGGCCAGCTTCTTTCACTTAGGTTACATAAGGTCTGTGAGAACCAGCCATGTCTTAACACATGCTGAGTGTTTCATTCCTCTTCTGTGCAGCAGTCCGTAGTGTGGGTGCATCATGCCTGGTCTCTCTCTCATGAGTTGATGGACATTGGGTCTGTTTTCATTTTTGGCCTTTGTTAGTCATAGTGCTAAAAACATTGGAGTTAAAGTCTTTGTGTAGACATACACGATTTATTTTTCCTTGGGTAGATTCCCAGGAGTGGGATTGTTGTGTCAATGGTAAATTCATTTTTAACTTTTTAAGGAATTGCCAGACTGTTTCCAAATAGGCTGCACCATTCATTTTACATTGCCACCACCACATTTGAGGTTATAGTTCTTTCTTCTTGACAAGGTTGGGTGAGAAGTGTTTTTATTTTATTTTATTTTTAATTTAATTTATTTTATTGGGTTGGTGAAAAAGTTTATTTAGTTTTTTTGTATAAAATAAAATGTTACAGAAAATTTTTCATTTTCACCAATAACTGTATTGATTTGAGTACGTTGGCTATCTTCCACTATTGGCTTCTAGCGGGTAGAGGCCAGGGGCGCTGCTAAGCACCTTCCAATGCAGAAGACAGCTCCACAGCAAAGAATTATTTGGCCAAAATGTCAATAGTACCATGAAACTTCACAAACCACTTTTTACACATTTGATCAGTCACAGCACCTTCTCTATACACTGCACAAATCTTTTGCATTTCAGTTCTGTTTTTACCTTTTTTGAAGTAATAAAGCATAATACACTGAGTATATTGCATATTTTCTTCCATCTTTAATATTAAAATGGCTACACAAAAATTCACCTATTTTGGTACATTTAAAAAAATATTTATTTATTTTTAGAGAGAGAGGACAGGAAGGAGAAAGTGGGAGAGAAACATCAATGTGTGGTTGCCTCTCATGTGTCCCCTACAGGGGACCTGGTCTACAACCCAGGCATGTGCCCTGACTGGGAATTGAACCGGCAACCCTTTGCTTCACAGGCCTGTGCTCAATCCACTGAGCTACACCAGCCAGCGAAATATTTGGTACATTTTTTAATGAACACTGATATGACTTCTGTCAAATACAATATAACCAAGTTGTTTCTAATGAAGTCAAGCACAACTAAGCACTACTAGAGCCATTGTATGGTAAAAACTAAATGGACTTTTTGGCCAGCCCAATATTTTATTTCTGAGGATATATTTATTGATTTTGGTAGAGGAAGTGGGGGGAGAGATATGATAGACATCAACCTGAGAGAGGAACATCAATAAGTTGTGCCCTTAATGGGGTTTCAACCTGCAGCCTAGGTATGTGCTTACACCTTCAGCCTTTTTATGTGCTGGATGATGCTCCAGACAACTGAGCCGTCTGCCCAGGGTGAGAAGTGTTCTTAATTTGCATTTCCCTAATGATTTATGGTGTTGAGCATCTTATGTGTTTATTAATCATTTATTTCTCTTTTTAGGTGAAATGCGTATGCATGTTTTTGACTGTTATCATTTTACTTTGACCTAATTATAAATCACAGGGAATTGCAAAATAGTAGAGTGGTGCTGTGTATTGTGCGGTCTTTCAGTCCCAGAGATGATCAAAGCTAAGGAGTTGACATCAGTATAAGCCACAGACCTTGTTCAGTTTTCATCACTTTTGCATGGATGTGTGTGTGTATGAGAGAGATTTGTTCAGGCACCACAATCAGGGTACAGAACTTCTTTATCATCTCAGAGATCGCCCTGGTGCTTCTTTGAAGTGACACACACCACACCCACCCACCCCTGTCCCTAATCCATGACAACCACTAATCTATTATCCATCTTTACACTTTTGTCATTTAAAGCTGTTATATAAATGGATTCATATAGTATGTAACCTTCTGGGATAGGGTTTTCCCATTCACTGTTTCCCCTTCAGATCAGTACAGGTTGTCACATGTGTCACTACTTTGTGTTTTTTTTAATTTAATATTTAGCTGTGTAAAATTTCAAGAGAGTAACGATAAGAGCCAGCTCATCTTTGGTGCCATCACCAACATACAGGCAAAGGATGCAGCACCAGTGGAGGTAAATGCAGGCACTTTGCTTAAGAAATTGAAAATCATTATGCTTTGTAATTTGCATAGATTGGAAAATAAAATTTGTGTCCTCTTTTAGAAGATAGACACTATGCTGGTCCTGGAAAGCAGTGGAACCCTGGTGCTCTACACAGGAGTGGTTCGGGTAAGCAACGAGCAGCCTTTGGGTTCTTTGTAGGACTGCCTCAGGATGATTTAGCAATGTTACTTTAGTTCGATATTTGATATTTGTTACCTCCTGTCTGTAGGATTTGGTAGAAGATTTGTCAAAGGGTTGAAAAGTAAGCCTGTGATTTAGATTGGACCTAAATTGGAGGTTTAGGACTTGTTGCCCTTAGATGGATTGGCACTGGGAGTCTAGCCCAGTTGGGGAACCTGAATGCATATAGGCAGGTTGTTTTTAGAAAAAAGTTAAGATGAAGTTTTATAAAGAATAGTTTTGAAATTGATATATGGGTAGCTTTGTTAAGTCTAAAAGTTTTTGTAAAGTTCCATTATATTAGATGTGTAATAATGTGTGCTGGATCTTTTATCAGTTATGAAATTTACAGATGAAGGATGTAAATTTTACAAATTTAAATACATGTACACAGTTTGAAGAGTAATGGCATGAACATTCGCATAGGCTTGACCCAGGTTAAGAAGTAGGCTGCTGCCTGTTTGGTTACAATCCCCGGGGCTCTCTCCTGATTGTTTTGTCATTTCCCCACCTCCCCTAGATGGACACTGTTCTGAGTTTTGCAATAAATCAGTCCTGTTTTTTTTTACTTCTGGTCTTACAATTACATATATATCAGTAGAGTGTGAATTAATTTTCCTTATTTTGAATTTTTATATAAAGGAAACTATACCATATACTCTTCTCTGAGTTATTTTGTTCAACATTGTGCCATTTTTAGATTTATCTGTGTTGATGAGCAACTGTTTTTTTCCTCAATTACTGTTATATGGTATCCTATTGTATAATGATACCAAAGCCTATACTATTTCACCAGTTATTAAGGTCGTTTGCATTGTTTCTGCTGTTCTTCTAGTAAACTACACTTTGTTAAAACATCCTTATGTATGTCTCCTAGTCTTTATAGTATATGCATATTCACCTCACCCAGGTGGTGCCAAAATTGTTTTCCAAAGTGTAGGTTGTACCAGTTTACATCTCTCCCACTCCTGGCCTCCACCAGCGTATGAGAGTTCTGAATACTTTTTACATTCCTGCTTAATCCACTGTACTATTCGTTCTTGCTCCTCCACAAGTCCCCACTTTCACCCGCCCCCAAATCGGTGCCTCATTTAACAGCCTGGTGAGAACAGAAGTCTACATACCACACTTGGCTTTGCTGACACTGCTGAGAGGTGGGACCCAGACTTCTCCATGGTGTTTGGAGTAGGTTGGTTATTGTCCAAAAGGATTTTTTTGTTAGGCTGTCTGTTTTCTGATTCTTTGCTCAGGGAGAGGAGAATTTCTTGGGCTTATTTTTTTGTTTGCTCCCATAATGAGATTGTGCCTCAACTTTTGTGCTGCCCAGAGACCAATCTGAGACATGAATGGTATTGCAGAGCAGCATTCAGTTCTCAGATGTTTTACTGTGTCCTTGTTGGTCAGTTTCACACATGGGTCACTCAAGGCCTGCCTAGGATTTCATACACATACTTAGAAAATCCTTTTCTCTATTCTTCTGCCTGATTACTGCAGGGTGGGGGTGGAGTACAGTGCAGGAGGGAAGGGGAGAGGTGTATTGCCTTATTGCAGAACAGGGATGAAAGCCAGTGCTCTTGCCCGCTGCACAGTGTCTGCACAGTGTGGGGAGGTGAAGGGGCTGCCTCAAGGCACTACAAACAGGGCTCTCTCCACAGTCTGCAATTGCAGTGCCTACTGAGGAGAGGAGGTACAATCTAAGTTACTATAGAGCAGGCCGGTAAGGTCGGCCTGGCGCACAGTTTCTGTGATGAGGGAGGATGAAACTTAGTCCTCACAGGTGAAATGCAGTCTCCAGACCACAGCTCTAGAATAGGAAGGAGGCCACTGAGTGCCATGGCTTTTTCATAATGCTTGCCTGGAATGGGGCAGGTATGGTGAAAATGTTTCTGTTCTGCTTGCCCAAAATTTTGGCTTAGAAGGAGTAAGGTTTTCGTGGGGCCCCTTTTGGTGTGCGCCTGTAGCATTTCTAAGTTGAAGGCTCCTTAAGAGCCCAAAGCCTGGTTATGTGTGGAGTTTAAGAAAATAGAAACTTAGGGATTTCATCATAGGTTGTTACTGCTGTGTAGGTCCCTAAGCCAGTCAGTTGTCCTTCGTCACCTTTCAGAATCTTCTGTTGCGTGCTAAATTTCATGCAGAGTTTAGTAATTAGTGGGAGGAATAGTGTGAAATGTGCTTACTCCATATTTTAATTAGATGGAGGTCTCTCATAGCTTTTTAAAAGCATTGTATGTATACAGGGTGGGACAAAAGTAAGTTTACAATTGTTTGTATGGAAAGTAGTACAAGAATTAATAAACAATAATACAAGAATAAACTGTTTTGTATACTCAAAACTGTGTTTTTGTCCCACCCTGTATGCATTAGTTTTCATTCTCATTTTGTTTTTTAATACTATGGGTTTTAATTGGGCAACTGGTATAATTTTAATAAGTTTTAGGGAAGTATATTGACATAAATACGTATGTTGTTAAATTTCTTTTTAGTTTTAATCATTTCCTTTTAGTATTATCAAGAGTTTTCAGCTGGTATGTATGAATTTATGTTGTGTTTTCCCAAGAACCCTATTGATAGCTAAAATAAGGGATGATTAGCATGGGTTGTCAATTCATCCTTTTTAGGGTCAGTGAGGAATTTACTTGATGGAAATTTTTTTTGAGGAAGAAGTATTTGAGAGTCTGTGATGGAAGACAGAGAGTGAGCTAGAGAGCACAGCTTGAATTAGGTTGGATTGTTTCTTTAGTATCACTTAGCTGCATTTTTTTTAGCCGTAGACAAATAATTGGTGTTCTGACTCTCTTCCTGGAGATTTAGTTAACAAATTTGCTACTTAGAGTCTCTGACAGCTTAGTACCCCTGCTGTCTTTATCACCAGTAAGGTAAAAGAAAAAGTACATTGTATATGGAATTTTGTATAACATTGATGTGGACCCCAGCTCATGGGGTCCACCACATTGTGGATGGAGGAGAGACATTCACACGGACTACCGAGTCCTGTGGAGGAAAAGGGACAGCATGGCTTTTTCTCTTAAGGGGAGCGAAAAGCCACAGCCCTTGCTGTGACTGGTCTTTATTGGGTTTCTTGGCACATTACATGATGGTCCTCACTTACTATGCACAGGTTGCTTAGGTGGTTACCTTTTACAGAAAACAAAGGAGCGAATGCTGCTTATCACACCACAGAAGAGGGATATTTGCAAAGGAAAAGGGCAAAAGTGGTTGAACCAGTTATTCCTTGGAAGTTTTAGCATGGATTTTAGGAAGTTACTTTGCAGTAAATGTTTGCCACAAATTTGGGTGAGAGAGTTTTTAGCAAAAAGCAAGACTCAAAGCGGCCTAGGCACATTGCAGGCCTGATTCCCCATGGCAGAACCTATCTGTGGGCGTGGATCCTGTGCATCTCCAAGTGGGAGCTGGGCCCAAGCCACACAGAAAAACGGTCTTCTACATAACATCTTGACTGTGTTAACATTTCCCCCCTTCCTACCAAGAAAAAAAACAGCCAAATCCCAGTAATGAAGAGGGGTCAGCCCAAGAGAAATTATACCGAGATATTTGTAGTTAAGTGGAGGAATTTGTCTTTCTAAATTTAATTTAAATTATATTCTATTGTTAATGCTATTACAGTTGTCCCAGTTTTTCCCTTTTTGTTCCCCTCCACCTGGATCCCCCCACTCCCTTAGGTAATCCCCACGCCATTGTCCATGCTCATGGGTCATGCATGTATATTTTTTGGTTACTGTATTTCCTGTACTATACATCCCCATAACTATTCAGCAACTACAAATTTGTACTTCTTTTTTTTTTTTTTAGATTTTATTTATTTATCTTTAGAGGGGAAGGGAAGGAGAGAAGGAGAGAAATATCAATGAATGGTTGCCTCTCATGAGTCCCCTGCTGGGAACTGGCCTGCAACCCAGGCACGTGCCCTGACTGGGAATCGAACTACGATCGTGTGGTTCGCAGGCCCGCGCTCAATCCACTGAGCTACACCAGCCAGGGCTAATTTGTACTTCTTAATCCCTTCACCTTTTTCACCCATGCCTCAGATCCCCCTCCCATCTGGCAACCATCAAAATGTTCACTGTATCTGTTACTCTGTTTCTGTTGTTCGTTCATTTATTTTTAGATTCAATTATTGATACGTGTTTATTGCCATTTCATCATTCATATTTTTGATCTTTAACATTTTATGTAATACTGGTTTGGTGATGATGAACTCCTTTAGCTTTCTCTGGTCTGGGAAGTTCTTTATCTGTTCTTTGATTCTAAATGATAGCTTTGCTGGGTAGAGTAATATTGGTCGTAGGTCCTCACTTTTCATGATTTTGAATATTTATTGCTAATCCCTTCTAGTCGGCAAAGTTTCTTTTGAGAAATCAGCTGATAGTCTTATGGGAGCTCCCTTGTAGGTAACTAACTGCTTTTGTCTGGCTGCTTTTAAGTTTATCTATTTGCCTTTTAACCATTTGCATTTTAATTATGATGTGTCTTGGTGGGAGTCTCTTTGGGTTCATCTTGTTTGAGACTCTATGCTTCCTGGATGTGCATATCTTATTTCCTTCACTAAGTTAGGGAAGTCTTCTGTTATTATTTTTTCAGATAGGTTTTCAGTTAATCACTTGCTCTCTTCTCCTTTTGGCACGTTCATGTTGTGATTATTCGTACATTTGAAGTTGCCCCAGAGGCTCCTCACACTGTCCATTTTTCTGGATTCCTTTTTCTTTTTGCTGTTCTGATTGGGTGTTTTTTGTGCTTTCTTATATTCCAAATTGCTGATTTGCTTCTTGGCTTTATCCACTGTACTGTTGATTTCTTGTAAATTGTTTATTTCAGTTAGAGTATACTTCATTTCTGACTACTTCTTTTTTATGGTTTCTATGTCCTTTTTAATGCTCTTGAAGTTTTCTCTGAGTTCATCTGCTCTTCCCCTAAGTTCATTGAGTATCTATAATCAGTATTTTGAACTCTGCATTTAGTAGATTTTTGTACCCATTTTGCTTCTTTTCTGGATGAAATTTTGTTCTGCTTTTTAATTTGGGGCCTGTTTCTTTGTGCCCTCATTGTGGCAGCCTCCCTGTGTTTGTTTCTATGTGTTAGGTAGAGCTGCTATGACTCCCTGTCTTGGTAGTGTGGCATAAAGTAGTAGGTGTCCTGTAGGATACAGTGGCACAGCCTCCCCTATCACCTAAGCTGGGTACTCAAGGTGTGCCTACCATGTGGGCTGTGTACAGCCTCCTCTTGTAGTTGAGCCTTGATTGCTGTTGGCAGGTCAGTGGGAGGGATTTACTTAGGCCAGTCAGCTGCAAGGACTGGCTGTGACCTTGACCACCGTGTAGGATCAGCTGTGTAGGGGCCCATTCCTCAGAGCAGGGCTCTGGTGCCTGCCAAGTCTACCCCTTGAGTGTGTTGCTTGTGCAGGTGATGGGTAGTGGTGCTCTGACATGGTCTGTAGTTGTCTGCTGGGTACACAGGCTCTAGGGCTTCCCAGGAGGTGCAAGCCAAGGTTAGCCACTGCGTTTGTTCTGTTCCTGGCCACCTGGCATGAGCAGCAGAGTGATATGGCTGCTACTTGTGTTGGGCACTTGGGTGCCCAAGTGAGGCCAAGCTGTGAACCTAGGCCAGTTGCTGCTAGTGCCAGGCCTGGGGCCACGTAGCCAGAGGTACAGGGCTTGCTAAGGCCAGATGCTGCTTGTTTGAGAGAAGTTAGGAAAATCTCAAGTATGAGCCAAGGCAAATCATTTGTATGCAAAACCACTGAAAACAGCTTGGATGGTCCTGAACTTGAGTGGGGTGAAGCCTCAAGGAATCACCAGGGTGGGGCAAACAGTGCAAGCTAGGTTGATGGAATCTCATATGGTGCCTGCTTGCACTGTGGGTGAGGGCTCAGAAAAGGAACAATGGCCTCTGCCAGTACTTCTGTCTGGGAGAAAACTGCGCCCTCCCAGCTCTTGCCCCAATCCCAGACACTTCAGTTTCTCCCCGTATGCCTCTGGTGCCTTTCAGGCTGCTGCCCTGTGCTATAGCTCAGAGGGAGGGAGTTAGAATACATCTGTATGCAGGCCCTTTAAGAGGAACTGCCTGAGACTCAAGCAGTTTCTGTGTTCCACAGCCTCAAATCCCCACTGGTTTTTATAGCCAGAAGTTGTGGGAACTTATCTTTGTGGCACTGGAACCTTGGGCTTGGGGGCCTGTTGTAGAGATGGGACCGCTGGATCCTGAGATATACCTCCTGATTTGGACGCCCCCCCCCCCCCATGTGGTGGTGGGACCAGCCTGTTCTACGAGTTCACCCCTCCTACCATTCTCAATGTGGTTTCTTCTCTAATTCCATGGTTATCAGACTTCCATTCAGCTCGATCTTTTGTGGTTCTAAATAATGGTTGTTTGGTAGTTTAGTTGTAATTTTGATGTATAAGTAGGTCAGCTGTGTTTACCTATGCCACCATCTTGACCAGGAGTCAGATGGAGGAATTAGATACATTACTAAAATTTCAATTCTTTTTTTTAAGTGTGTTTGGTGAGCATAAAGTGTGAAATATCAAAAGAAATGTATGCTTACATTCCATAACATTTTATTTAACAGTATGATACTTTAAAGCCAATATTTTTTTTCATATATTTTTATTGCGTACAGGTGGGAAAGGTGTTCATTCCTGGACTGCCAGCTCCTTCCCTGACAATGTCCAACCCGATGCCTCGGCCCAGCACTCCGCTCGACAGCGTTAGCAGTCCTATGCCTCTGAGTAAGCTACTCGGATCCTTGGATGAGGTGAGAAAGGAATTAGGTGTTGTCAAAAATTATTAGTGTTTTAAAGAAGTTTGGTCAAATGTTCATTCCATGATGATTTTTTTTTTCTGTTTTAAAAATGACATAATTGGAAGTTTAGCTGATACTTGTAGAATATAAATGTCTTGAAGCACAAATGATTTATTAAATATGCACTGACGTCTGGTGTGATGTGTAAGGTACTCTGGGAGGTGCTACAGAGGTGAGACTGAGGCATTCTTTTCCATATAGGAATCTCAGCATTTATTTGAGTGGAACAGATGTAGTGTCTGCATATGAAATTATGTTTAAGCTGGATTATTAAGACATATAAATGATGAATAAATTGTCCCAGGGGAAATTCACTGATAGGAAGATACGTTCTGATAGGTTGAAGTGGGAGAACCACATCTTGGAGAAGCCTGTCTGACTGGGTTGGACTGTGATACATAGGATATCTGTAGGTGGGAAGGAGTGTTTGGGGCAAAGAGGGTTCACAGGAGCCTGGGTGTGGGGGCAGGAGAGTGCAGAACCCTCGTGCGCATGTTCCCATCTTCATCTCCTAGTGCGCAAGTTAAGACAACTTGTCTGGGGGGCAGAATGAATGAATGCTTATGAAAGTACAAGAAGTCTGTTGGGTGCGGCAGGCAGGGTGGAATCATCATGATGACGTGTTTTGGAGTGTTTCCTGTGTGTTAAGCACTGTTCTGAGTGTTTTGTATGTATTAACTTATTTAATTTCTTAGAACAGCTTCATTGGGCGTATACCGATCCCTGTTTTACAAATGGATGCATGGATGTACAAAGCTTCCTTGTCTGGAGCCCTATAGCTAATAAGTGGTTGAGCTGGGATTTTCACTTTTACTAATATGCTCTTAGAAGAGGGATGCAAAGGTGGTTTTTATTCTGAATGTAATTACCAGAGCATTGCTGGTGTCTGAGTATGGAGTTATGAATGTTAGGTTGTGTCTTTTAGATGATAAGTTTATCTTAGGATTGATAAAAGACCAGTTAGATTATAATTGATGGTGTCTGTGTTAACTGAAGAGATGCAAAGAGAGAGCCTGCGTTGGGGCAGTACTCTCGAAAGGAGGGGAGTGACAGGAAAAGCCTAAAGAGGTGGAAGTGACCCTGTTTGTTAGCTGCTGGGGTTTGTGCTGTGCTAGGGTGAGGTGCTGGGGAGCGAGGCTCAGTCCTCTGAGCAACCTGGGTCAAGTTAAGAACTCTGGAGAAAGTCTGTATTTGAGAGACATCTGAGTGCAGATGTTTAGGGGCAGTTCAAAGTGAAGGTTGGTGGTGGCACTTGTGCTGGGTAATGTTGGGCCCTAAGTATTATTTTATAAACACATACAATATTGAGCTCCTTCCTTTCAAGCTAGACATTTGCAAAACTCTTGGAAAGGGAGCTGTAGAAATACCTTTTTGTGTGTGGTTTGAAAGAATTTCTTTTATAACATAACATGGTTCCCAACTTTTCTTGGCATTCAATAAACCTAGGAATGGTTAGTGTCTTTATGGCAGCTGCCAGATTGTAGCCTAGCGTAACTTGTTGGCTGGTCCCACTACTCTGGGGGATTGTGCAGCTAGACTTGGGTCTAAGATGAGTGGAGCTTCATTTTGGGGTAGCTATTGGGGTAGAAACTGGAATATAATAAATACATCTTATGCCGATTGGCTCTTATTGTTGACAAGATAGTCACTTAGAAATTTCCTGTAAATTGAATTACAGGAATCCAGAAGGGTTGGTGGTCAGGACTAGATTTAAAGTAGGAAGCATCCGCATGTAATTAGTAATTAAGATCATTTAAAATTTTTGTTTGCACATCTACAGTTGAGGAAATAAAATGTTGTCCTCAATTTTTAGAATAGACATTTGCCTGTAGGGGAAGCATCACTAAGTAGCTGTCTCAGTTCTTTGCTTTCTCTTTGCTCTTCTTTCTTCTCTCTGGCATCTTGGACCCTCTCGTCATATCTACCTTGCCTTTCTCACATTTCGTCTGTAGCCCTGTGAGGTTGCCAGGAGTGTTGCTGCCTTCTCTTCCCGCAGCCCTCCCTAACTTGCATACTCAGTTTGGCATAACTTCATCATTGCACCTTCAGCAGAATGATTGTAAGTCATTATGTGCAGTTGTTAGACTATATGCAAATGGAATAAAGTTTCTCTTTCACTTCTCAAAAAATACTTCACATGTGTTGTATTTTTTACTTTTTATAGGTCGTTCTGTTGTCTCCAGTTCCAGAACTAAGGGATTCTTCAAAGCTTCATGATTCTCTCTATAATGAGGATTGTACTTTCCAACAGCTTGGAACTTACATTCATTCTATAAGAGACCCTGTCCGTAACAGAGTGACTCTAGTAAGTACGTTTACATAAATGGCCTTCTAAGAGATATGGCTGTCATTTCAAATTTGTCATAATGAAGAATTTTGTCCGAAAAATGAAAACAAACATTTCTCATGATATTTAAGATTTTTTGTAATGTGTTATTTCTTCTCACTATTTTACTTTAAAGTAAATCTGGTTAACTTTTAAGAAGTTTTTATATTATTAAAATGTATTGAAAATAGCCTGTTCAGTAAGTTGAATTTTATGTTGATTTTTGTCTTCAAAAGTTAGTTTCCCCTTTTTTTGGTGATGATGAGTCTTAGTGTGTATATGAAAATTATACACTTTGTTAGAAACAAGAATTTTTGTAAATGTTTTACAAATATGAACTTTTACAGTGTCTGAAACTAGGAAGTATTTACTCTGCTTTGAAAAATATTTGTGTTTTTTTTTTCATTAATTTTATTGAATATTGCTTTGACAGGCAAAAAAATCTTACAAAACATCAGCTATGTCTGAGACCTTCAGAAACTTGGCAGCACAGATTCTGTTGATTTGCTCTTGTTTGTTTCCATTCTTTTCCTAGGAACTGAGTAATGGCTCCATGGTTAGGATCACTCTTCCCGAAATTGCCACATCTGAATTAGGTATGTTGGAGGAGCACAGCTGGATTCCATGTATTCTTAGTTTGATTTGTAAGATTTGCAGTCATTGCTGACTTGTGTACATAGTTGGGGTTTTAAAATTTTTGCTGTTTTTGAAGCCAGGAGATGGCATTTTTTCCTTTGTGGAAAAGCTGTAAAGAGCCAGGAACATGTGCTGTCCCTTCCCTGGGCACTGTGAGGCTAGGTGTGACTTGCAGGATGTGCTGGTTTTGTTTCTCTGGCTTTCCTTACGTGGAAGGTGCCATGCAGGGACGTGACAGCCTAGGAACATGCCTCCTGCAAGAAACTCTGGGAAATGGGGAAGCCCAAGCAATTAAAGTAATTGTTAGAATACTTGGTGGTTTTAATCCTAAATCTCTCAACTGTTAGAGCAATGGAGACGTGAACATAATTGCATTAATTGTATTAAAATATTATAGTAAAAATACAATCAGAAGTTTGTTGTTTTTTTAAAGATTTTATTTATTTATCTTTAGAAGAGAAGGGAAGGAGAGAGGGAGAGAAATATCAGTGCGTGGTTGCCTCTCTCGTGTCCCCTGCTAGGAACTGGCCTGCAACCCAGGCATGTGCCTTGACTGGGAATCAAACCGTGGTTGTTTGGTCTGCAGGCCCACGCTCAGTCCACTGAGTTATATCAGCCAGGGCTCAGTCAGAAGTATTTTTAATACAACTGGAGTCTCCTTGAATTATTATTGTAATGCAGTTTGGAAAATGCTAGGTGGAGAATATTTCTGATCATAGAATAGTAAAGAAAACTAGAATTGAAAGGATGTACCAACAAACATAAGTTAAAAAAAGAATGTCTATATGACATAAGGAAAAATGCATGATGTCTATTAGTTTCGAAATCTAACTGCCAAAGCAAAGCACTAGCAGATAGTGTGATTTCTGGATTTTGGTAAGTGGCCCAGAATGATTTTTTCATTGTAGGAAATTGGTATGATAAATGATATTCTGAGTTGGTGTAGAGATAACTTTGTTTTTTTCAAAGGTATTTAGCTGCTAGTTGCAAGGCTACATACCTAGAAGTATAAGCCTAAGCAAAATATGTAGAAACTTGGAGTTCCGGCCAAGATGGAGGTGTAGGTAGAAACTCTTTGCTTACTTACACAACCAAAAGAAGGGTACCAACCAATCTAAAAGCAATAAACAACCAGAACTGCTGGAAAATCAAACTGCATCAACAACCAAGGAGTTAAAGAAACATTCACCCAGACTGACACCACCACAACACAGCAAAGAGGGTTGCCTCACCCAGGTGAATACTTAAGGCCCCGTCCGCTTACAACCTAACAGGTGCATGGAGGCAAAGAAATATGGCCCAAATGAAAGAACACAGCAAAACTCCAGAAAGAGAGCTAAGTGATGAGAAGATAGCCAACCTATCTGATAGAGAGTGCAAAACACTGGTAAGCAGGATGCTCACAGAACGAGCTTGGTCACAAAATGAAGGACAAAATGAAGGCTACCCAAAGTGAAATAAAGCACAATATACAGGGAACCAACAGTGATGGGAAGGAAACTGGGACTCAGACCAACAATTTAGAACAAAAGGAAGAAATAAACATCCAATGAGAACAGAATGAAGAACAAGAAATTAAAAAAATGAGGAGAGGCTTAGGAAACTCTTGGACAACTTTAAACGCTCTAACATCCGAATTATAGGGCTACCAGAAGGAGAAAAACAAGAGTAAGAAGTTGAGAACTTATTTGAACAAATAATGAAGGAAAATTTCCCTAATCTGGCAAAGGAAGTAGACTTCCAGGAAGCCCAGAGAATCCCAAAGAAATTGGACCCCAAGAGGAACACACCAAGGCACATCATAATTAAGTTACCCAAGAATGAAGATAAAGAGGGAATCTTAAAAGCAGCAAGAGAAAAGGGGACAGTTACCTACAAAGGAGTGCCCATAAGGCTATCAGCTGATTTCTCAAAAGAAACTTTACAGGCAAGAAGGGGCTGGAACAAAGTATTTCAAGTCATGAAAGGCAAGGACCTTCATCCAGGATTGCTCTATCCAGCAAAGCTTTCATTTAGAATGGAAGGGCAGATAAAGTACTTCTCAAATAAGGTCAAGTTCAAGGAGTTCATCATGACCAAACCATTATTGTAAGAAAAATTAAAGGGTCTTATCTAAGAAACAGAAGATAAAAAATTATCAATAGTAAAATGACAGCAAACTGAAAACTATACATAACTGAACCTAAAAAAAAAAAGAAAACAAAAACTAAGTAAACAACTAGAACAGGAATAGAACCAGAGAAATGGACATCACAAGGAGGGTTTTCAGTGCAGGGTGGGGGGCGGGTGAAGGGAAGAATGGGGGAGAAAAGTACAGGGAATAGGAAGCATAATTGGTAGGCATAAAATAGGGAGAGGTTAAGAATGATATGGGAAACAGAACTCAAAGAACTTATATGTACAACCCATGGACATTAGCTAAGGGAGGGGGGATGCCAGAGGGTTGAGGGGTACAGTGCCGAGTGGGGAGAAAAGAGAGAAAAATATTGGGAAAACTAATAGCATAATCAATAGTAATACTTAAAATATATAGAAACTCATAGCAGATTAAAAAATAATTAAAACCAAAAATGAAATCCTATTTCCTGACAGCTGAATAGAAGTAACATAGTCCATGCACATAAGTTTTTGTACTTTTTTTATAAAGTGCTCCTCAGCTCCTCAGGCAGTATCTGGTTTACACTTATTTTGGATTCAGCCATGACGGATTTGGTTATGTGCTTTTTTAATATTTACTCCATTTGATTTCAGTGTATATACACAGATAGCAAATTGATGAGAAAAGGAAATACAGCTGAGGATAGGTCAGGTGACAGTGACAGTGACAGTGTGCTGGGAAGAATCTTGAACGAGAATGTAGGAGAACACAAGCACTTTGCTGTTTGGGGTCAGTCAAACAGCAAAGCCAGGCTCTTCACAGCAGCAGTGCTCACCACCTGGAGGTGTCACTGAGTGACAGTGTAACCCCACAACTGACATTCACACTAATGACACTGAGTCAGTAAGAGAAGCATGGGATTGAAGGGTCTGTTTAAGACAGCATGGGAAACATTTTTAGACACTGAATGCTGTCAGGTGTTTGAATGCATTCAGTGTTTTAAAGCTCCAATAACAAGAATGTTCACTTGTGGAGAATATCTCTTGTACTGAAGTGTTAAGGCAGTATTTCATATGAATTTATCTGTGTGGAAACTGTTGGCATAACTACCTTTAATTTATTGTCCAATCTAGGAATGTTTGAGACTGAAATGGGTAGCTATTAATAATTGCTGGGCAGTGGATGTCAATTACTTCTGTCTCAGGTTAAGTGGGCTGTTTGTTACCTTATTTCTGACCTGAAATTAATGACTGAAAAGCTGCCCTGAGACCTCTTGCAAATCCTGTGGACTCCTGTAGTTGATCTAGGTTTCCAGTGATGGCCCAGGATAATATGGCATTTTATTGGCTCTTTTATGACAGTTCTCTCTTTATAGTAGTTGGCCTTTAAATAGTAGTAATAATTTAAAAACTTTCATATTAAAAGGGGGAGAGAAATGCATGCATAGGAAGCATACTAAAATTAATCCTTGCTTTTAACAGTACAAACATGTTTGCAAGCAATTAAGTTCATCCTGCCAAAAGAAATAGCTGTTCAGGTGCTTGTCAAGTGGTACAGTGTCCACAGTGCTCCAGGTGGACCGAGCTATCATTCAGAGTGGAATTTATTTGTGACTTGTCTCATGAACTTGATGGGTTATAACACAGACCGCTTAGCATGGACAAGAAATGTAAGTATATCTGGTTGTTTCTTTTTCCTGAGTTATTTTGGTATCAACGTAATGTTTGCATAAATAGTAATACAGCTTTCAGAGTATATAGCAGATCAGTTTTCTAATAAGCATACTTTATTCAACAAAATGGAATAATACTAAAGTGTATTATATCTATATTGTAAATTTCATATTGTTTCATATTTTATACTATTTTACCAGTAATTATAATTACTGCACTTTTATAATGTGACAAAGCATGTTTTACTATTATCATTTCATCTTTTAAAAATGACTGCAATTTATGCTAGGGTTAGTAGTGATAGTCTTGGTTTTACTGATGAAGAAACTGAGTTACAAAGAGCTCACAGAGTAGAGATTTGCTCAAAACGCGGCCTAGACTGTGTCTGCTGACTCCTGGCTCAGTGTTTCTTTCTGAAGCCCAGAGTCTTCACACACAGATTGCTTGGTCTGTGGGAAGGAATGTTTGATTTGAGGGGGATCGAAACTGCTTAAGCCTGAGTATCTGTAGAAAGCTGTGTCCCTCATCTCCTGCCCTATAAACGTCCTTAGAAGGCCCTTCAAAGCTACTTACAGAGTCAAGAAGTGAGAGCCTTCATTTTGATTTCCTCTGGGCTCCTGAGGTTTACTCCCAGGACAGCCTTGCCTGGGCGACTGCAGAAATCACTCTTTTGTCCAGGTAACTCAGCTGTTTCTGTCTGTACATTTTAGATCATTTTAGATCTGTACTGGCAAATCTACCCCCCCTCTTTTTTTAAATCCTCACTTGAGGATATGTTTTTTGTTGATTTTGGAGAGAGAGAGAAACAGAGAAAGAAACATCGATGTGAAAGAGTCATTGATCAATTGCCTCCTCTCCTGTACTGCAACTTAGGTATGTGCCTTGACTGGGAATCAAACCTGCAACCTTTTGGTGCATAGGATGATGCTTCAACCCACTCAGCCTCTGGCCAGGGCCTGACAAATTTATTTTAAATATCATTTATTTTTCTTCATTATGAAAGGGTACGTGCTTATTGAGGACAATTTTCAAAATGGAAGAATTCAGAAGAGGAAAACAGTACTGTACAGAGATGACCAGCCTAAACTTTTTTGGTATTTCATTTTAGAATATAATAGCAGTGAAAACTTCCCATAATTTAAAGAATTCTTCGGATAGAACTTCTAGTTTCATTATCCTCATAAAAGGATACCATGTGGTGTCACCATACGTAACCAACAACCAGTCCTCGAACATTGTTGAATACGGTTTTTTCCTTATGGGTAATTTGCAAATACTCTTTTACACACAGATTTATATATAGGTGCACATATATATACACTCACACATACACATATACATATATATAGTCCTTTCCCAAGATTCGAACCTTAAAAGAGGGATTATTAGGTCAAGTAACGTTCAGAAAGGGCCTTCCAATTGACATTCTCACTAGCATCATTTAAAAGTGCCCATTTAGCACATTGATGATTGGTGGTGTGGTGAACCTTTGTCAGCTTCGTGAGAAATTTCATCTTATTTCTGTGTAAACAAATGGGAATGGTTTTTCCCAATTCTCATTGGTCATTTATAGTTTTTATTTTTTGACTTGCATAACATGTCCTTGCCTCTGTTTCTCTCTCTTCTTAGCCCAGCAGCCAAAGTAATCCTGTCGGATAAAGTCAGGTTATGTCACTCCTGCATGGAACCCCCTGTGCCTCCCATCCTGCTCTGAGTAGAGGCCGGAGGCCTTCCCCCAGATAAGATAAGCTTAGGTCTTTTTCACATGTCACCTCAGTGCACACCGCCCCATCCATTCTCTGTAGAATTCTCATCTCCCCACACTTTATCCCCTTTACTTGTTTTATTTTTTTCTTACCACTAATTAAATGTAATATGCTGTATATTTTACTTTGTTTGTGTGTCTCTCCTTCTCTTATTGGCATGTCAGTTCTACGTAGGCATGTCATGTAGGCAGGGTTTTTTTAGTTTTTTGTCACGATCTCTAGGACCTCCCATGGGGCCTGGCTGGCTCAGATGCTCAGTGAACATTTGTGGAATAAATGCCCTTTCCATGTGGATGTAGCTTTAAGAGTTTGTGTAAGTTGTAGCGTATGAGAGAATTGCCCTCTGTGGTATTATTGAGAAAAATCAGTCCACTTCATCTTTTTGTAGTGTTTGTGTGTCACTGTCCTTTGGAACTTGTTGATGAATACAGATTGTTGTGCTCCGTTCTCCAACAGAGAACCTGTGGGCCCTCATGCTTCTCTGTTGTGGGAGGACTGAGCACCCACTGTGATTTCTTTCGTAGAGAAGGACATGGCTCTCTGACTTGTTTACTGCATGATAGTTCTAAAGGAGGGAACAAGGGAGTTGGTGTTGAGCCCAGGTTATTCATTTTATAAGAGGCCATAGTTCAACCCTTGCCGTGTTTCATCCTTACAGTCAGAGCTCAGGAAGGAACAGTCTTTATTATCAAATTGTGTTTTCGTGTACTTTGTCCAGCTTTAGCCTTTTTTCCTACTTACAGAATGGGGTGGATAGTAGGGAGTACAAAATTTCTGCCAATGACTTGTTATGTGATTTTTGGCATTTCTTTGCACTTTTCTTAATGCACCGATGTAGTAAATGAGAGCACTGGACCAGATGATGTTTCCCTCTGGTGTCCTTTAGGATGCTCGTGTTTTTGTTACATACAGAGCCCCTGCTGTGGGCCAGGCCCGGTGCCAGGCTTTCAGATACACGTTGGGCAGGACAGATAGTTCCTCTCATGGGATTGACTGTGTCGGGGGAAGGCAGGTAGATAAATATTTTACACACAGGTTATGACACAGGAGCATAGAACAGGGCTGGCTGACCTGAGAATTGGTGAAATAATGAAGGTAAAGCAGATCTGTATATGCCACAAAGGGGTGTATATATCAGACAGTTTCTGCTGTTCATTCCCATAATTTCAGGTGTTAGGACTCTGGGAACAATAGCAGGGACATTTCTCTCTGTGGGACTTAGACACTGTGTGTGCGTTTGTGCACTAATGTACAGGGTGGGGAACATTTATTCTTGTATTATTATTGAATGAATTATGAACAACGGTAAACCTACTTTTGCCCCATCCTGTATTTTGGCTAAATTTTTGGGTAAGATAACTATCATGGCATCTGTTGCTTTGATTTTAGTCTTTTTTGTTTTGTTTTGTTTTTTGATTATACTGTATGTGAGTTGGGCTGTGTTTTATTTGAACACTTCACAAGAAAGAATATGTTTTCTCTTGATCAGCTTTAAAAATTATTTTATTCAGTTTTGTATTTAAATGTTCAGCTTTTAAAATTACTTCTACCTACATTTAGTTTTTGTAGAGACATCAACTTTTAGGGATAGGATTAATTGAAATATATATATATGAAAGTTCTGTTGAGCATAAAAAGTAGTCATTGCTGTCTTTAGAGTTATGGTTGATGAGGTGGCAGTGAGAAGTAGCAGAGACGGGGCAAAGGTTATGCCAGAGGGAACCGAATAGGAGGGCACTCTCAGAAAATGGCTTTTATGTAACTGCATTAGTTAGGGCAGGCTAACTACCATACCAGGAAGTCCTCAAGAGATACAATGGCTCACACACAATAAAACTGTGTGTCTTGCTCATATGACAGTACTTAGCAGGTCAACAGGCCACACAGTTATTAGGGACCCAGGTTGATGGAGCAATGAGCCATCTCCAACTTGTGGGTTGACTCCATCTAGTCAGGTTCGAGGTGCAAGTTCATGGGTTGTGATGTCCAGGAAATGGGCCTGGACATGGCGGCCTGCACTTTCATCAGAGTCTCACTGTGTCAGGGCCACACCTAACTCTGAGGGTGGCAGGGATATGTAGCCTGGCTGTAGGGCCAAGAGGAGGAGGAGAGCACAGATTTTGAAAAGGAACTCCCTGTCTCTGCCATAGAATTGTTAGACTGTCCACTGTGGACAGACCCTAAATAAAATGTCTTCTTCATTCTGGCATGTGGCTGACATTGAGTTGATTTTTTTGAGACGTGGCATATTTGGTTATGGCTCGTGGTCCTTCTTCTAAAGGAGTGAAGATACACATCATCACAGAAATAGAGGAGGAAAGGGAACTCCCACTGAAGTGCCTATGAGCCCAGGCACTGTGCTTCACATACATGGTTTCACTTAATCTTCACAGTGATCCTAGAAGGAAAGTCTTTATTTGTACTATGTTTTGCCAGGCAAAAGGATGAGTTTTGGTCACTCAGTTTTCATGGTTGGTGGAACTAATTTCTGCATCTTTTCAGTTGGTCAGTCGATGCTGACAACTTTATATGATTTTGTCTTCTCTTTTGGGGTTATTTTCCAGTTTGACTTTGAAGGGTCACTTTCCCCAGTAATTGCACCCAAAAAAGCAAGGCCTTCTGAGACGGGATCTGATGACGTAAGTATTATTTCTTGCTGATATTAATTGACTTGTAGGTGCTTTTATGGGCCTCCCATTTCGGTGGTGTGTATGCTGATTTGTGTATGTAAGCATACCTCATTTTATTGCAATTCACTGACACTGTTTTTTCAGAATTGAAGTTTTGTGGCAACCCTTCCTCAAGCAAGACTGTTGGCACAGCACGATTCTTCTAACAGTGTGTCTTTGCGTCACATTTTGATAAATCTTGCAGTATTTCAAACCTTTTCATTATTATCACATTTGTTATGGTCATCCGTGATCGGTGATGTTTGATGTTACTATTGTAATTATTTTGGGGCACCACAAACTGCATTCATGGAAGATGGGGAACTCAGTTATAATGTTGTGTTTTGTCCTGACCCCTCTGCTGACTGGCCGTTCCCCATTCCTTGTGTCTCCCTTTCCGCGGGCCTCCCTTTTCCCTGAGACACAACTAATAACCTTACCACGGCCTCCACGTGAAAGGAGGAGGCACGCATCTGCCCCTGGTGAAGATGCCGTGAGGACTGTTGAAATGGCAACAGATGATTTAGGATATTGTGGAAATCACTTTAGCTCTTATTTTACTGCATTGTGATTTCTTTTCATATTCTTAGATCAATTTAATGTGAAAATGTAACTTGAATTGCTTTTTTAAAAACATCCAGAATACCTGGAACTTGAATTGCTTTTTTTTAATGATGAAATTACAAGGAGGCGTGATTTTAAAATTAATATCCTTTTCTTGGCAGGATTGGGAATATTTACTCAATTCAGACTACCATCAGAAGGTTGAATCTCACCTTTTGAATAGATCTTTATGTCTGAGTCCTTTGGAAGCTTCTCAGATGAAGGATGAAGACTTGTCACAGAATCTCAGTCTGGATTCTTCTACACTCCTCTTCCCTCACATACCTGCAATTTTTTTTGTTCTTCACCTTGTCTATGAGGAGCTTAAGTTGAATACTCTGATGGGGGAAGGAATTTGTTCTCTTGTTGACCTCCTCATTCAGTTGGCAAGGTAAATGCTGTCTGTAGAGTGGAAACTTCTAGAAGTACTTAGGTGACTCGATCTTAGCTGTGAATGTTATAGAGGAAACTTGTAAATAGATTTCTGAAATTGGTCTTCTTAAATCCCAGAGCATTTTTTATAAACCACAGAAGTATCTGAAGATACTGGCTGTGTAAGGGCCTGCGGGTCATGCTAAGGTTGCTAGTTTTGTCCCAAGATCAGTGAGAAGTGATGGAAGTGTGTTAAACGGTGGGGATATCCTGCTGAGCACTTCATGTTGACAGGATGGCCGGCTGCATATGGTGGAAGTTCTGTGACAATACTCCCCACATTCAAATAGCGCCACACTGCACAGCATCAGAGTTTAGCTGCATCAGTTGTCAGAAAACATAGGCATCTTGATCCCCATTTAGGGATGAGAACACCTGGTCGTGTGTTCCAGGAACACGAGTCTTGGCTAGCCGCTATCTCCCGTCTGTGCTGTGTTGTCACCGTCTTCGGTCATCTCTGTCTTCTGTGGATCTACACTCAGATTATTCTGATAATGCACTTTAACAGTCATTCAGGAGTCTGTGCTTGGCACTGGTTTCTAAACACACTTAGGCATTATTTACTCCTTTGTGATCCTTAATGATAAAGAGAGTTCAGTTGAATCAAAGTATGAAGTCTGAGTTAAGATTATAGCATATTTTCTAATTCCCTTGATCTTGCTTGAGATACTGAAATTGTTTTCTGAGACATAACAGTTTTAATTGATGGTCAGCTTCTCTCAGGAAAAATCTTACTATCATGAAAATTCTTTTGTCATGAAATTATTCCAAACTAATCATGGGCCTTCTAAAATAACATTTGTATAATGTTTCACATTTTCATAAGGTATTTTTCACAATTGAATCTTAAAACTTCACCATGGGTAAACCAGCGTTTCCCTGTTTTCTACAAGAAAATATTGAGGTTCTGGAGGTGGTTTACTGAAGATCACACAGCAAATAAGTAACAGGGTAAACTGGGCCACGGTGTTTTTACAGTAGTTTTACCCTAACAGAATGTGCCTAGCAGAAGGAGTTGGATTGCATTTATCATATTGGGAACTGGAAAGTCTAGAAAGAGAATAAAGAGACTCTAGATTTGATTATTGTTTTTCTAAGTGAGTTTCCAAATTGCAAAGTTGAACTGATGAATTCTAACTCTGGGGTGGGGCGAATGCTGTAATTCCTTTCTTATTTTTTCTATTTTGTTCTTATTGTTTTCTATTTTCTATTTTATTCTTATTGTTTTAGGGACTTGAAATTGGAGCCTTACTTAGATCATTACTACAGAGATTACCCAACACTTTTCAGAACTACTGGACAAGTGTGCACAATTGATCAAGGTAAGCATTTGTGTTAAGGAGTTTGTGAATGGTGTAGTGACATTTGCTTGTGTTTTTCTTACCACTAGTCTCTAAGTCAGGAGGCAGGGCCTTTCCACTGGGCAGATTTTAGTTTGTGCTTGATCTCTGGTTTGCAATAAGCCATAGCTTTCATAGTGTGTGGAGAAAATTATACCCACCCCTAAGGTTCTGAGTTGCAAAAGCTTAGAGAGCTTTCAGTGCTAAGGACGCTGTGTCCACGACCTGCACTTTGTCATCCAAGTGAATGATATTAAAATGTAGTTCCTTAGTTACACTGCCCACATTTCAAGAGCTCAGTAGCTGCTTGGGGCTAGTGGTTGCCATACTGGAACATGTTCATTACCACTGCCTGAGCTAAAGAGACTCAGGAGTGGGGCCCAGTTGTTAGAACACGGAGGAATCCTGGCTGTCTCTGCTGTTTTCTCACCTTTCAAGTTTGGGTAGAAAATTTTGGTTAGATTCTTTATATGCCTTGAGCACAAAAATACACTCTCTTTCCATCCAGTATGGGATAAAATAGTAACTATTTAAATTCTACATAGTATAATATAGTCAGCTTGTTTACTGTGGCAGAAAATATGGAACATTTGGGGAAATTTAGAAAATGTTATTCTGCTCAGTATTATGAAAGGGGGATCCCAAAAACCTCAGAAATTATTTATAAAGAATTGAGTGTTTATTCTTACATGTTTAAACTTTAGTCACTTTCAGAGTACTCTTCATTTGATGCAACACCTCTCGAGATGTTTTTTACATTGCTCAAAATAGTTTTTGAACTTACTGATTTTGAGGTCTTTTAGTGCTTCTGCTGTTCTTGGGCTTTTGTTTCACCTCTTCCACATCAGAAAACCATTTTCCTTTGAGGACTTTCAGTCAGTGAAACAAAAAAAAAAGCTGCTCTTGCCCTGGCTGGTGTAGCTCAGTGGTTTGAGCGCAGGCCCGTGGGCCCGCGGGTCTGCAAACCAGAGGATCGCTGGTTGGATTCCCAGTCAGAGCACATGCCTGGGTTGCAGGCCAGTTCCCAGCAGGGGACCTACGAGAGGCAACCATACACTGATATTTTTCTCCCTCTCTCCTTCCCTTTCCCTCTAAAGATAAATAAATAAAATCTTTAAAAAATAGAAATGGATATTTAAAAAAAGTCACTCTTGGGTGAATAGGGAGGTTGGGGTATGAGGGTTAAAAACTGCTGAGTACTCAGTGTGGTGTGGGCAGGTGCACCTATAAATCACCCATCATAAAATGGGCAAATGAATTGAAAGAGTTTTCAGACAAATTCTGTTTAGCTGAATGCAGCCTTTCACTACAATACCAGCTGGTACAATGATACAGATGCGTTCCTAGAACACTAGCCTTCCGTGGGAAACCTGTACTACAAGGGACCTGCTCTCCAGAAGATAATTCCAGTGTTTTTGGGGTCCCCCTCGTATCTGTCAACACATTTTTTGTTTAGAATACAACAACATTGTTTTAATGTATTCTTGTATGTCTATAAACATCGAATTTTGAAGGTCAAACAGGGTTTATGCATCATCCATCATTTTTTACCTCTGAGCCACCAAGCATCTACCAGTGGGTGAGTTCTTGTCTGAAGGGTGAAGGGACGCCACCCTATCCTTACCTCCCTGGCATCTGCGAGAGAAGCCGACTTGTAGTTTTGGTAGGTACTCATAGTGTTGCCTAACTTGTTTGTTTTTCTCTTTTTAAAAAAAAATATGATTTAAAAATTATCATACAGTAAAATGAACTTTAAAAAAATTTGTGTGCAGTTCTGTGAATTCCAACAAACATAGATATGTAATCACCACCATAGCTAGGTTACGGAACAGACCTCCCTCCTTCCCGGCTGAAATTCCCTGACGCTTTTGAGGTTCATGCACGTGTTCCTTGTATCAGCAGTTGTGAATACAGCTGCAATAAACATTGAAGTCCAGCTTTTTGTGTGAACATAAGTTTTCATTTCTCTAGGGTAAATACCCAGAGGTGGGATTGATGGTCATATAGTAAGTACATATTTGGTTTTTTAAGAAACTGGACTGTCTTTCAGAGCGACTGTACCATTTGACCTTCCCCCATCGGTGTGGGAGCGTTTCAGCTTCCCTGCATTTTTGTCAGTGTTTGATACTCTCATGATTTTTAATTTTTGCCATTCTGCTAAAATGTGTAGTGATACCTTTTTTGTTTTTAATTTGCATTTTCTTAGAAACTGGTGCTATTTTGAGTCTTCTAGATTTGTCAGATTGTGGATTGCAAATATTTTCTCCTGGTTTGTAGCTTGTCATGTTTCATCATTCTCTTAATGTTTATCTTGCAGAGCAAAAATGGTTAATTTTGAGGAAGCCAATTTATCCAGTTTTTTCTTTTATGGATAGTGTTTTTGGTGCTGTGTCTAAGAATTCACTATTTAACTTTAGAATACAAAGATTTTTCTCCCTGTTTCCTGGTAGAAGCTTTACAGTCTATGATCCATTTTGTTAATCGTTGATGAGATGTGAGGTTTAGGTTGAGGTTCTTACTCAGTTTGGATGTGTCCAAATCTTTTAGCACCATTTGTGGAAAAGATTATTGTTTCTTTTATAGTTTCGTCGAAAATACGTTATTTTCACTGTTTTTTCAGTATGTGACTCAGTAACATTAAATACATTCATTGTATTCAGAGCAGCTTAATCCCAGAAGTTTTTCATTCCTTGCAGCTTGGATGGAGGCATTTAAGTGAACCCACCAAATACACTGGTTTGGCCCTGTGGCATGGACCCAGTGTATGTCTAGCCAAAAGCGGAGCCAGAGGAGTATAGAAATGCCAGAGTTCTTCAACCTCCAACTCAAGTTGTATTAGTCAACAACTTACAGATGCTTGTGTTGTAACTTTCCATTGTTAAATATGATGTCGCCTAGATTCAGGAATATATCATGTGATATACTCGTATTGGTTTGGAATGCAGAGTTTTAAGGTCCCCCAGCTTTGCACTGAAATTTCAGTAAAATCATGCTACTTCTTTCTTTCAAAAAAAAAAAGGCGGCTGCAGGTACAGATCTGGGAGATGGAAGCAGGTATTTGAATGAGAAACTTAAAGGCTGAAGTGGAAGAACCTTAGGGTTGGAGGGTCAGAGGATCAGGGTTTACTTAACCAGAAACGACCCGGAAATGTCCATTAGTTCATGAGTACATAGACAAAGTTGGTACATCTGTATAATGGAATACTGCTTAGCAGTAGAAAGAAACAAACTCCTAAGAGATGTGGTCAATGTGATGGTTCTCAAAGGCACACTCATGAAGTAGGACACAGAAGACCACACATTTGTGGTTCCATTTACATGGCACTGTAGAAGAGGCCAACTACAGGGAGAGGACACAGATGAGTCGCCTCCGGTGCTTGTGTAGGAGGAGCAGCTGGACCACAAAGGGCAGGGGGACCTCTTTGGGGAGAGGGAAGTATTCTGCATCATGATTGCAATAGTGGCTATACAGCTGTGCAGCATTTGTGAAAATGCAGAGTGTGCACCTAGATGGATGAACTTTCCTATGTGTAGTGATACCTTAGTCATTAAAAAATGTTAAAATTCTCCTATGCAGAGTATCGCGCTCTATATTCTTGGTGATGAAAGCTCTGTTTTTGATGAATCCTCACGCTACTTATCAAGAATAACTCCAGGTAAGTCAGTGTATTGTTAGACTTCCCAAATAAAATTTAATGAATGCTGATACAAAAATTGAAATTTAAAAATTAAGAATTTCCTAAGTGTTTGCCTAGAGACCACATCTTGCCTCATTTTAGAAATTGCAACTTATACTATTCTGGTCTAAGTCTGCAACTGATTGTCAAACACCAGGATGATTTAAAATTGTATTTTCGTTGTGCCTAAGAAGGATTACTTTAGCTCCAGAGAAGTACTTTCCAGCCTGCTTATTTTATTATTTTCTAGGAGTTGTTAACAAAATTTTATTTCAAGATTCCTTTTGCATGTTATGTATTTTTTTTAACCAGGAAGACTATCAAAATAAAGTTTCATTTTTTTACTTTGTAGCCCCCCCAAAGTCACAAGCAGATCAAGAGGAAAACAGGTGACTTTTATTCAGATTGTGCTTTTATATTAAAAATATAAAACAGTTATGTGTCACTCTTCTGTTTAATAACTGAGTTTTGTTTTTTTACAGGTTTAGTTTTAGTCATTCTACATCGGTCTCTAATCTAGCTGAAAAATTAGTTGTCTGGATGGCCAGTGTAGGTAAGGTCTACTTACTTTCTGTGTGTCACTGAAATGCTTTCCCTGGACCCTCCTCCCCAAGCCAGCGTCCGCAGAGCTAGCTAGACCTGGGAGGCATGGGGAGAAAGGTCTCATTCTGTGAGAGGGTCCCAGTTTCCCTGACAGTCTCACAACTTTCATATGACATCAGCAGTACCTGCTCTTTATCTCTCAGCCTCATGATGGAGAGCACCAGTCACTGCATACCAAACCTGAAGCCATTGTCATACTCAGACATCAGAAAGGACTAGTTCTGGCAAAACCTGAAAGTAATTATACAAACATTGCAGGTGTGCTTTGGAAGGGAAGAGGCCAGGGATTTTAGGCACCGAAATGAAGATTCATGGGTACAGCAGGGAAAAGAGTTTTCTCTTCTTTAATCCTAACCTTGTGCTCCTAGGTTTCAACTAAGTCAAGTACTAAGGAAATTTTTCACAAAAATATATTTTAAAAAATCAAATTACTGATACGAACATATAAAAAATGAGGATGTTTCTATGCTAGGAAATAATGCTCTAAATATTACAGGATATTTCTGAATCCTTTTTTTAAATTTTATTTATTTGTTTTTTAGATTTTACTTATCTCTCTTTAGGAGGGAAGAGAAGGAGAGAGAGGGAGAGAAATATCAATGTATGGTTGTTTCTCGTGTGTCCCCTGCTGGGGAACTGGCCTGCAACCCAGGCCTGTGCCCTGACTGGGAATTGAACCGCAGTCCTTTGCTTCGCAGGCCTGTGCTCAGTCCACGGAGCTACACCAGCCAGGGCCTATTTCTGAATTCTTAAAGACTGTTCTAAATGACTTAGTTTTTCATTATTCTTTCTTATATGCCCCCTTGAAAATTATGATAGCTGTCATTAATATCACAGGATACCTATGCTGAAAAAATATTGGATGAGTTCTATTTATATATTTAATAAAAGTATTATTTTCATATAAGGAAACATTTTTGCCTTTAATAATTAACTTTCTATATTAATAACATACAATTAATAAAATTGAGAAATTATTTCAGGGAAAATAAAATTTTAATTAACATGCAGATTTGAAAAATTTTGCATACATATGAAAGAATGTATGAAATGTTTAGAGAATAACCATAAAGTGAATATGGATGTACTGGCCCCCACTATCAGAAATAGAACACCGCCAGTGTGGTCAGGTCCGTGTGTAATTACTCCTGGTGGTGTCCTCCCTCACCGCCCTACCTCAATTTTGTATTCTTTTTTTCTTTTTTTTTTGTAGTTTTATCATGTTTATATATTGCTTAGTATTTTATATTTTCTAAAAAATTTTTTTATTTACTGATTTTTTTTTGAGAGAGAGACACACACACACACACACATACACAGGCATGTTGATTTGATGTTCCACTTATTTATGCATTCCTAGGTTGATTTTTGTATGTAACCTGACCTGAGATTGAACCACAACCTTGGTTTATCAGGACAGTGCTCTAACCAACTGAGCTACCTGGCTAGTGCCCCTGTTTTATGTTTTTGAACTTTATGTAAATGGACATAAATATGTTTCTGCTATCTTATTTTCGCTGCATGTTATTGTTTAAAGATTCATTCATGTTGATTCATGTAGCAGTAGGTCATTTGTTTTCATTGCTAGATACTTCATTATTTGAATATATCAAAACTTACTTATCCACAGAATGATAGCAGTGGGGCCGTTTCCTCCCTTTCGTTTTTTGTCACAGTGAAACAGTATTTCTAATGAGTATTTCAATGCCCGTGTCCTTGTGCTGATGTGCACAAGTTTCTGTGTGGCTATAGTTGTACACTGGCCCATCTGTACATGCCAGTGTTTTCCAGTGTGGTTGTCTGGTATGTACCACTGTCAACTGTGGTCAAGAATCACTGTGGCTCTGAATGGTTGCCAACACTTGGTATTGACTGACTTTAATATTTTTCTGTCAAGCAAGTGTGAGCTTCTATTTTCCAATGGTTTTAGTTACCCTGATTACTTATTGGGTAGACCATCTTTTCATACATTTATTGACTGTTTTCATCTGATGGAATGCTTAAGTCATTTGTAGTTTTCCTATTATATTGGTTTTCTTTTTCTTAAGGTTTTAAAAAATTTTATGAAGAGACCTCTTCTACTAATCCCTGAATGTCAAAAACATTAGCCTGGTAATGGAGTAAATAAAATTAATTTTTTTCTCATTTGTCAGGATAGATGTTTGCTAAGTAGTCAGGGAGTAACCAGGAGAGTGGAAAGTCTAAATTAAAAATGTTCTCCCTTCCTTTTACCATCAGGTTTCACTTTAAGAGACTTGGAAACTCTTCCCTTTGGAATTGCTCTTCCCATCAGAGATGCAATCTATCATTGTCGCGAGCAGCCTGCTGCAGACTGGCCAGAGGCTGTGTGTCTCTTGATTGGACGTCAGGACCTATCCAAGCAGGCCTGTGAAGGGAACTTACCCAAAGGGAAATCTGTGAGTGTCAGCAGAAAGTTCAAGGTTCAGTTTAAGCATTAGTAACATCAAAGGAGCAGTGCTCTACAGTTCTCTTAGGTCTTTCTGCAAGTGTATATATCACATTTGTCTTCTTTTAAAATATATTTTATTGATTATGCTATTACAGTTGTCCTATTCCCCACTTCATTCCCCTCCACCCTGCACACCCATCCCCCACCCTCCCCCCTTTAGTTTATATCCATGTGTCACAAGTTCTTTAGATTCTATATTTCCCATACTATTCTTGCCCTCCCCCTGTCTATTTCTACCTACTGTCTATGCTACTTATTTTCTGTACCTTCTCCCCCCTTCTCTTCCGACTCCCCCGTTGCTAACCCTCCATGCAATCTCCATTTCTGTGGTTCCGCTCCTGATCTAGCTGTCCTCTTAGTTTGCTTTTGTTTTAGGTGTGGTTGTTAATAACTGTGAGTTTGCTGTCCTTTCACTGTTCATATTTTTTATCTCCTTTTCCTTAGATAATTCCCTTTAATATTTCATATAATAAGGGCTTGGTGATGATGAACTCCTTGCATTTGATCTTATCCGAGAAGCACTTTATCTGCCCTTCCATTCTAAATGAAAGCTTTGCTGGATAGAGCAATCTTGGTTGTAGGTCTTTGGATTTCATGACTTGGAATACTTCTTTACAGCCCCTTCTTGCCTGTAAGGTCTCTTTTGAGAAATCTGCTGACAGTCTGATGGGAACCCCTTTGTAGGTGACTGTCCCCTTATCTCTTGCTGCTTCTAGGATTCTCTCCTTCATTGTAATCTTGGCTAATGTAATGATGATGTGCCTTGGTGTGTTCCTTCTTAGGTCCAACTTCTTTGGGACTCTGAGCTTCCTGGATTTCCTGGAAGTCTATTTCCTTTGCCAGATTGGGGAAGTTCTCCTTTATTATTTGTTCAGATAAGCTTTCCACTTGTCGCTCTTTCTCTTCCTCTTCTGGTACCCCTATAATTCGGATGTTGGAATGTTTAAAGATGTCCTGGAGGTTCCTAAGCCTCTCCTCATTTTTTTGAATTCTTGTTTCTTCATTCTTTTCGGTTTGGTCGTTTTTTTCTTCCTTCTGGTCCACTCTATTGATTTGAGTCCCAGTTTTCTTTCCATCACTATTGGTTTCCTGTGCATTTCCCTTCATTTCAGTTAGTTTAGCCTTGATTTGTTCCTCTAATTTGTGACTAAAATCAAGCAGTTCTGTGAGCATCCTGATCACCAGTGTTTTGAACTGTGCATCTGAACTGTTGGCTATTTCTTGGTCGCTTAGAATTATTTGCTCTGGGGCTTTGAGCTGTTGTTATTGAGCCATAATGTTTTGGTCTGTTTGCCCCTGTTACGTATGAGGGGTGGAGCCTTAGGTGTTTACCAGGGCGGGGCAACCCAGGTTGCTGGGTGTGATGCTGTATGTGGGGGTGGGGTCAGAGAGGGGTAATGGTGGTCCCCTCTGCTGCTTCCTGCAAGCCACTGAGGCCTGCGCAGTCTGTCTCACTGCTCACTCCTTCACTTGGTTTATCTGCGCACGAATGTGACCGGGGCCATCCAGCCGCCCCGCGCCCTCACTGGGTCAACCTGTTGCTACCCCACACCTGGGATCTGCCAACCGCCACCTGTGCGCCTAGGTCCATTGGGCCGCTTTTTTCTGCCCTACTCCACTCTGCCAGCCACTGGCTCCGCCTCTTACCAGTCTGGCTGAATGGTTCATTGTTGTCGGACTTCCGTGCAGTTCAATTTTTTGTGTTTTGGTTGTGTTTTTGTTACTAAAACTTTGTTATCTTTAAACTTTGTTGTGCAAGGAGCAAATGTTTCCACCTATGCCTCCATCTTGGCTGGCAGTCCTCACATTTGTCTTTTTTATATTGTGTGCCAGATGGCATTTATAAATGGAAAAATGTTATTAATTATAAATCAAACCTGAGAACAGGAGATTTTTGAATGTTTCCTCTGGTCTGGACCTGTTTTCACCTTGAGTCAGGACAAGTGCTAATCAGTAGGGCAGCTATCAAGGCTGATTCCCTATTTGTACCATTATTGGTAATTTACTTTGTCATATATGGGAAAATGTAGAGCACCTAGATCCTGAATTTGAATAGGTAATACATAACTATTTTCTTTTTCACACATTTCTTGAGTTTAACCTTTTAAATAGGTATAACTATATCTGTTTAATCATATAAAACTGAAGACCCAGGAAAAGAACCTTTTGTGGAGGGGGAAGGGGCACTAAGGTTACCCCTTCTGAACACTGCCCTGTATCAGTCTTCAAGTCTGTTTTTTAAAGAATGGGTTTTAAGAACCCACAAGTAGAAAGTGAACTGCATTATTATCCTCCATTTATTTCTTTTAAACTCAGCCTCTTTTAAAACTTAAAAACCGAACTTTAAAAACTTCTTCTAGACCTTGAGTTAACTTTCAGAACACAAATGGTCCTGCTGCATTGCCGTGAGCATCAAGGACGTTTCAGGGACAATAATTCCACTCCTGGTGACTGCATATTTGGCGTGTCTCTCACTCGCCTTTGATCCAACAGATGATAGTCAACACACTGTAACTATTTGTAGTCCACATCAGGTCTTAGCCACTGATGCTTCAGAACCTATGTCAAAATTTACTCCTGATTAGTGTTGCCGCCTGGATCTGTGACAGAAGCAGTTTCCGTGGGGCTCCAGCCTCCAGCAGGATCCCACCAGATAGTGCTTCTCAGTCTGCACTTAACAAAATAACTCTTAGTTGACATTTTTATTTTAACAGAAAACCAGTTTTTTTGGTTAATAATATGGCTATCCTTTCCTTGACCAAGTAAGTTTTAGCCTTTAGCCCCCTTTCACTTACTGGAGTGAGAGCAATGTCACATCACTAGCAAGTGTCATCATCAGCACCGAATGCTGTTGGTGACTGTCCCTTGTGTTTAGCTGTCACTTTAAGTCTGTCTGAATCCAGTTTGTTCAGTTACTTGAGGCTGCATTTTATGAGTCATCTAGATTCAATTCGTCAGCTCTTTAGGTCTGTATTTTATAACTAACTCATCCATTAGAATATAGTTCTCTTAAAAAATTGGGCATTTATAGGAATTGTGATGAATTTTTATGAACTAAATAAAAATGATTATTTACCATATCTGCCATTATTTTTTCATGTTAATGTTGTCTTTATGTTAAATGTTGCAAAACCTCTAGCATTTCAACTAGGAGTTAATCCTGTGTTTAAAAGAGTGTAAAATGTTACTGAGAAAGGACCCGTCGTTCGTACCCATGCTGAAGTCTGAATTTCGAATGGGAGGGCTCACATTAAAGAACATGCTGAGCTTATGAGGAAGGAATGATAATCAAGGGACAAATGTTTTTCATTTGTTTTGCTACATTTAATCCCTTTCCTTTTAAGAAATTTTTATTTGGAACATATTTGTAAACAAAAGTGAAAACTAGCCATGATCCATTGTATTTAATTAATAAAGTACTAAAGGAAGAAAGTATTGCTCAGCTTTTCCCAATCCTTACTATATACCTCTCATATATTTATTTTCTACTTATATTAGTCAAAGGTAGCATTTAAATCATTATGGGTTTTAAGTAATAATAGGGGGCTTATATTCCTTCTATAGTAATTTGTTTTCTTTTCAAGATATTTAGGATATAGTTAGATTTTTACAATTTATTTAGACTCTTTCAAGGGAATCCTCCTCCTGACTCTTGTCTTAAATTTAAACTTTTTCTCTTAGCTCAATCAGAATTTTCCAAGTGGATATCTAATGGTACTGTAAAAGAGAGGTCTAGGTTAGAGTCTTGGTACATATTGGGAATCCAGGCCAGCCTGCTTCCTCTGTGTCCATAGTCATGCTCGTCATCCTGGACATCCTCGAGTTCCGTCCGTGCGTGTTGGCTGGTTTGTAAGTTTCATTACAATCAAGTCTTTTACTCAGGTGCTCTCATCAGATGTTCCTTCAGGAACAGAGACTGAGGAGGAGGATGATGGCATGAACGACATGAATCAGGAAGTTATGTCACTCATATGGAATGAAGATTTAAGGGTGCAGGATGTGCGGAGGCTGCTTCAAAGTGCGCATCCCGTCCGTGTCAACGTCGTGCAGTACCCTGAGCTCAGCGACCATGAGTTCATTGAGGAAAAGGAAAACAGGTAATGGAAAGCATGGCTTATACCTCTCTTCAGAGTTGTTGTTTTTTTAATGCTAAAACCCGAAAAAGATACTTTGAAGTTAAAAGTGCCATGTATTTTTAATTTTTATCCAAACTTAATCTATACATTTTCAAAATATGTGTAGACCCTCCTCCTGAAATACAACTGTCTGATATTTTTAACAGGTGAATCTAAAATCATTTTGCTCTTAGTTGCTTTAAGAATTTACAAAGGATCCCTGGCTGGTGTGGCTCAGTGGATTGAGTGCTGGCCTGCAAACGCAAAGGTCACTGGTTCGATTCCCAGTCAGGGCACATGCCTGGATTGTGGGCCAGGTCCCCAGGTGGGGACATGTGAGAGGCAATAGATCAATATGTCTCTCGCATATTGATGTTTCTCCCCCTTTCTCCCTTCCTCCTCTCTAAAAATATATAAATACAATCTTAAAGAATTTACATAGGAAAATGTTGAACTCATCCTTATGTTTCTTGATCAGGAAAATATTTTGAATGCTTTTCGTATTGTTTCAGTGTAGTTTAAAGTTACACCAGTATTTTTTTTTCTTGCTCCCATTAGAAACTCTAATAATGATAGGTAATAACTGTATAAGCCTTCTCTCTAACACTTATGTCCCTCACTATGTCACTCATACTGATTTGTACCTTGATAAATTGTAGGATTCAGTAGTAATCAATATCACATGGCTGAAATTCCCGAGTTGTTGCTTTGGGACAATTCAGCTTAATTTTTTTCAGTTACAGTTAATATTCAATATTATATGAGTTTCAGATGCATAGCAGAGTGGTTATACATCTACATAATTTATGAGGTAATCCCCCCAATAATTCCAGCACCCACCTGGCACCATACATCGTTTTTACAATATTATTGACTATTTTCCCTATTCCCTGTGCTGTACTTTATATCCCTGTGGCCATTTCGTAACTACCAGTTTGCGCTGCTTAATCCTTTCACCCTCTTCACCCAGTTCCCAATTCCCTGTCCGTTTGGCAACACCATCAGTTGGTTTTCTGCATCTGTGAGTCTGTCTGTGAACTTTGTTCTTTAGATTTCACATGTAAGTGAAATTATATGGTAGTTGTCTTTCTCTCTAGCTGGCTTATTTCACTTAGCATCATACCCTTTAGGTCCGTCCATGTTGCAAATGGCAAGATTTTATTTATTTATTTATTTATTTAAGATTTTATTTATTCATTTTTAGAGAGAGGGAGAGAAACATCAATGTGTGGTTGCCTCTCATGTGCCCCCTACTGCAGCCCAGGCATGTACCTTGACTGGGAATCAAACTGGTGACCCTTTGGTTTGCAGGCTGGCGCTCAGTGCACTGAGCCACACCAGCCAGGGTGAATTTTTTTTTTTATGGCTGAGTAATATTTCATTGTGTATAAGTGCCACATCCTCTTTATCCAATCATCTGTTAATACACACTTGAGTTACCTCTACATCTTAGCTATTATAAATAATGCTGCAGTGAACATAGGGATACCAATATATTTTCGAATTAGTGTTTTAGATTTCTTTGGCTATAAGTCCAGATGTGGAATTGCTAGGTCATGAGGTAGGTCTATTTTTAATTTTTTGAGGAACCTTCACACCATTTCCCATAGTGGCTACACCAGCCTGCATTCCTACCAACATTTTGCAGATACTTGTTTGTTAATTTATTGATGATAGCCATTCTGACAGCTATGAAGTGATACTTCATTGTGGTTTTAATTTGCATTTCTCTGATGATTAGTGACATTGAGCATCTTTTCATATTTCTATTGGCCATCTGTATGTCCTCTTTCAAGAAGTGTCTAATCAGGTCCTCTGCCCATTTTTTAATTGGATTGTTCTTTACTGGTGTGGTATGGGTTCTTTATAAATTTTGGATATTAACCCCTCATCAGATGTATCATTGATGAATTTTTTCTTTCATTCAGTAGGTTATCTTTTTGTTTTGTTGGCAGTTCAATTTAGATTTAAAAATTCTCTAGTCTTTTTATCTGCCTGGTCTCTATTACCTGTCATCATCTCTGCTAGTCTTTTCTGCTTTTTTTACTTCCTGTGGTACTTAACTGCTTCTAGGGAAGGACCATCCACATTTAGCCTCTGGCTATGGAAGGTCTAAGTCAGTCATACTCCTCCTGTCTGTTTCCTTCCCCTGTGGTCCCAAGTATGAGTCACTATAAATGAGGAGATGGAGTGACAGAGAAGTTGTATGAGAGCCTGGCCAGTGTCTGTGGGTGACTTTGGATAAATTACTTAAGCTCTTGCTGTCTCAGTTACCGCCTCTGTAAGAACAGGCATGATTGTAGCATTGGTATCTCACAAGGTGGTTCTGTGTATCAGGTGAGTTATTTCTACATAATGGTGGGCATACTGACCAGTACATGGCAGAGCTCAATGTAGTCAGTCATTTGAATAGAGTTAATTCTGTGATGCTGGTTTTATTTTTACCTTTTACTCTCAGAAATCAGAATAGGTCTTTCAGTCAGCAGGTGCTATGATTTTAATTGGCAGTATTTTTTTCTTTCCTAGTACCTCATGACATAGTGATACATATTAAAATCAAAGGCATTATAAGTGGAAGGGATACAGTATTATTGTTTTCATTATGGTATGTGGGTTATGTGTAAGATTTCTGCCAAAAACTGTTACGGGGTTTGCCTCCTTGCTTTGACTGTCCATATTCTAAATTAACGTGAGGCAGTGTTTCCAAAGAATCTTACAACAGCAAAATTTTCCCCACCAGTGAACTAGAAAAGCAGCTCTGAGTGTGCAGTTAGGGAGAAAGCAGCTCTGAGTGTGCAGTTAGGGAGAAAGCGTGCTTGCAAATAGCTTTGTCTGCAGAGGCAGTGTTAGCCTCTAAAGGGATGTTTCTGTGTCTTCAGATACAACTTGTGTTAAGTGTTTCCTGGTTATAATGCCCCTACTTTCACAATTTGTTTGATTTAGTTTTCTTTTAAATGTGATTTATTTTAACATAGAAACAAGTAGCCCATAGGAGCCATTTTAACCTTGAACATGACTGATACGTAGTGATATCCATCCTGTAAATCCTAGCTGTCATATATAGGAAAATCATTCTGTGTTTTCCCTGGCAGTGCTATGAAATCCACTGACCTTTAGTGTAGGAACTGCCTTTCCTTCCTTGTGTGGAGGCCATGAAGGTGGTACTTCTGAGTCTCTTTTGGCAGAAAGGGTGTGAGGAGGACCCCAGGTGTATTAAGGGCAGCTATACTGAAAGTAACACAATGAGGAAACCCAAAGTATATTTTCCTATGAGAGAGTTAGCAACAGTTAGAACAGAATTTCAGGTTTCTCTTTTTGGATGCCTGGGAGAATTGGCTTGGTTTATGGACCAGCTGGTTTTCATTTAAAGCAAATATAAAACAAAAGAAAGGAAATGGGTCTCCCCTTAGGGTTTATAAGGAGGGGTGAGAGTATTAGAGAATGACTGTGCTTGGATGATTCAGCCACATCTTGGCATGGATTTCCTGGATGTGACTTCATCTTACGCAGCATACCCTCTTTTGAAATACTTGCGCAGAGATTGCAATTCAATTTTTTTGTTTAAAAGTTTTTCATATCTTGTTTTAATTTTAATTATAGATTGCTGCAGTTGTGCCAACGAACTATGGCCCTTCCAGTAGGACGAGGGATGTTTACCTTGTTTTCATACCATCCCGTTCCAACGGAACCATTGCCTATTCCTAAGTTGAATTTGACTGGTATGTTCAAGTCTGGGCTCAGTGATCAAGGAAATGAAATGCTGTCTTTGTCCCCAGTGATTTTGCTGTTGTTTAATACTTGCTGTAGTGCTTATCGCTGCACAAGTAGCAAATCAGACTAAACATCGAGGGAAGTAGAATGTAGTCCATTACTAATTTTTGCTTTAAATGAGACTATTTTCAGATGTAGAAAGGCACTTGAGAAAGTTTAGATATTATTGATGATGGTAAGATCTTAAAATATTGTATGTAAAAATATTTAGTCTTAAAATGTCTTTTGTCTTATTATGAATGTATGATCCTTATACAAAAATGAGAAGATATACTTACTTAACTAGTCCCACTAGTGTTGAAATTTTGGTGTATAAGTTCCTGAATTTTATTTCTCTACTTTATAATTTTATATTTGTTTAATTATCAGAAAATTTAAATCCATTTTAGAAACTGTTATAAAAATTTACTATATAGTGATCATCTGTCCATATCTTTCATATCTATGTATATAATTATGTATATGTATGTATGGAGGTATTGTATACATGTGTTTTTAATCAACATCTTTACTTGTTCTAGAGTATTTTACTTAATGGAATATAATTCATATAAACAGCCTGGTATTGTGAATTATTGTTTCTTGCTATGATAAATATATTTGGGGAGTGTATTTCTTCTCATTTAGGATAATTGCTTAGAAGTAGAACTCTTAGGACAGCAAGATTTTAAGGCTCTGATGCAGCAGATTATCAAATTGCCTTTCTGATTGGATGCATGAGCTTTTACTTCCACCAGATAGAGATTGCTCCTTTTCCAGTATTGTTGATGATGGGTTTTATAGTGCCCGTTCACCTGATACTAGTTTGAATGTGTTCTGTGGGTGACAATCATGTACAGCCAAATTATGGGAAGTCTGTAAAGTGTAGCGCATGTGGTTTGATGAGACCTGTACAAAATATATGTATATTTCAAGTTGCATAATTTAAAAAATTCAGGGTCTTCGATTTGTAAAGAGCTGTGCTTTCAGCAATGTGTGAAAAGTGTGAACAGCTGAGTGAAGAGCCCCCTCCCATCTCCAGTATCACACCTAGTCTGGAGTCCTCATCTCAGTCTGGAGTCCTCACACTGCTTTAGTCACTACCACTGGTGACTCTCACTGTGAACAGCCATTGAATCTTGATGGAGGGCATGGGATATAGGTGTTTATTAGTCTCGGAACTGTTTGAAGGTTTTCGTAAAAAAGGCTTGGATTAGAAGAGGATCCCACGAGAAATTGGCAAATGTTAAAATGTATTAAATGTGGTTGTCAATGCTGTGCTTGGGTGCTATGCACGAATTATTGTCTTTTAAAAGAACATTTAGTGAAATTTGCATGATTAAAAATGTGTTTATAAGCCCTGGCTGGTGTAGCTCAGTGGATTGAGCACGGGCCTGCAAATCGAAGGATCGTGGTTCGATTCCCAGTTAGGGCACATGCCTGGTTGCAGGCCAGTTCCCTACAGGCCAGTTCCCAGCAGGGGACGCACAAAAGGCAACCATACATTGATGTTTCTCTCCCTCTCTCCTGCCCTTCCCCTCTAAAGATAAATAAATAAAATCTTAAAATAAAATGTTAAGAAAATGTGTTTATGAATTTAATCCAAAATTTTACTCTTGCAGTCATTCTGGTAGGTACCCTCTAAGAAACAGCTCTCTTGATTTAATAATATTAATTTAGAAAAAAATATTTTCTTAGTCTCTTAACTCTCCCACTGATAGGCCTGTTGTACATTTTGTATGTTGTTGTTCTTATTGAAGAATATATTCAATTCTTATTATTTTACCCTTTCCCTATCATTGATTTTGTATAGATATTATGTGTTATATATATGATGAGTTGCTGCTTTGCAAGGTTTACATGTTTTTTCATTGTTTATCTCTGTGCCTTTTTGAGAAAGTCAGAGTATAACTGATGACCCTGTTACCCAGTGTAGTGCTGCCAACAGCAGCGTTTGAACCAGATCTTAGGTAAAAAAGCAAAGGGTAAAGCCCTACATTTTACTTTGTGCTTGTGTCTGTGTGTGTCTGCGTGTGTGTTTATGTACCCCAAGTAAGACATTGTGCATCTGTGTAAATTTTTCTTACACAACTTTCAGAAATGCTTTAAAACTTTATTTTCAAACATCTAGTGAATTGTGTGATTTTTAATGCAGTTTTTAGCATATTTATTTTATATATTCATGACTTGAGCCAGCGTAGAATATTAAAAATATAAAAAATCAGTATATGCTTACACAGATAGATCAAAACCAGACTCAGGGAATTCAAAGAGAACATACCATTTAGTTTACATTGCTCTTAAATAAATTGACCACAGAATTATTAAATTTAATGAGTACTCTTATGGTACACTGGGTAACTCAAGTCTATAAAATGATGCTTTTTATAGCACTGTCTATGAATGAATTTGGTGTTAACAATAGTATATAATTATCATTATATATGTGTGTGTGGGGGTATATATATATATATATATATATACCCCCACACACACATACACAGAGACATATAAGTGAAAGAGCAGATTTAAAAGGTATTTATCTCTTTTTATTTTTTACTTATTTTTTAATAGTTTATTTTTTACTGTATTTTTTCCTTACCATTTATCCCCCTTATACCTTCTTCCACTTCCACACATCCCCTTTCCCCTTGCAGTCACCATACTGTTGTCCGTGTCCATGAGGTCTTTTTTCTTTTTTGCTTGATCCCTTTATCCCTGAACTCCAACCCAGAGCTCCCAACCTGTTCTCCATCTGTGAGTCTGTCTCTCTTTTCCTTGTTAGTTTAGTTTGTTCATTAGATGCCACATGTGAATGAGATCATATGGTATTTGTCTTTCTCTGACTGGCTTATTTCATTTAGCATAATGTTCTCCAGGTCCATCCACACTGTTGCAAAGGGTAAAATTTTCTTCCTTTTTACAGCCTACTAGTATTCCATTATATAAATGTACCATAGCTGTTTTATCCATTCATCTACTGATTGGCACTTGGGCTGCTTCCAAATCTTGGCTCTTTTCCCTCAATGTCTTGAGAAAAACATGGTGTGGCATATTTAAAATTAACATTAGTGTCACTAAACCTCATGTTGGAATTTATTGTTAACATAGTTTAACAGTAGTTAACTGTTAAACATAATTTAACTACTGTGACAGTAGTCTTAATTTTATTTTTTAATAAGCTTTCTGCTGTTTGAAAGAAGGATTTTAAAACCATGGACACCCTCATTAGATCTCCAGAGCCCCATGCATTTTAGCAAAAAAAGGAGGAATTATTTTAAGCAATTAAGGCTTTCCACTTGCATCAAGTTTGATTCACATGCATGACAGTTTCAGGACTCATAGTTACTTAATATAATTAAGGGTTTTGAATGTAGAGAAAGCAATCTCTGTTCTCAAAAATCTAAATTTAACAACTTTGGTTTTGTAAATTTCTTTATTCTTTTTTGCAAGTCTTTAACATTTTTTTTATTGTTGTTCAAGTACAGTTGTCTCAGCAAACTGACAGTAACCAGGGGGGAGGGGTGTTTTGGTGATTTTGTAAATTTCCATTCTCTCAGTTTTACATTGGTTTGCATTAATAGGGCGTGCTCCTCCTCGGAACACAACAGTAGACCTTAACAGTGGGAACATTGACGTGCCTCCCAACATGACAAGCTGGGCCAGTTTTCATAACGGTGTGGCTGCTGGCCTGAAGATAGCTCCGGCTTCTCAGATCGACTCGGCCTGGATTGTTTACAATAAACCCAAGCATGCCGAGTTAGCCAATGAGTATGCTGGCTTCCTCATGGCCCTTGGCCTGAATGGGCACCTCACCAAGCTGGCCACTCTCAACATCCATGACTACTTGACTAAGGTGAGGACTTGTGCTCCCAGCTCCTGGGATTGTGCCTCACCTGGGCTGTTGCAATGCTCCTAATTGTTCTGTTTGCTCCTCTTTCTTTGTTCTTATGCCTCTAAATCCATTCTTGTAGCAGGCACAATAGTCTTTCTAAAGTGTAAGTTGAAATGTGTCACTTACCTGGTCGAAACTGTGTAATGAATGGTCTTCCATTGCTCTGAATGTTCATTTAGGAGCCTAAGTGATCCAACACACTTCTCCAACCTTACTTTGTACCAGTTTTCCACTTGCTCCCCATGCCCCAAATGGGACTGGCCATTTTAGCCTCTTGCATAAACTGTTTCTTTTAGCCTTAAACTCTTCCATTTTTATGCCATAAAAATTCACCTGTTATAGTATTCAATTTACTGGTTTTTAGTGTGTCCACAGATTTGTGCGTCGTTATCACTGATAACATTAGAACATTTTCACCACATTGTAAATGAACGTCATACCCAGTAGCAGTCACTCTCTGTTCCTCTCTCCCACCAGTCCCTGGCAACCACTGATCTGCTTTCTGTCTCTATGGATAATCTGCTGATTCTGGACCTTTCATATGAATGGAATCATCTAATGTGCAGTCTTTAATGACTGGCTTCTTTCTTTTAGCAGAATATTTTCAACATTCAACCATATTATTTTTTGTACCAAGCATTTCATTTTGCTTTACAGCTGAATAGAAACTATTTTATGGATATACTGTATTTTATTTATGCATTCATTAGTTGATGGGTATTTAGGTTATTTCTACTTTTTGGCTATTATGAATAATGCTGCTGTAAACATGGCACATGTTTTTGAGTGGGCTTATATTTTCATTTTTCTTGGGTATATTGCTAGAAGTGGAATTGTTGCATGATATGATAACTCTTTGTTGAAATTTTTGTGGAACCACTGAACAGTTTTTCAGAGTGGCTGCACCATTTTACAATTGCACCAGTAGTGCCTAGGAGTTCTAGTTTCTCCATGTTCTTGCCAGTATCTGTTTTTTAAATTATAGTCATCCTAGTAGGTGTGAAATAACATCTTATTGTGGTTTTGCTTTGCATTCCCCTGCTGGTTAATGATGTTGAACATCATTTTGTGTGCTGATAGGCTATGTTTTCTTTGGAGAAATGTCTTTTCAGATTCTTTGCTTAATTTTTAACTGGGTTATCTTACTGAGTTGTATTCTGTATATATTCTGGATAGTAGTCCATTAACAGGTAAAAGATTTGTAAATTTTTCTCATCCAGTTTTTTTTCACTTTCTGATGCCATCTTTGAAAGACATAAGTTCTTAATTTTGATGAAGGCTACTTCATTGATTTTTTCTTTTTTTGTATTTTTAAAGTACATTTCCTTGATTATGCTATTACAGTTATCCCATTTTTTTCCCTCTCTTTATTCCTCTCTGGCCTGTATCCCCCTTCCCACAGCATTCCTCCCCCACCCTTAGTTCATGTCCATGGGTTGTTTATATAAGTGCTTTGGCTACTCCATTTCCTATACTGTTTTTAACTTCCCCCTGTCTGTTTTGTACCTACCATTTATGCTTCTTATTCCCTGTACCTTTTCCCCCATTCTCTCCCTCCCCCTTCCCACAGATAACCCTCCATATGATCTCCATTTCTCTGGTTCTGTTCCTGTTGTAATTGTTTGGTTGGTCTGTTTTGATTTTCAGATTCAGTTGTTGATAGTTGTGAGTTTGTTGTCATTTTACTATTCATATTTTTGATCATCTTTTTCTTAGATAAGTCCCTATAATTTTCATATAATAAGGACTTGGTAATGATGAACTCCTTTAACTTGACCTTATCTGGGAAATACTTTATCTGCCCTTCTGTTCTAAATGTAGCTTTGCTGGATAGAGTCATCTTGGATGGAGATCCTTGCCATTCATGACTCAGCCCCTTCTTCGCTCTAAGTTTTCTTTTGAGAAATCAGCTGATAGTCTTATGAAAACTCCTTTGTAGGTAATTCTCTCCTTTCCTTTTGTTGCTTTTCAGATTCTTTCTTTAATCTTAGGTAACTTAATTATGTACTTTGGTATGTGCTTCCTTAGGTCCAACTTGTTTGGGACTCTCTGGGCTTCCTGGATTTCCTGGAAGTCTCTCTTTCCTTTGCCAGATTGGGGTAGTTCTCCTTTATTATTTGTTCAAATAAGTTTTCAATTTCTTGCTCTTCTTCTTCTCCTTCTGGCACCCTTATGATTCAGGTGTTGGGACGTTTAAAGTTATCCCAGAGGTTCCTAAGCCTCTCCTCATTTTTTTGAATTCTTGTTTCTTCATTCTGTTTTGATTGAATGTTTATTTCTTCCTTCTGTTCCAAATTGTTGATTTGAGTCCTGCTTTCCTTCCCTTCACTATTGGTTCCCTGTATATTTTCCTTTATTTCACTTTTCATAGCCTTCATTTCTTCCTCTACTTTGTGACCATACTCAGCCATTTCTGTGAGCATCCTGAATACCAGTGTTTTGAACTCTGCATCTCATAGGTTGTCTATCTCCCCATTGCTTAGCTCTTTTTCTGGAGTTTTGATCTTTTCTTTCAAATGGGCCACATTTCTTTGTCTTGGTGGATCTGTTACATTGTAAGGGGCAGAGCCTTAGGTATTTGTCAGAGTGAGGCAAGTCACGTTCTTGCATTGTGGTGCTGTGTGTGGGGGAGGCATAAGAGGAAATAGTCCCGCTTGGTTGGCTTTTGCCTGGCTTTCAGTTACTTCCCCCGCTACCCACAATCAGATTGGGCCCTTTTGGTGCTGATTCCTGGGTAAGTGGGCTTATATACATCCTAGGACCCTGTGGGTCTCTCCAGTGAACAGTCCTCGGAGGCTGGGAGTTTCTCCTGCCCCCACAATGCCCCCAGGTTTTTATAGCCAGAAGTTTTAAGACTCTTTTCCCTACTCTGGAACCATGGCTTGCATGGTCTGTCTTGCCCCCCAGGTCCCCCAGGTTTATCTGCACACAAATGTGTGACTGCCTGCTCTGCCAGCCGCCACCTCCACCCAGGCTTCCCATCTCCGCCCCTCCTACCAGTCTGAGTGAATGTTCTTCTTTAACGCCTTGGTTGTCGGACTTCTATAGTTTGATATTCTGGCAGTTCCGGGTGGGTTGTATTTTGTTTTTAAATTTGTCCTTCTTTCCGTTGTGGGAGGAGACAAAGTGTATCTACCTACATCTTCTCTTGGCTGGACAGTTAGTCTGTTTTTTCTTTGGTTGTTGTGCTTTTGATGTTGTATCCAAGTCATTGCCTGGCCCGAGGTCATGAAGATTCACACCTGTGTCTTCTAAGAGCTTTATAGTTTTAGCTCTTAAATGGAGTTCTATGATCAATTTATGTAAATTTTTATATATAATATAAGGAAGGGCCCCACTTCATTCTTTGGCATGTGGCTCTCCAGTTATGACAGCTCTATGTTTTGATAAGACTGTTCTTTTTACATTGGATTGTCTGGCACCCTTGTCAGCGGACCATCAGTGTGAGTGAGGGTTTATTTCTGGGTCACCTCAGAGCCAGTTACATGTTCTCTCACTTGACATCAGTCTTTCCCTTTAATGTTGAGTGTCCCCCTTTCTGCCACTTTAGTGGCTCATTTGTGCTTATCCTTCAGGTCCTGTTGTGAGCTTTACTCTTTTTAGAGATTTCTAATAATTCCTCAGGCTCTGCTAATCTAAATTAGGCAGCTTTAAAATACTCTTTTGTATGACTTTGCACTTTTTCAATGCACTACTTTTTAATACTGTATTTGTATGTTTTTAGTTTAACATTTCTCCCCCTTTGGGCAGTAGCTTCATGAGGATAAGCACCATGACTGTATAGTTTGTTGTTGTATTCTTGGTGCCTCTCACTGTGCTTGTCACATAAAAGCACTTATTCAAAGTATTGGCAGGCAGTGTTTTATTTAAAACTTCTTAATCTCTTTTGGTAGTGGCTTAAGTTTCTATATCCTCTCTGTTGTAGGGTCATGAAATGACAAGCATTGGACTACTCCTTGGTGTTTCTGCTGCTAAGTTGGGCACCATGGATATGTCCATCACTCGCCTGCTTAGCATCCACATTCCTGCTCTCTTACCCCCAACATCCACGGAGCTTGATGTTCCTCACAATGTCCAAGTGGCGGCAGTAGTTGGCATTGGCCTCGTATACCAAGGAACAGCTCACAGGCATACTGCGGAAGTCCTGTTGGCTGAAATAGGTATGATTATTAGTTCTGTGTCTTCATTAGTATACATTTCCCGCTCCATAGGAACCAAAGTAAGAATGATAGTAAAATTATAAAAATTGAGGAAAAAATAGTAGCTGATAAGAGGATAGAGATGATCTGATACTAATAAAAAAACGACAAGTAATGTTTTTCAAGGCTGGTATTACTGTGCAGGTTATCAGTCTGCATTTTTTTTTTTTGGCAAGCTGAGTAATGTCCGTGATGCCATTAATGAGGTGGTCTCAGTGCCATGTGAGCCTGCTTTTATCCTGCTGGGTTCTGCCAGGCAGTGTCTAGTAGTGGTCTGCACCTTAAACTCAGAGTTGATTATTTTTGGTCCCCAAAACACAGTGTTTATTCTTTTGGGCAAAAACACTTCCAAGAGAATGGAAGTGATAGATTCCTGCTTTCCTCCTTTACATGCTAGTGGGTGTGTTGGTGATGAAATGCATTTTCTGTGTTGTCATCTTTTTCTGGCCTCTGGAGATGCTATTGGCATTATTAGTATTGGTACTAGTCTAGATACGTACTTAAATGTCCTGTTCAATCCTATTCAGGATCTTTTCTACAGATATTTGAGGATATATTGTTGAAGATACTTTATTCTCTAGGTTGATTGCAGCAGTCAGCTGTTGCCACAGTGCTGCTACATAACACATAGCCACATGGTTGGCCTGAGCATCTGTGCTTCTGGCTGCAGATTTGTGGGGCTGCTGTTCTGGCTCTGCTCCAGGTGCCTTATTCTGGGGCCCAGGTGGGAGGACGTGCTGCTTTAACAGTGATGACAGAAGGCAGAGGGAGAAACCAATGTTGGAAGCACAGTTCAGGCCTTGGCTTAACATTGCATCAGCTGAGATCCCAGGCCAAAGCCAGTCACACATCCACTGTAAGAGTGTGAATGTGTGTGTACTGTCCCTGTAGGGCCATGAAGTATTGGAACAGTTTCGTCTGCTACGGTGATGAAATAAATTATTTTCAAAACTGAAATTTGCCTACAAGATAATTTAACATTCTTTGCCTATTTTATAATGGCATCTGAGGATATCATCCATACAAGGTATCTGATTGGCAGCTTCATCATGATGACACACCCGCTCATGCATCACGTCTCATGCAGAGTTTTTTGGTGAAACATCGAATCACCCAGGTGACTTAGCCCCCCTGCAAGCCTGTATTTGGCACTTTGGAACTTCTGGCTTTTTCCAAAACTAAGGTCACCTTTGAAAGGGAAGAGATTTCAGACCATTCATGAAATTCGGGAAAATACAACAGGGCGGCTGATGGTGATTGGGAGAATTGTGTGAGGTCCCATGGTGCCTACTTTGAAGGGGACTGAGGCATCATTGTCCTGTGTACAGTGCTTCTTGTATCTTGTATCTTCTTTAATAAATCTCTCTATTTTTCGTATTACGTGGCTGGACACCTTCTGGACAGACCTCATATATCTCACAGCCATAGCACACACTTTCATAATATAAATAGGAGATTGGATTCTTATAGCTTTTTTATGTAATTACATACTGTCAGAATGTACATACTGTTTTTATATTGCCCTTTGCATATATCATCGTCATAAATGCTTTTAGAAATTAGTTTTATAGTGTTTAATATCATTGAGTTGGTATTCTATAAATTGCCTAATTATTTTCTTATTTTCAGGATTTTCAGACTGTTTCTAATTCTTTGCTGTCATGCATAAACGTTATGCTGATCCCTTTTGTATAATACTTTTTTCATTGGATTTTTTTTTCTGAAGGTAAAATTGCAGGCATGTGAACTTTTTTGGAAGGGGGAGGCTTTCATATATAATACATTTTGCTGCCTTAACAGGTAGAGTTAGTGTTATGTGGTGCTTTATAAAAATGTAAATTTTGCATCTAGCCAGGCTTTTAGGATGAATACAGAAATTCTGCCATAGTAGGGTAGCTCAATAATATACAGATTCAAAAGAAGTGTCTTGAAACAGAATATTTAATGTGCTTAAAAACTTGTAGGAAGTATCCATAATATTCATTATCAGTATTTGAATATGGTCTCACAACATCTAATGAATAGATTTGAAAATAAAAAGCAAATACAAATGCAAAAAATTAAAACTCCTTGAGCTCTCCTCCCTTTAAAAAATTTTCCCAACTTCTTAGGAATTAAAAAAAAAAATCATACCTACAGTTTCATAGTATTTTAAAGTTACTGCTTTTAAATTAGAAAATTAAAGGAATCATTTTGGGATTTATTGTGTAGTAAACTGACAGTTGTGGATAACCTTTGTGATAATCTCCTGTTTATTGAGTGAGGTTATATTGAAACCATAGTTCTTATGCAGTTTACTAGAAAGTTAACTCTAAAATTCTTCTGATAGAAGATTTCAAGAGGCCAGCTTGAATCCCATTATTTCCTCTTCCACAGGCCGGCCCCCTGGCCCTGAGATGGAATACTGCACTGACAGAGAGTCCTACTCTTTAGCTGCTGGCCTGGCCCTGGGCATGGTCTGCTTGGGGGTAAGCACGGTCTGTCCTTCCGAGGCTTCAGTGATGACGTCTGCTTGTGGAGATGAGGAATCTTGATACTTTACTCTGAATATTGGTCTGCCATACTGGGATTTGATTTAAACTGATGCTTAGCTGTTTCTTCTTTCTGGATATTTTTAAGACATAAGATGAAGTGATAGCCTGATTAGACAAAAAAACAGCAAATAGTCAAAAATGTGTCTATGATGGGGAACCTGACGGGTCTGTAGTAGTTGGTAGAGAGAAGTCATAGCCTTTTCTTGGCCCCCAAGTGTTCACTGGCCTGGTGGGATGTTGCCACAGTAGCATTTGCTTTGTGACAGAATGCAGTGCCACGATGATCCATTTTTAACCCCAACCATGAGATGTGATAGAGAATTATCAAAATCGTTTCATTCAGTGACCGTCAGCTGGAACGTGGGTTCCTTGAAGAACCACAAATACATGGTTAAATTGAAATTAGATTATACAAAACAGGATGACAGGTGTTTGACTCTTCACACTTTTACTTTAACTCCAGGGCAAATGATCCAATGAAAAAGCTTCAAAGTGGTAATTGGGACCTGAATTCTGGTCCTGACTAGTGAGTCTGTCATTTAACTATAATATTGTCTAGTGGTGGTTAGGCAACTCCACAGACTGTGGGGCCACACTGCCTGTGTCATGTCTGGCCCTGCCACTTGCTAGGTGTGTCACTTTGGGCTTTACTTTCCTCACCTATAAAATAATAGCTCTTTGATAGAATTGTCATACTAAATAAGTTAATCTGCGTTAAACACACAGAATAGTCCCTGGAACAGAGTAACTGTTCAGTAAGTTATTTTTATTATTATAGTTATTGTTGCTCAAATGGTTCATAGCCACAATAATGAAGCAATTCAGATGTTCATAGTTTAGTTTTCATTAACATACTTAATATTTTCTTAGACTTTTAGTGCAGTTGACTGTATGTTAAGGCCTTTATGTATTTTGTGACATGAAAATATTAACTTGAACATAGAAACATTATGATTTTAATGTGAAGTATTAGTAGCTTGAGTATTAACTCACAGTAGTAGTTATTTTAATTGAAAAAAACCTCATCATACCCTGATTTGAAGTTAGCTCATGCTCTTCCTTTTCATGGGTATGTGTTATGGACCTCATTTTTAAGATTTCCTTCATGTCTCTGTTGTTTAATTCTCCAGCACGGCAGCAATCTCATAGGTATGTCCGACCTCAATGTGCCTGAGCAGCTCTATCAGTACATGGTCGGTGGTCACAGGCGCTTTCAGGCGGGAATGCACCGGGAAAAACACAAATCTCCAAGTTACCAAATCAAAGTAAGTCCAGATCAGAGCAGTAATTTGAAAATAGTTTTTATATCAACCTTTAATAAATGTTCATTTTAAGCATAAGTTAGTATTCAGAAGAATTTTATAATAATTCACAACTCTCTTACACAAATGAACTTTTCCTTTTTGTAGGAAGGAGATACCATAAATGTGGATGTAACTTGTCCAGGCGCCACTCTTGCTTTGGCTATGATCTACTTAAAAACCAATAACAGGTACTGCATCTCTGACCCCACCCCTAGCCACCAGTGGGGCTTCCTTTCTCACCTCAGTAGTGAAACTAAGGTATCTCGATGGATTTGTTTCCCCTCTGCCGGCTCTACCTGATTTTAATTCTCTCAGATACTAGAGATTATATAGATTTTTATCTAGAAATAATTTATTTCCTATTTTAATGATTTCTGACAATATAATTGCCAATTTTTATTGATTTCTGTGTCATAGTTGTCTCAAAAATGCCCAAATTGCTTTTCATAAATTTTGCATGTCTTTGTGAGGATTGGTAAAACCAGAAACACGTAGCATTATTCTGTTCTTTGTTCCTATTTATAAAAATGGTTTCTGCTTAGTTCAAGTTTTCCTAGTGAACCACCCGTCTACTTTTCCAACCCCCATTATTAGTGCCGACACTTGAAAGTAGATCTTTGGCATTTATTCTTTTACATTTTGCATAGGAATGTAAGTTGAGTAGGAGACAGTAAACTCTGCTTAAGTCTTTTAATTTAAAAAATATCTTAAGATTCAAGGAATTTTTCAATGTTGTATATTCCTCCTCTTAGAAAAAGTGAATGTATGCAAAATTAACAAAGTGGCTAAGAACAGGCATTTGTTTGTTTACTATTTCAATGAATGTGTATGTTCTTTCTTGACACTGAAGCCAGACAAAACTAAACATTCGCTCTTACGGAGCTTATGTTGTTGTAAAACATATACAGATACATAATAATTGTTATGTTAGAGGATGTAAAGTACTATGAATGCCAAGAAAATAGGACAGTGGATGGAGTTGGGGAGAATGTTGTGAAATCCATCTTGGGCTTCTTGATTACTTTGCCTCTTCCTGAACAGTGTGCTTGTTGATATCTTCAACTAATAGGTCCATTGCTGACTGGCTCCGAGCTCCTGACACAATGTATTTGCTGGACTTTGTAAAACCAGAGTTTCTCTTGCTTAGGGTACAGTACTTTGCATTTTTTTATTTCTTTTAACATGAGTCTGTATGTGGTTCTCAGCTTTAGCTTGCAAATACACATGTTTCTACAAGGGAACCTTTTACTATTAATTCATTATGTACATATAATTGGTAGCATTCTTTTAAAGTTTCCCATGTTCAGCTGTAGGAAGGCTGGAAAGGCAGCCACATTGACATATTAAACCTGGAGTTGACATTTCAGATTCTCACATTATTCAGAACTTCCTAACAAGCAGCGAGTGACTGGGGTTTCACTACTGCTTTCATTATTAGTAAGGATGCAGTATTACTGTTAACGGTATAATTAATGACAGTAACTGTTCAACATAATTTCCTCAATTATTCCCTCTATAATGTTAAAACTTGTATGTTTTTCGCCTTGAAATTATGTACACCGGGCTATGATTTTTTTCTTTTATGGAGCAAGTTATAAAACATCCTCGCTGGTTTCTCCAAATTGCAATGACAGTTAACTCAATTTTAGGGTGGTTTTTTTTTTGTATTAAAATATAAATCTTTATTTTAATGATTGGTTTAGGTTGATTCTGTATACACTTTATTTTTCAAAGGACCATCATTTGGGAACCAGTTTTTAAATTACTCTGTTTAACATTATCATTGTCATAAAATCTGTGAACTTTGCCAGCTCTAATGAATTTTTTCTGTATTACATTTTAAAGACACTTGCTCGATGCCTGATTTTGTGGGATGATATTTTACCAAGTTCCAAGTGGGTTGATAGCAATGTTCCTCAAGTAAGTACATATAATAAATTTTTTTATATCTTTAATGGCATAAAGTTATGATTTGGGCTATTTCAAAACACTATAAAATACTTAACAAGGCAATATTGATGATTATGGTCCCTCTTGAAAACATAGGAACTTTCATTTTAAGTTTGTCTGCTGGTCATAGGTCAACCTTTCTTTCTGGTCCCAGATTCCAAGAAATTGTACTTTTAAAAAATTATTTTTACCAAAGTACCCTAAAGAGCATTTTTGACATTTTTATCCTAATTAGGTACATATTTATCTAAGATGCTATTTTACTTTGTGACAATTTAAATCTCTTATATAATAACTTATTCTAATTACTTAATGACATGTTTATCCAATAAGCCAAATAGTTACCAATAAGCAGACTCCATCAAAACTCTAAATCAGATATTAAGATAAATACTGCCCTTTAATTAGCAGTCCATTTCTGGTGGTGTCAGTTCCATTTTATTTGTGAAATAAACTTATTTGTCCTTGGGAATTCTTGAGAGTATTTCCCCCAATATCTGTATAAGAAAAAGTTCAAAATAAAGACAGGTTGAAATAACTTTATGGACACACCCATATTGCCAGTTAGATTCTATAATTAGTAGTTTACTTTATAAACTTGTTTAATCACATGTCTGTCCATTTACTCTTTATCCAGCTCTTCATCATTTTTTATATATGAGGTCGCATTTCAGTTGGTTGCGGCCAGTACTGTACTTCTCTCTAAATATTTCAGCATATGTATCAATGACTAGTATTTATTTATATTCTTTCCCTTTTAGGATAAAGTTTATATACAATGAAAAGTACAGATCTTAAGTACCGTATTTTTCAGACTATAAGACACACTCCCCCCAAATTTGGGAGGAAAAGGCGGGTGCATCTTACAGTCCGAATGTAGTTTACCTGGCTCACTGTGGTGGGGGGGGGTTGGGGAAGCAGCGGTGTAGCCAGGTCACAGGAGCAGGGTTGCCGCTGCATTTTCCTCCCAAATTGGGCGGGGGGTGTCTTATAGTCTGAAAAATACGGTATACTATTTGATAAGATTTAACTAAAATATATGCTCATGGAAACAAACGTTCATCAGAATGGCCAGAAGTTGCCTCCTTCCCTTATCCAGTCTGTTCATTTACCCCCTCCTCCAGCGCAACCAGTTTTCCGATGCTTTTCTAAAATAAATGAGTTTCCTGGCCTTACACTGTTCATATTTTTAATCTTCTTTTTCTTAGATAAGTCCCTTTAACATTTCATATAATAAGGACTTGGTGATGATCAACTCCTTGAATTTGGTCTTATCTGAGAAGCACTTTATCTGCCCTTCCATTCTAAATGAAAGTTTTGCTGGGTAGAGCAATCTTGGTTGTAGGTCTTTGGTTTTCATGACTTGAAATACCTCTTTCCAGCCCCTTCTTGCCTGGAAGGTCTCTTGAGAAATCCGCTGACAGTCTGATGGGGACTCCTTTGTAGGTGACTGTCCCCTTATCTCTTGCTGTTTCTAGGATTCTCTCCTTCATTTTAATCTTGGCTAATGTAATTACAATGTGCCTTGGTGTGTTCCTTCTTGGGTCCAACTTCTTTGGGACTCTCTGACTTTATTATATGAAATGTTAAAGGGACTTATCTAAGAAAAAGAATATAAAAAATATGAACAGTGAAAGGACAGCAAATTCAACAGTTATTAACAACCACACCTAAAACAAAAGCAAACTAAAAGGACAGCTAGATCAGGAGCAGAACCATAGAAATGAAGATCAAATGGAGGGTTAGCAACAGGGGAGTGGGAGAAGGAGAAGAGGGGAGAAGGTACAGAGAATAAGTAGCATAGACAGTAGGTAGAAAATAGACAGGGGGAGGGCAAGAATAGTATGGGAAATATAGAATCTAAAGAACTTGAGACACATGGACATAAACTAAAGGGGGGGAATGGTGGGGGGAGGGGTGTGCAGGGTGGAAGGGAATGAAGGGGGGAATAGAACAACTGTAATGGCATGATCAATAAAATATATTTAAAAAAATTAAAATAAATAAATAAAATAAATGAGTTTGCCTGAAGTATGGTAGTGGTATCACATATAGTATACACCCTTTGTATAAGACTTTTTTCATGATTGTGAGATATTAATGGTTCATCCTATTTATTGTTAAGTACTGTTCCATTGTCTAAACATACCACAGTTTCTTTTTCCATTCCCCTTTGTTAGACACCCCATTCCAGGTTTTAGCCATTATGAGTTAAGGCCATAAATCTCTTATACAAATATTTTTGTGCACTTACATATTAATTTTATTTTTAATAAATATTTAAGATTGCAATTACTGAGGTGTGGAGTGGATGATGTATTTGGTTTTTAAGAACTAGTTAATCTTTTCCTAGAGTTTGTACTATTTTACACTTTGGCCAAGAGCATATGAAAATGCTGGTGCTGTACATCTTGTCCATATTCAGTGGTGGTGGTCTTTTTAATTTTAGTTCTGCAGGTAAATTTGTGATGATAGTATGTAGTTTCCACTTCTGTTATTCTGCTGACTGATGATGAGGGAACATTTTCATTTGCTAATAGTTCCTTTACATATTCTTTGGTGTGAAGCCTCTGTTCCTGTCTCACCTATTTTTTTTTTTTTATGCATTTTTGCCCTGGCTGGGTGGCTCAGTTGGTTAGAGTGTTGTCCCGTACATCAAGAGGCTGCAGGTTTGATTCCTGGTCAGGGCACATACCTAGGTTGTGGCTTCAATCTCCAACTGGGGCACATAGAGGAGGCAGCCCATCGATGTGTGTTTTTCTCTCCACTTCCCCCAAATCAATAAACATATCCTCAGGTGAGGGTTTTTTTAATGTATTTTTGTCTTTTTATTATTGAGCTGCTAGAATTTTTAATACATATGGGAAGCCTATTCTTTCTCTGATATATATTTTGGAAATATTCCTCCCAGTCTCGTTTGCCTGTTCATTTTTTTTAGTAATATTTTTGCTTAGCAGAAGACTTTCAAAGTTTGATAATGACTAGTTTATCAGATTTTATTTTATGGGTATTGTGTCCTATGAAAAAAAATTTGCCTAACTCTGAGTCTTGAGTATACTCACTTGTTCTTTTCTCTAAAACCTTCAGTATTTTAGCTTTTGTGTATAGTTATGTCATCCACCTCAAAGTAATTTTGTTTATGGTATAAGGTAGGCATTGAGGTTTTTGTTTTTTAAAAGTGTGGATATTGAGTTATACTAACACGATATATTGAAAACACCTACTTTTCCCTATGGACTTCCTATGGCTCCTTTTGTCCAAGTCAAATGAGTGTGGGCTTATTTCTGCACCCTATTCTGTTTCTTTATCTGTCCTCACGCCAGAATCATACTCGTGATTACTGTAGTGAGTTCTGAAGTCAAGTAGTGCAGCGGTCCCCAACCGTTTTGGCCTCAGGGACCAGTTTCCTGGAGGACAGGGCAGGGAGGGGGTGTGACAGGAGGCACTTGAGGACTGGTTGGGGACCCCTGACATGCATGTCTGCCATTGTTGTTGTTTTTTGTGATTTCTTTGAGTTCTCCAGGTCATTTACTTTTCCATATAAAATTTAGAATCAGCTTATTAGTATCAATATAAAAATCTGGTGCATTATAATTGAAATTGTATTAAATCTATAGATAAGTATATGGAAAGTAGGTAATTAAATATCGAGTCTTCTAGTCCAAGAATATAAAATCTATCCATTTTTAAATCTCTCAGAAAAGTAAGGATCTTGAACAGTTTTTAATGTGTATTTCTAAATATTTTACATTCTTTTATATACAGCAAGTGGAATCTTTCTGTAGAATTTCATTTTCTTTTTTTTTAAGATTATTTATTTATTTTTAGAGGGGAAGGGAAGGAGAGAGGAAGAGAAATATCAATGTATGGTTGCTTCTTGTGCTTTGCCTGCTGGGAACTGGCCTGCAACCCAGGCATGTGCCCTGACTGGGAATCAAACCGCGATTTTCTGGATCGCAGGCCCACGCTCAATCCACTGAGCTACACCGGCCAGGGCGAATTTCATTTTCTAAATATGGAATTGATTATTTATCAGCCTTTTAACCTGTGGCATTTAAGTGCATATATTAGTTAAATAAATCATTATAAAGATATTATGTTATGTACCTCATTGTCATTTTTTTTTTAAAAAAAACTCTCTTCAGATTGCCTGATGTGGCACTGTGCTGTAAGTTGTTCAGGTGCATTGCCCTGTGTGTATGGGTGGGAGCGATGAACTCTTTCTTATACTATAAACTCTTCAAAGTCAGCTACTGTTTCCTCTCCATCTTTTTTTTTCTAGCTACTAGTATCTTTTTTTCCTAGCTCTAGTGGCTAGAGCTTAGTACATTACTGTTACATTGAAAGAGGACAGATTGGATCAAAATCATCCAGCAAGTAAGGGGTAGGGTCAAAATAAAACTAACTGTAGGATTTTAGATTTTGAGATCATTGCCTTGGACAGAGGAATTTGGTGGTCTTCTCTCTTTTTATTCTAAAAAAAGTAACAGTGCATTTTTATTAGTTAACTTTATAACACATCTCAACATAGTTTTATTTCTTTTGTTTCTTTTTAAAATATTTTATTATTTAGTCTGGTAGTGTTGTCTCAATTTTTCTCCCTTCTCTCCCCTTTTGCCCACCCCACCCCCTACTCTCATAACCAATCCCAGTTGGCTTTTCCTGCTCATTTCCTGTGTGCCTCAATTTGCCCTTGAAGGATTACATTTCTTCCTTTGATTACTCTTTATATTGTTAATTATTTTTAAATATTAGGACACCATAGTAAAGGTAAAAAGGAACTGGAATGAAGAGGGTTCCCCCTCCCCCCATTCAGTTGTTTATAACCCAGGCTCTTAGCGATGCTTTTAAATGGTTTGTGATTCCCGTGCTTAGGATAGGGGTGGTATAGATTAATAATAATAATAACAGCTAACACTTTATTTAAAGGCGTTAATTTTAAGAGCTTTGAGTGATTAAGTCTTCTAATTCTCACAGAAACCTAGAAGGTAGGAAACCTTGTTCTGCTGATTTTACAGGGGAGGCACAGAGCAGTCAAGAAACGCCTTTGGTCACAGGGCTAGTGTGTGGCCCTGCAGGTTCACACGTAGGCCTTCAGGCTCCTTTTGAAGATCAGAAAGGACCTTACAAATGCTATCATTGGGTTACACACCACATGCGCGTGCGTTTATGTTGGGTTGGCCAAAAAGTCGGTTACCTTTTTAATGTATCATGGCTCTAATAGTGCTTAGTTGTCTTTAACTTCATTAGAAACAATTCGTTAAATTGTATTGTGACAGCTGACTTGTCAGCATGCATTTTTTTAAAAAAACATCAAAATTGGTGAATTTTTGTGCAGCCATTTTAATATTAAAGATGGAATAAAATACACAGCATTTTCAGCTTATGCTTTATTATTTCATGAAAGGTAAAAACACAACTTAAACGCAAAAAAAGATTGTGCAATGTATGGAGAAGGTGCTGTGACTGATCAAATGTGTCAAAAGTGGTTTGTGAAGTTTCTTGGTACTATTGACATTTTGGCCAAATACTTCTTTGCTGTGAGGCTGTCTTCTGCATTGGAAGATGTTTAGCAGCGCCCCTGGCCTCTACCCACTAGAAGCCGATAGCAGGAGATAGCCCACATACTCAAAATATCCAAATCAATAAAGTTGCTGATGAAAATGAAAAATGTCTTTTATTTTACAGAAAAAACATAATGGACTTTGTTGGCCAAACAAATGTATTCACACATATATGTGTGTGTGTGTGTGTATATATATATATATATATATATATTACTTACTTTGGAGTTATATTAGTTTTTCAGAATGTCACTCAATTTCTGAGTAAATAGCATTCAAAAAAGCCCTGAAAACCAGAAGGGGAGAATGATGGAAGTAGTTATCAACTTATATTTCACAGCCAACATAATTACTTTACATCACTGAGATTATCAAAGAGAAAAGGTATTTGAAGTTTTTTGATTTGGTGATATTTAGTACATTAGAAGTTTATATTGTAAGTAATTTCTGAATATTTATTGTTTTATCATGGAAAACATCCTGAAATGTTATTCTCATGAGCAGTCTTCTAAAAAGGATAATAGGGGTAAATCATCAGTGTTTCTCTGTTCTATGTACTTGCTTTCACATGTTTAGAAAACATATAGCCTTTTCTTTTTTATTTGTAATTTTTAAGTGAAACAGACCAAATCCCTTCTTAGTTATTAAAGTTCTGGGTATTCTGGGTTAAAAAAAAATCTTGTTCACTACCTGTGGGAAAGGGATGGGTTTCTACATAGTAGTTGCAGATGAACACATTGACATTTCAACTTCACTTGAATAATTAATCTAATGGCCACCTTCACCTGTGGTGAGCTTAATGCTAGAAACGTCCCAAGACCAAGTGTATGTCTCTGAGTAGAGTTCTCTCCAAGTGCGCCTTCCTTTCATGCCGCTTCCCTGCACCCCTGCCCCAACTTTCATTCAGCTCACTGGTGTGAAGTTTTATTACGCTGCTGTTGTTTCAGAATATACTTAAGTCCTGTAGTTTATTTTCATTTAGTCCTGTTCAGTTTTTGTTCTCATTTGGGCCATCTTAGGCTTGAAATTAGGTTGCACAGGCATGATTACAATACGGGCCTTTGAATGAAATGGTTTGGCAAAGCTTCTTTTATGTAAACATGGCCAAGATAAGCAGTGTGTTATTTTTCAGATCATTAAATATTTGTAACTTGAATATTAATGTTCAGGTATTCTTGGTTTGTATCTTAACAGATTATAAGAGAAAATAGTATCTCTCTCAGTGAAATTGAATTGCCTTGCTCAGAGGATTTGAACCTGGAAACCTTGTCGTAAGTTATGAAATGTGAAATACAAATGAGCTGCCCTAGCACCTGTCACATGAGTAATAGGAATGTGCCCTGTAAGGGCTGTACTGCCCTTCACCTTCGGGTAATTCTGAGTCCCTGTGTTTCTAAGGATTGCTGATCAGAGGTTCAGAAAGATGATTTCTTTTGTTTGTTTGTTTTTGTTTAGGTCTCTGAAGTGTAGCGCTGTTGCTCTCAAAAACTAATGTTGGAGATTTAATTTGTACAGATTCATTCCCCTTTTATTCTTTCCATTAAAAAATGGCAGTGATATACACACACACACACACACACGTATATATTTTTGCTGCATATGAAACATGCAGGCAAAGAGGTGCACGTTATCAGTAATGGCCACATGGTGTTTCTGCCAGAGAAAACTGCACAGGTACCTGCTGATTGCGTAGAGGCACAATTGCCTGTTTCCAGAATAGAAACTCACTTAGAGACAGGAGAGTTATCGTTTTTACCCAAAGATAATACTTACAATGAATTTTAAGGCAGAATGATGACAACAGTAAACTTTGTGTACTCTGTCTCTAGGCAAGCACATGTCTACATAATTGCAGGAGCCTGCTTGTCTCTGGGTTTTCGATTTGCTGGCTCAGAAAATTTGTCAGCATTTAACTGCTTGGTAAGAAGTATCTTAGTTTATTCTGTTTTCTTTTTCACAAAGTCTTAATATGCTTCCTTCTGACTTTAAGTTTTTTCTTTTGTTTTTGCAGCATAAATTTGCAAAAGATTTTATGAGTTATTTGTCTGCACCGAATGCTTCTGTGGTAAGTCTTTTTTTGGAGTCTTAAGCTTGAAGAAAATTCACAAAGTTACTTGTATATTGTCAGTCTCTGCAGTTTGTTTGAATTTAGAATGGGAGATTTGAAGTTTTATTTTTATTCTGGGATATTATTTAGGGGAGAATATGATTACCCTTGAAGAGGGTGCACAGGTCTCTGGATCTCGTGACAAGAGAGTAAATAAGAAAAGCCGTGCCCTCCATGGATCCTCATACTGTCTACTGTTCTGTCTCGGGACTGAGTGTTGCCGACTGCCTCGAAATTAGTATTTAGTAGAAACGGAGTTGTTTTTAGGGAGTTGCTGCTGTGATGACAGGAAAACTGCAAGATTTTATTTCCTGGTAAAATCTACACAGATTTATGCAACATTTTTATAATGTGAGGAAATTAGAAACATCAAAAAGGCTAAAAGTAGTTAAATAAATTTGATTATAGTATATCTGTACTTTGTTAGACGGAGGGGGCTACCAAATCATGTTCTAGGAGAATTTGTTGTAAGATTGTTTATAATAGATTAAAAAGGTTAGAAACATTGTGTATAGTAATATCTCAGTTTCATTTGGAAAAATATGTATATAAATACAGGAAAAGATTTGGAGAAAAAGAAAGGCAAAATGTTTACTAAAGTTCTTTTTGGGTGTTTCTATTTTCAAGTAATTATTACACCTTTTGTATATTTTATTTTTTGAGTTTTTTACATTGGATTTAAATTTCATAATCACAGAACTTGTTCTTACAGATTTTTTAAAAGTTATAAACATTTGTAGTTTAATGATGGCCATGTTAGTTTTGATAATGAAGAAATGTAATACACAACAGTGGGAAATAAAGTAATGTTGGCCCTGGCCAGAGAGCTCACCTGGTTAGAACATTGTCCTGATGTGCCAAGGTTGCAGGTTGATCCCTAATCAGAGCACATACAGGAACCAACCAATGAATGCATAAAGAAGTGGAACAACAAATCGATGTTTCTCTCATTTTATCTTGATCCTTTCCTCTCTCTCTAAAAATCAGTAAGTAAAAATTAATAAAAAAAGGAATGTAATATGACAGTTGATAATAAATGGACTACAGCAGTCTTCTTTTTGTATTTCCAGACGGGTCCTTACAACCTGGAAACATGCCTAAGTGTGGTGCTGCTGTCTCTGGCCATGGTCATGGCTGGCTCAGGGAATCTAAAGGTTTTGCAGCTTTGTCGTTTCTTGCACATGAAAACAGGTGGTGAAATGAACTATGGTTTCCACTTAGCCCATCATATGGCCCTTGGAATTCTATTTTTGGGAGGAGGAAGGTAAATGAATATTTCTTTGATGATATCATAAGCAAGATCTATCTATAAGAATGACTTATTTCGAATTTGAAGATGCATGGAAATTTTTTATTCTGGCTAGCTGTTAGCTTATCTGGAGGCATTATTACACTATAAAGGGGCCTTTTTATGGTTTAACCATCAATTTATGCCCTGCTTGGTAGTTACCATCCTCTCCTTAACATACTTAGCATCGCTGCATTTCTCAGAAGAGTATGTAAACTTCATTGCTAAGCCTCTTGTTCCCCACCGTTGAAGGATTTTACCCTTTTACTAAAGTGTTTCCTCATAAAGGTCACAAACACTACAGCCAGCAAACCCTACAAGATTTCCTTAGTGTTCAATTTCACACTCTCTTTCCATTATCTGTCATTCCTAACCACCTTATCTTTTTGTAAGACTTCCCTGGCTCTTACTGATCTGTATTGAATACACACACACAAACTACAAATCAGAGGAGCACAGCTCGGGAACGACCTGCAGTCGTCCTGCAGAGATCAAGACATAGCTGCGCACTCCTCTCTGCCCTGGCCTCCCCTCTCCCAGTCACTGGTATTTTACTTCTGCCCAAAGATAGCCACTATTTATTGCTAGTTTTCTAACACCTTAAATTGGTTTTGCCTGTTTTTGAAATTCAAATGGAATCATACAGTATGTATCCTTTCGTAACTTCTTTTGCTCCACATTGTATTTGTGAGAGTGCTGTTGAATTCCATTGTGTGGTAGGAATCAATAGCCACAGTTACTGATTTACTCCGCTGTTGATAGATATGTTATTTCTAGTTTGGGGTGATTATGAATAATGCTGTTGTGAATATTTTTGCTTATGCCTTTGATGTATTGTATGTGGATCTGTGCACTAAGTGGAATTGGGTCATAGGGTGTATGTTTATGTTCGGTTTCTGTAGACAGTCCCATCAGTGCTCCCAAGTAGCCATACCATTGTACATGTCCATCGGCACCATATGACATTCTAGTTGCTCCCCATCCTTGTCAACACTTGCTATTAGTCATGTTGATTTTAGCCTTCTGGTAGTAGTATCTCATTGTGGTTTTAATTTCCATTGCCCTGAATAATGATAATGACCAACTGGAAACATTGTGTAACGTCCAGATCTCTTGCTACCTATTTTCATATTCGTTTACTTTTTAAAATTTTATTTGTGGTAAAATGCCATAAAATTTACCACCTTAAATATTTTTAAATGTACACTGTGGGGAACCCTGGCCAACAGAGCTTTCCTGGCCTCTGCAGATGAGAATAAGTTGTCCCAGACACGATCTGTTGTTCCGGTGGGAAAGAGTGGCGATTCCCTCTAGCGGAGAATGCCCCAAGCCCTTCTCCAAAATGGCTTTTATTAGGATTGTAGTGTGTAGGGGAATACAGCATACATGCATAGCTTACAGTTTATCGATCAATGTCCAAAAGGCTATAGTCATAAAAAACTGACATTATCTACAGATAACAAATGAAGAAACACAGAGACTCTCTCAGGTCAGGGTCAGTGAGACATGTTCACACCAGATGGTTGTAAAGGCATGTTTCAGGGGACAAGAGTTCACTCCTTATGCTTTGAACTTAATCGTCTGGTTTATATCACAGGGGCTTTGGCAAGGCAGAGCAAGCTTGAAAGGATACAATGTGCATTTCAGGCCAGGAACCTAACCCTCTGTGTTAGTGTCGGGTCTGTGTTTCCTGGCTTTCCAGGGAGACTTACCGGCCTGTCTCAGGGCCTGCTCCTGCGGGGTCGTAGACCGGCCTGTCTCAGGGCCTGCTCCTGCGGGGTCGTAGTCTCCGAAACCCCACAGAGTGGTCCCTAGCAGTGCGTACCGTTCAGTAGTACGAAGTACATTCACGTTTTTGTCGTAAAACTGAAACTCATAATACACTTTAATCTGTGACTCCTGTAGTTCGCTTTCTCCCAGTCCCTGTCAACCTCTGTTCTTTCTGTTTCTGTTAATTTGTCTACTGCGTATTGCTTTATCACTGTTACCCCGAGGCCTCGGTCAGTTTTGTGTGTTGTAGTTACCTTCTCCTACTCTGTGGCTCATCTTTAAACTCAGTTAACAATGTCTTTTGATGAGGAGAATTACTATTTTTATTTCATGGTTTGTACTTTTTTGTCCTGATGAAATATTTTTCTTCACGGCCCTGCCCCCCTTCCCCCCACCCCCCTGTGAAGATATTTGTCTTCCAGAAGTTTTTTAGCTTCTCCATTCATTACGATTTAAAAACCTACCTGGAACTTATGTATTGAGAAGTTTAAATTTCTCTGCTGTTCTCTGGAACCACGTTTGTTATAAATTAAGTGTTCTTATACATGTGTTTATTTCTGGGCTCTTATGTTCAGTTGGTCTGTTTTCATACTTGCACCAGTGCCACACTTTCTTAATTATTGTAGCTTTACAGTAAGCTTTGATGTTCTAATACAGTAGAACAAACCCTCCATACTGGGATTTCTTGCTCAGTAGTGTGTTTTTCTATTCTTGGTACTTTGTAGTTCCATGCTGTATTAGTATTAGAATTCCTTTGTGATTGGCACAGTACATAGCCTGCTGAAATGTTGATCGGAGTTGCACCGAGTCTGTACACGGGTTTGGGAGGTATTGAAGTCTAGTACCGAGGTCACAGCCCTGAGTCTTCCAGGCAGTGAAGGTGGTGCTCCCCTGCATTTACTCCGCTCCAGTGTGTGTGACCTTGGTGCACAGACACAAATTCTTCAAGTCGTGTGGGTTCACTCATCCTCTTTCAGACTGAACTAAACATTGGAACTTGCCTTTACAGAGCATAGAGGTTGTCAGAAAGGTCGCATGCCCTTTTAACAGGTTTTCTACACTTGTTCTTTCTGTAATCACTGAGAATTAAGAATGGCTGAAGAAATTTTAGTATAAAAATTTTTATTTTATGATTTTTGAAATTCTATTTTCCTTTCACAGTAAGCCCCTGCATTAATTTTACTCTCTTATTCAACCCCCTCTCATCATTATATACTACACGACCCTGCTGAACTCATACACGTTGAGTAGGCTTCCCCCCACGCTGCTTCTGCCTGTCTAGTGACTCCTGGTTGTTTGATGGTTACGTGCACTCTGTGACAGCGTGTAAGTTTCTGACAGCACAGCTGCACCCTTACGTTAATCTCAGAATGCCCACCATCCATATCTAATGCTTGTCTTTGGATTTTGGTTTCATCAAAATGATAAAGTGCACCTGTCAAAATATTTCCTTAAATTTTGACATCTCTTCTTCCTAAATTAATTAAATACATTTGTGTGATAAATGCTAAATTCTTACCTTATTTGAAAATAGAAACAGGGACAGAGGTTGGGGGATAGGTGTGTGAGTGTGTACAATAAAATATATAAATATATTGAACCGCTTCAGTGGGGGTTTTATATGATGTCCTGTACAATCTTTATTTCAAAATACCTGCAAGATAAACTAGAACTTTAATCTGCCCATTTGCCATGCTGAATTTGAGCAACATTAAAATAATTTAAGGAAGATTTTAAAAGATTTTGCTTTACTAAGAGTCTGTGAATTTTATAGAATAAGTTTACATTGATAACAAAAGAGTTACTTATATTTTGAAAAATAGTTATTTATGCAGTCATTGCAACTTTGAATGATAACTTTGCCTCTTTTACTTAGTTTATCAATCTGAGGAATTATTTGTGCTTTACAGAAGTAGAAAGTTTGAGGTGCCCAATTTAAAAAGAAAAACTTGTGTTTTTAAAAGTAATGTTTATAATTTTATAAATAGGTATAAATGAAACTGGAGAAAAAGGAGGTACCTGACTTTTTAAATGTCTGTAATCTCTGGGATCCCACTCATGGTCCTCAGTACTGTGCTTATTTTAGATTAAAGCTTTGCTTATTAATTCAAATTTTATAATCTAACATTCATGGAATGATGCATCTGCTTTAAGTAGTACGTAATCTCGAAATGGTTTGTGGACTGAGAAGGGAAGTAAGTGTTCATGGCGCTGACACATATTTTCAAGGGCTTGCCAGCGCCTTGTCACAGGAAGGACCCCGATTGCCTGGTTTTCAAGAATGCTGTGAAAGTTTGGCGGCATCACTAATTCCGTCTGCACCTCCTGCATTTGTCTTGCAGGTACTCTCTGAGCACCTCCAACTCCTCCATTGCCGCCCTCCTCTGTGCCCTTTACCCGCACTTCCCAGCTCACAGCACTGACAATCGGTGAGTCCAGTGACTCTGTTCTTAACCATCTTCTTTCAGCTCTCTAAGGGGATAAATTGGTTGTGTTTTGTTTCCCTGGATTCATTTCCAAATTAGCTCTTTTGTGTTCTTGAACTTAGTTATCTTTCTGGCTAAATATTTTAAGAACTTTCTTTCACAAAATTTTAGACCAGAAGAGGACTTTAGACATCTGATGGCTGGTTGGTCTTCCACTGTACTCCAACCAGTAGAACTGCTCTAACCCAGAAGTAGATCAACAGGGTTATCTTTAGAAAAGAATTCATCAAGCAAGAGATAGTAGCCAAGAGGAGCTGAAGATGGTACATTTTGTGCTATAATTAATCCCAAGAAATTTGTCTGATGTAGTGGCAGTGTCTATATGAATTCGTTTTTTCCCCTTTTACATGAATGCCAAGAAGTTTTATATAAATGACGTGAAAGGGACAAGAAAAGCGAAGTACAGCAAAAAAGCCAGAGTCAATTTAGAAGTGGCAGTGAGCAGTAGAACCTCAGACACACAGGAGCAGTCTGACGATGCAGAAGCTGTGCCTTCGGAGCACGAAGAACCAGCCACACTCCTGCTTCCCTAGACCCTCAGGTACAGCAGATCTCCTGTGTGTGGAGTAAGGGAAGGAAAGAGCTGCCTACATCTCAGTGACATCTGAGATGACCGGTGTTCTCACCTGAAGGCACCCTAACAACTGCCCAGCGATGAGCTGCTCGTTGTGGTAATGAAGCCATCACTTTTAACCGTATTGTAACCCGTAGAGAAACTTCTTTTACAAAAGTAGTCTGACATGAAAGCCAGGCTTTAGTGATGGGTGGTGCATAAGAACATTATTGTTAGAAACATTTTCGGCTTGTTATGGTTACTATTGGTTAGGGTACAGTGGAGAGCCACACTCGCACATTGCTGGTCATCATGTTTGTTGGTTTAACTATTTTAAACAGAGCAGTTTGGTGTTAAATACAGAGAACCTTTATGTGACTGATATATACCAGTTTTTTTTCCTGGCCATGATTGATTTTATTTCTAATAGATTTGCTAGGGGTGGGTAGATTTAGGTGGGAATAGGGAGGGTATTGCTATAACTGAATTTAAAAAATAACGTGAAGTCTCATTTCATTCTTCTCCTCTGAAATCTTAAAATGTAAAAATTTTTTGTGTGTTTAAATTCTAAAACAGATTTTAAAGTTTTTTTTTTTTTTTGAAAACTCAGCATATACGCAGAAAGAAGAATATTGTCATTTTCTCACATTATTTTTGGGTGCACTGTACTCTGTGCATGCGTATGTGCTTGTACACAGGCACATCCTAGTAGAAGAGCTTTCCTGTTTGAGGAAAACTGGCACTGTTTTCCCCCCTTTATTCCCCAGGCTTAAGAAAAAAAAAACACCTAGAAGTAAATTCCTTAGGAGGTGGAAAGAGGTACCCATGTTGAGCTGAAAAGGAAATTTGAAAATTGATTTTATAAGTGATCAATGTATTTACCACCCTATAAAACCTTGTAACCGAAAATTCAAGAATTCTTGTGTAGCCCTGACTGGTGTGGCTCAGTGGGTTGGGTGTCATCCCGCAAACTGAAAAGTATCCAGTTCGATTCCCAGTCAGGGCACATGCCTGGGTTGCAGGACAGACAGGTCCCTGGTTGGGGTTGTGTGAGAGGCAACCACACATTGATGTTTCTGTCCTTCTCTTTCTCTCTCCCTTTTCCATCTCTAAAAATAAATTAAAAATGTATTTTTTAAAGAATTCTTTGGTAAAGGATTGAATGTCTATAATTATGTTTTAGAAGATTCTATTGATTTATTTATTTATTTGGAGAGGGGAATGTAGGGAAAAAGGGAGAGAAACATCAGTGTGCAGTTGCCTCTCATGCGCCCCCTGCTGGGGACCTGGCCCACAACCCAGGCATGTGTCCTATACTGGGAGTCCACCCGTCGACCCTTTGATTCACAGGCTGTCACTCAACCACTGAACCACACCAGCCAGGGCCAAATGTCTATAATTTTTTAAAAAAGAGAATTGCTCCAAGACTTTTTAATTGGATCACCTCATCTTCCTTCAGGATAGCTGTCGTTGCAAGATAGCACACTAGTGTCTGCCCGTTATGGCTTGGTAGCCACAGCATGGTGTAGAGCTCAAGCTGTTGTCACCAGATGATTACCCCCTGCCTGTGTTTGGTGAACAGGTACCATCTCCAGGCTCTGAGACACCTGTACGTGCTGGCTGCAGAACCACGGTTGCTGGTGCCTGTGGATGTGGACACAAACACTCCCTGCTATGCACTCGTAGAAGTTATATATAAGGTAACTCTTTCCCCTGTCATTGATTTGTCATTTTATTACCACTCGCCTATCTTTGCAGGTCAAAGTATTTCAAAAGTATTGGTCTTTAAAAGATGACAGTAGTGAATTGAACCCTCATAAAAACTGAAGCCTGTGAAGTACTTGCACATCCTTCTGGACAGTTGGGCTCATTCACAGTCTGTGGGCCTAAGATCTTAGAGACAAACAGCTGCTCTTTCTTCCTTAGAACTTGTTTGAAAATATCCCTGTTAACTTTATCTGGCTGATGGTAGCGTTCTGAAAAATGAACTGAGTTTGCACCTGTTCTGAAATTTGTTAGCAGAGTACTTTAAAGCCAGTGGTCCTTTGTTTGATGAGAGATGTTTGATTTAGATACAGGAGATACATTATGCATAATGTATCCTTCCTTTATTCAGAAAATGATTAAGTACCTTCTATGTATCAAAATTATGCTAGGCTCTGGGATGCAGAATATGACACTGTCATATTCCTTGTCTATTGGGGAACAGGAAGGGATGCCGTAAGAATGGAGTGGTAACCAGAGGTATATGCGAAATGCAGGGGGGCAGAGGAGTGCTCCATCCTGCTGTGTGCAGGTGTAGGGGTGGGGGGAGGAGCAGCCACTGTGTTTGGGCTGAGGGTGTGCCCACTGCAGGGGCACGGTCCCAGCAGAGACGGCTTCATGAGGTGTGGCAAGTGCATATTGGCAGTACTGCTGTCAGCAGAGTGCAGGTCTCGAAGTGACAGAAGGTAACGCGGACCCACACAGAGTCGTAGGCTTGAACCCTTTGAGATGTGAGCATCAGAGAAGGTCTTCCGCTATTTGGTACTCTGTACAAACTGTGGAGAAGGAGAAGTGTAAAGTGGAGATGTTTCTTCTTTGTAGCATCCTCTAACTCAGTGATTTTCAACCGCTGCACCACAAGAAGGTTTTAAAAGGTGCAATACCTGTTAGTCATGGACACTGCCCTCTTTTCTTTAGACTGTGAAATAAAGTGACAACACACAATAGTGTCCAGGGTGAATGAATCAAAATTATACCTATTTTTTTTGTCAGATTAGAAAAAATATGAGGGAGACCCAAAAGAACTCAGAATTTATTTATAAAAAATTGTGTGTTTATTAACATGTTTAAACATCAATTGTTTTCAAAGTATGCTCCATTTGATGCAATAAGCCTATCGAGATATTTTCCCACTGTTCAGAACAGTGTTTGAACTCAATGGATTTTGATGCCTTTCTGTGCTTCTGCCATTTTTTGTTTCACCTCTTCCACATTGGCAAAATGTTTCCCTTTGAGGACTTTTTTCATCTGGTAAACAATAAAAAAAGGTCATTTGGGGTGAGAATGGGTGACTAGAGAGGGTGATGCATGGGAGTCATGCTATTTTTGGTCAAAAACAGATGAACACTCAGCATGGTGGGGGCAGGTGTATTCTTAAATCACCTGTCAGGAAATGGGTAAACACATTAAAAGAACCTTCAAAAAAAATTCACTGAAGCAGAACCCATCCTCTCACAAGAATGCCAGCTGGTGCACTGATCCAGATGGGTTCCTAGAACACTCACCTAGCAGGGGAAGCCTGTACTACCCTCCCCTCCAGGGGGCCTATCCTCCAGAAGATAATTTCGTTTTTAGTTTTTTGTTTCATTTTTGGTGTGCTGCAGAATTTTAGTAGTTAGTTTATATGTGCTGTGAGATGAAAAAGGTTGAAAATCACTGCCCTACCTCCACAGTGAATGTGGCTGTTCTCTTCTATTTCTGAAGGGCACTCAGTGGTACGAGCAAACCAAGGAAGAACTGATGGCTCCCACCCTTCTTCCAGAGCTCCACCTTTTAAAGCAGGTAAGTTGGATATGATTTAGGGAGATCCACCCAAGGGATCAATTCAGCCAGAGAAACTTAGCACAAAAGATAGCTAAACAAAAGCCTGTGCTTTCACAGTGTTTCGTTTTTTCCCTTCAAAATGAGTTGGTTTAATTCCAGCCGGTACAGAATTTGGGATGGAGCAAAGACTGAAGAACACATTTTGGCAGGATTCTGGGCTAGGTTTACTGTGACCTCCCAGCTAAGGTTGAAATGGCAGAGTGAGAAGAACTGAAGAGATGAGCTGCTGCAAGATTATTATTACTACTTTTTTATACAAAAGTTTATTTTTAAATGTACATCAGGCTTCAGGATAACACTTCATTCTAGCTATAGGTGGCAACAGATGTTATAACAGGATCCCGATGTTAAAACAGGAATGGAATTCAGGATCATTGTTGCCCCAGGCACAAAAAACAACTTTTTTGCCAGATTTCTTAATTCCACCTGTGGCTGAGGGGCCATTCCCCACAGCAAGCATCCCCTACCCCTGGGACAGAGACCTATACCAGTCTGTGGCTGGGCTGCACAGCAGGAAGTGAGCAGCAAGCAATCGAAGCTTCATCCTGTTCCCCCACTCCCTACATTACCGGCTGAGCTCCTTCCGCCCCCCCATGGAAAAATTGTCTTCCACAAAACCAGTCCCTGGCACCAAAAGGGTTGGGGACTGCTGCCCCACGCACGGCCTTTGCTTTTAGCTTCGATTCTTCTCTTTTATACTTCTCTTATGCTTGAATGCCTTGTTTTCCTTATCTATCTTGACGTGCCTCTTGGGCTGCTGCAGGGTTTCTTCTTGCCACCTTCAGGCTGGACATGACGGCTCCCATCCTTTTCCTGCTTTCTTAGTGTTTTTCAGGAAACAGGAAAGCAGCCCCAGAAGGAGCTGTCCTGGGGAGTAGCGCGGGTCTTTCCTGAAAGGTTAGGTGGCACTTACGTGCATCTTTGTCTAGAAATAGAGCTTGTTAACTGCTGAATATATCTTTCCTGCCCAGTTTTTCTTATTTCCTCTGTGAAGCATGGGTCTCCTTTTGTCAGACTGGCACTTTTCCAGCACTGGGTTGACTGTATCTACATTTATTTTGGCAGATTAAAGTTAAAGGCCCACGATACTGGGAGCTGCTCATAGACTTAAGCAAGGGAACACAGCACTTGAAGTAAGTATATTGAGGTTCTCAGCTGTCTCTGGGCAGTGAATAGAAGTATGTGGGAAGGTTATTACCTAGAATGGTTCCTGTCATGCTTAGATCCCATCCAGGAGAATATCTTTGAAACAGTTGTGTTAGAAAATGAAATTTTTAATGTAGAAATAAACCCCTAAATATTTATGTTCATTCAGTGAGAAACTTGAAGTGACTTAAGTTGGGGCAGTAGTAGAATTAAATGTTGGAGCAATGATGAACAATTTAGCTTCAGAAAATAAGACCGATGTGTATCCCCACAAAGGAGACCTGACGACAGTCGAATCGATATTTGTCAGATGACATTTTCTGTTGTGTCCCTTAACTATTCTCTTGTTAGATTGTTGACATAAAATTAAAAGATTATGGTAGATTTGTTTTGGGTAGAAATCGTCATATGTAAATAATTTATTTAATGGACAGAGAATGTTAATAATTTTATAGCTGCAGTGGTTTGTAAATTAAGTCTTTAAATTTCCAGAAAACTTAACAAGCTTGCAAAAGTTTTTATAGTTTAGTCCCACTTCCCATTTCCTCCAAATCATCTATGTAATATCTGTATTCTGTCTTGTTCTGTCCGCAGATCTGCAGCATCACTTCCTTTCTGCTGCACACCCATCAGCAGCCCTTCATTACCTCTGTGGCCCATGCATAGTACACATTCGGGAACACAGGGGACGTGAAGCTGTGTCAGATTAAACACTGCCTCTGAAGCTCACACATGAGTAGACAGTCAGAATGCCTTCTTTTTTTTTTTAATTTTATTTAGTTATTTTTCAAGTACAGTTTTCTATTTCTCCCAGCCCAGCCCACCCTGCCCTGTGCTCCCCACCTCCCTCCCATTTCCACCCCCCTTAGTTATTGTCCCTATGCCCTTTATACTTGTTCCTCCAAGTCCCTCCCCTTTTTTTTCCCCTTAAATTCCCTCCCCTCTCCCCTCTGGTCGCTGTCCCCTTGTTCTCTATTTCAGTATCTTTGTTTTTATTTTGCTTGCTTCTTTGTTTTGTTGTTTAGCTTCCTGTTAAAGGTGAGATCATATGGTATTTGTCTTTCAACACCTGGCCTATTTCACTCAGCATAATGCTTTCCAGTTCCATCCATATTGTTGCAAAGCGTAGTAGCTCCTTCTTTCTCTGCTGCATAGAATTCCATTGTGTAAATGTACCACAATTTTTTGATCCATTCATTTATTGATGGGCACCTAGGTTGCTTCTAACTCTTGGCTATTGTAAATTGTGCTGCTATGAACATTGGGGTGCATAAGTTCTTTTGGATTGGTGTTTTGGGGTTCTTAGGATATAATCCTAGCAGTGGAATTGCTGGGTCAAAAGGCAGGTCAATTTTTATTTTTCTGAGAAAATTCTATACTGTTTTCCATAATGGTTGTACCAGTCTGCAATCCCACCAACAGTGAACTAAGGTCCCCTTTTCCCCACAACCTCTGCAACATTTGTTGTTTGTTGCTTTTTTTATGATAGCTATCCTGACCGGTATAAAGTGGTATCTCATTGTGGTTTTAATTTGCATCTTTCTGATAGGTAGCGATATTGAGCATCTCTTCATGTGTCTCTGGATGTTCTGTATGTCCTCCTTGGAGAAGTGTCTGTTCAAGTCCTTTTCCCATTTTTTAATTGGGTTAGTTGTCTTCTTAGAGTGGAGTCGTGTAAGTTCTTTTTATATTTTGGAGATTAAACCTTTGTCTGAGTTATCATTGGCAAATATGTTTTCCCATTCAGTTGGTTGTCTTTTTAATTTAATACTGTTTTCTTTAGCCACGCAGAAGCTTTTTATTTTGATGAGATCCCATTTGTTTATTCTTTCCTTTACATTCCTTGCTCTAGGGGACATATCAGTGAAAATGTTGCTGCATGAAATAGCTGGACTTTCCTGCTGATGTTCTCCTCTAGGACTTTAATGGTGTCACAGCTTATATTTAAGTCTTTTATCCACCTTGAATTTATTTTGGTGTATGGTGTAAGTTGGTGTTCAAGTTTCATTTTTTTTTGCACGTAGCTATCCAGTTCTCTCAACACCATTTTTTGAAGAGGCTATCTTTACTCCATTTTATGTTACTACCCCCTTTGTTGAGTATTAATTGACCGTAGAGACTTGGGTTTATTTCTGGGCTCTCCGTTCTGTTCCATTGGTCTATGTGCCTATTTTTATGCCAGTACCAGGCTGTTTTGATTACAGTGGCCTTGTAATACAGTTTGATATCAGGTATTGTGATCCCTCCTACTTTGTTCTTCTTTCTTAAAATTGCATCTGCTATTCAGGTCCTTTATGGTTCCATATAAATTTTTGAAGTGTTTGTTCTATGTCTGTGAACTATGCCATTGGTACTTTAATAGGTATTGCATTGAATGTGTATATTGCTTTGGGTAGTATGGACATTTTGATGATGTTAATTCCTCCAATCCATGAGCAAGGTATATGTTTCCATTTGTTTGTGTCTTCCTTGATTTCTTTCTTCAGTGCTGTGTAGTTTTCTGCATACAGGTCTTTAACCTCCTTAGTTAGGTTTATTCCCAGATATTTTATTTTTCTTGTTGCTATATCGAATGGGATTTTTTCCTTCATTTCTGCTGATGCATTGTTGGTATACAAAAATGCCTTTGATTTCTGGATATTGACTTTGTAACCCATTTGAGCAGTTTTTGGGTAGAGTCTATAGGATTTTCCATGTACACTATCATGTCATCTGCAAACAGTGACAGTTTTGTTTCCTCCTTTCCAATTTGGATGCCTTTTATTTCCTTTTCTTGTCTGATCGCTGTGGCTAAAACTTCCAACACTATATTGAATAGAAGTGGTAAAAATGGACATCCTTGTCCTGTTCCTGATCTTAATGGAAAAGCTTTTAGTTTTTGCCCATTGAATATGATATTGGCTGTAGGTCTCTCACCTGTGGCCTTTATTATATTGAGGAATGCTCCCTTTATTCCCACTTTGCTGAGTGTTTTTATTATAAATGTGTGTTGTACCTTATGAAAAGGTTTTTCTGATCTATTGATATGATCATGTGGTTTTTGTCTTTGCTTTTGTTTATGCGATGTATTACATTTACTGATTTGCGAATATTGAATCATCCCTGCATCCCTGGGATGAATCCCACTTGGTCATGGTGTATGATCTTTTTGATATATTGTTGGATGCAATTTGCCAATATTTTGTTGAGGATTTTAGCGTCTATGTTCATCAGCGATATTGGCCTGAAGTTCTCTTTCTTTGTTGTGTCTCTGTCTGGTTTTGGAATTAAGATGATGCTGGCTTCATAAAAAGAATTTGGGAGTTTTCCATCCTTCTGGATTTTTTGGAATAGTCTGTGAAGAGTAGGGGTTAGCTCTTCCTTAAATGCTTTGTAGAATTCTCCTGTGAAACCTTCTGGTCCAGGGCTTTTGTGTGATGGGAGTTTTTTGATTACTGCTTTAATTTCATCTGCTGTTACTGGTCTGTTTAGGTGTTCTGCTTCTTCTTCATTGAGTTTTGGAAGATTGTATTTTTCTAGAAATGTGTCCATTTCCCCTAGGTTTTCAAATTTCTTGGCATACAGTTCTTCATAGTAATTTCTTATAATCCCTTCTATTTCTGTGGTATCAGTTGTAATCTCTCCTCTTTCATTTCTGATTGTGTTTGAGTCCTCTCTCTTTTTGCCTTGATGAGCCTACTTAAAGGCTTGTCTATTTTGTTTATCTTTTCAGAGAACCAACTCCTGGATTCATTGATCCTTAGGATTGTGCTTTTAGTCTCTATGTCATTTAGTTCTGCTCTGATCTTGGTTATTTCCTTCCTTCTGCTTGCTGTGGGCTGTCTTTGTTGTTGTTCCTTGAGTTCTTGTAGGCATGGGGTTAGGTTGTTTGAGATGTTTCTATCCTCTTTAGGTAGGCCTGTATTGCTATAAACTTCCCTCTCAGGACTGCCTTGCCTGTGTCCCATAAGTTTTAGGTTGTTGTGAGTTCGTTTTCATTTGTTTCCAGAAACTTTTTGATTTCTTCCCTGATTTCATTCTTGACCCATTCGTTCTTTAGTAGCATACCATTCAGTCTCCATGATTTTGGGTGCTTTGGGTTTTTTTCCTTTGGGGTTGGTTTCCAATTTCAGTCCCTTGTAGTCAGAGAAGATGCTTGGTATAATTTCAATTTTCTTGAATTTGTTGAGGCTCGTTTTGTGTCCTATCATGTGGTCTATCTTTGAAAATATTCCATGTGCATTTGAAAAGAATGTGTATTTAGCTTCTTTGGGATGAAGTGCTCTATATATATCAGTTAAGTCCATTTCATCTGGGGTGTTGTTTAATGCCGCAATATCTTTGTTGATATTTTGTTTGGTGTGTCTGTCCATTTTTGTTAGTGGGGTGTTAAAATCCCCTACTATAATTGTGTTGTTGTCAATATCTTTCTTGAAGTTCTCTAAGATTTTCTTTATATATTTGAGTGCTCCTATATTGGGTGCATATATTTATGATGTTAATGTCTTCTTGGTGGATTCTTCCCTTGAGTATTATGAAGTGACCTTCTGAGTGTCTCTTTATGGCCCTTTTTTTGAAGTCTATTTTGTCTGGTATGAGAATTGCTACCCCAGCTTTTTTTTCTTGTTCGTTTGCTTGGAAAATTTGTTTCCAGCCCTTTACTTTTAGTCTGTGATGGTCTTTTGTCCTGAGGAGGGTCTCTTGTAGGCAGCATATGTGAGGGTCATGCTCTCTTATCCATTCAGCTATTCTGTGTCTTTTGATTGGAGCATTTAATCCATTTACATTTAAGGTTATTATTGATAGGTACTTATTCATTGCCATTTTTGTGCCTGTGTTCCTCTCTGTCTCTTTTTCTTTCTTTCCTTAAAGCAGTCCTTTTAGTATTTCTTGTAGGACTGGTTTGGTGGAGGCATATTCTTTTAGACTTCTTTTGTCTTGGAAGCTCTTTATTTGGACTTCTATCATGATTGAGAGCCTTGCTGGGTAAAGTAGTCTTGGTTGTAGGCCTCTGGTTCTCATTAGTTGGAATACTTCTTGCCATTCTCTTCTTGGTTGGAGTGTTTCCATTGAGAAGTCAGTAGCTAACCTTATTGGGGCTCCCTTGTATGTTACTTCTTTTTTCTCCCTTGCTGCTTTTAAGATTCTTTCTTTGTCTTGGAATTTTGCCATTTTAATGATGATGTGTCTTGAAGTGGGCGTCTTTGGGTTCCTCTTGATTGGGACTCTCTGTGATTCCTGGATTTGTATGACTTTTTCTCTCATCAAATTAGGGAAATTTTCTCTCATTACTCTTTCAAATAGGTTTTCTATCGCTTGTTCTTCTTCTCCTTCTGGTATTCTTATTATTTGGATATTATTACATTTCATATTGTCTTGCATTTCTCTTAATCCCTCTTCATTCTTTCTGAGCCTCTTTTCATTTTCTTGCTCTTTCTGTGAGATGTTTTCTACTTTGTCCTCCAACTCGCCAATCCGATCCTACGCTTCATCTGTTCTACTTTTGAAACTTTCTACTGTGTTCTTCAATTCTGAAATTGTATTCTTCATTTTCTCTTGTCCTTTGCTGATAGCTTCTATTTCCTTTTTCATGTTTATATAGTTTGCGATGAGATCATTGTAGTTCCCCTGTAGTTTCTGGTAGCTCATTGTGAGCTCTTTGAACTTCATGATAACCAGTGCTTTGAATTCAATATCTGATAGTTACTTAGCCTCTATTTCATCTAACATTCTTTCTGAAGTGTCTGCTTTTTCTTTCATTTAGAAATTGTTTCTTTGTCTTTCCATTGTTTGTGAGACTCTTCTTGTTAGCCTCAGCTTCTAAAATTGATCTGTTCTGACTCCCTGGGTTTATGGTTTGAACCTCTGTGGTATAATACCTATGAATTTCAGTGGTGCAGACTTCTTCAGGTATCTTGATGTTCTCCATTTCCACCTTCTCCTTTTTTCGTGTGTGTGTAATCAGTTGGAGGGGGAGGCAAAATGGTTTATGACAGCAGAAGAGTATTTTATGATATTTACAGTCATAGCTGGTAGAGAAGAGATAGGCGATCTTTAGGCTATATATAGTATTAACGATATTCTTCAACCCGACTTGCCACTTATAGGAAAGGATGGACAAAAGATAAGCCTCTTGTTGGGGAGGGAAGGCTTGTAAGTTGGAACTAGAAAGCAGTGAGGTTGCAGTCTGTCAGATTTTGAGGTAAGGTGAGAGTAAGGAACAGTACATAGGTGTAGTATGTGAGCAAATAGAGTTAATCACTACAGTAATAGAATTCAGGGACCTATACAATGAATGGGCTAAGGTCTGGGAGATGGGTTGTGAAGTATTTACAGTTGTATAGTACAGCTATTATTTACACTAATATTAGAGCAGCAATCATATAACAAACTCTATGTGATCTGTCTGGGTACGGGGTATAGAGCTTTGGATAGTGTGCTAAAGGAAAATAAGTGGAGTGTAGTTTAGAGGATTAGCAAAACATTGTGGAGGAAAGAACAGGGGAAACCTGTCTAATAATACAATATAACCACTCAAGACTAAGGAGCCTATGCAGAAAGAGGAGGAATACAGAGATACTATTAAAATATAAAAGAAGTAAGAATAATGAAAAAATATGCAGCAACTTGTGGCTTCTCTGCTATAACAAAGTGAAATTTGTCTCTGTCTCTACTGTTGAGATGCCTCCTCTTTGGGTCCCCACTCTGGTCCTTTCACAGTTCCCAGTTGTTTGTGTCTCTTGCGGGTAAAAGAAAACAAAGCAACAAACAAACAAACAAAAAGGCAGGAGAAGGGAGGCAAAAGCGGTAAGTTTGAGAGGAAAGGAAGAAGGACTGCAGCTGTCTGGTATTTCAGTGTCCGTCACAATCTCTGGTCTTTTCATTTCATAAATGCTGGGTAACCAATGGTTTATTGCACTGATTCTTTGTAGATCTGCCAGGATTTTCACCCACGAGTACGGGAGCTAGAATCCGCTCTGTCCTACTCTTTCGCCATCTTCCAGTATGCCTTCTTATTTAACAAGTTCCATGAGTCTAGAAGCCAAGGAAATGCAGAACTTGTTTTAGCTGTTTTGTGGGGCCTGATTTAATGATGGACAGAGTAAACAATCATATACTTTAGTGGAAAATGGTGGAGACTTCATCTCATAAGAACAAGGTGTTGGGAACCATAACGTTTCTGACCAAGAACCACCAATACCTCATATTAAATTCATTCTTGTTTTCTTTCAGGTCAATCCTTTCCAAGGATGGGGTTTTATATGTTAAGCTCAGAGCAGGCCAGCTCTCCTACAAGGAAGATCCAATGGGATGGCAGAGCTTGTTGGCCCAGACTGTTGCTAACAGGAACTCTGAAGCTCGGGCTTTCAAGGTAGTGTGGGTTGGTAAAAAGTGAAGAACGGGGAAGAATTCCACATCCCCTTCACCCACCTAAAGACATGCTTCTGGAAAAGCATTTATGGTACTGTCAAGACTGATCTGCTCTCTCTCATCACTGCAGACTGTGGGGAGTGAATGACCCTGGGTCTGTTTGTGCCTTTAAGTGGCAGTCATAATAAAATAAGGGCCATCTGCTAGGACTCTGATGGCAGACATAATGGCAGAGGCAGTCACAGTGTATCTTACCACTATGAAAATATTTACTTTAACAATGATTAACCCTCAACTCTGTCAAGATTTCTTAATTCATGGTAAAATAGGAAAACATTTTTGCAGGGTAGCACTTAGTTTCATTTTTAAACTTCAGTTTGTTGCTTACAGCTTGATGAGGGTAAAAATGATGACAGGTTTAGTCTTACTGGTTTTATCCCCCAGATATATGAATGCCTATACGGTAGTGTTTGGAATGAATAAATAAAGATTTTACAAAGCAATCTTATTCCTAAAGGTTCAGTACACATTTTGCTCTACATTCCAGAACTCAGATAACCTTCCAGTACTTGATACGTACTCCATGGTCTACCATCAGAATTTCAGAATTTAACCCCAGTTTTCACTAATTTCATGAGCAAACGTGTTCCTACTGGAGATACCTTAGAAGCACTATAAAGTAGTCAGGACCCCCGAGGATAATTACACAGAGCGAAACCCAGCACACGGACTGGCTCAGTGGCAGCAGAAGACTGAGTGGCAGTGTTTGTTTTTCCCAGTAAGGAGGCAGCAGTTTATTTTAGTTCAACTCACATTTCATTGTAGATCAGTGACTTACGACTGAGTCTTTGTAGTAGTTCCCAGTGTTTAAGGAGATGGAATTATTTAACATCAGTGAATGTTGTTTGGCAGTAGTTGATAGGCTAAGAAATACTTTTGCAGAAATTTTAGACAAAGTTCAACATATTAGCACTGTTGCCTCTTATATAAATTACAGCCCATCTAAAATACTCCAGTTTGTAAAGAAAATAAGTAAGTTTAGACTTGTGTTTGAATGGAGAAAGTGTGTAAACATGGAAAGACATCTCCGTTTTCTGACTGCTGGGAGTTCAGAAGTAAAATATAAACCTTAGTGGAAAATGGTAATATGCATTCATATTCTGTTTTCAGTATTTAACCTTGGCTAATAGTCTTTTTCTTTCTAATTTTTTTATTGTGGTAAAATACACATAAAATTTACGACATTAACCCTCTTTAACTGTATAGGTGAGTGTGTGTAAGTACATTCATATTTTGTAGCTGTCACCTCCAACATCTCCAAAACTCTTTTCATCTTGCAAAACCGAAACTTTGTCTCCATTAAGTAGTGACTTATCCCACTCTCCACCCATCCCCGTCCCTTGGTGACCTCCATTCCACTCTCTTTCTGTGATTTCGATGACAGGTATCTCAAGTGAATGGAATCATTCAGTATTTGTAGTTTTGCCAGTGCTTTATTTGGCATTCTTTTTTCCATACCTTTCTAGTAACAACCTAGTTTGCTTTTCAGTTAGTGAGTGAGGAGGGTAGCTTTTTGGGGGGGGTGAGCTGTGTAACAAAAAGATCTATTATTGGTTGTTTTTTTCTTTTTTTAAGATTTTATTTATCTTTAGAGAGGAAGGGAAGGAGAGAGGGATAGAAATATCAATGTATGGTTGCCTCTCGTGTGTCCCCTGCTGGGAACTGGCCTGCAACCCAGGCAATGTGCCCTGACTGGGAATTGAACCGTGGTTGCTTGGTTCCCAGGCCCACACTCAATCCACTGAGCTACACCAGCCAGGGCTATTATTGGTCTTTTGATAGTAGTTCATGTTAGCTTGTGCAAAAAGCTTCTAAAACTTCTGAGAACAAGTTGATGAAGCTCTAGCAAGTTTGTTCCACCTTGGGTTTTATGGGGTCATTGTGTGAAGAAAATGAGGTAGATTTCTTACAATGGCATACATTACCATTTGAAGCATAAGGAAAATAATCCTTATACCTTACTTATATTTGTTGTTTATTTTTTAGCCTGAAACGATTTCAGCATTCACTTCTGATCCAGCACTTCTGTCATTTGCTGAATATTTCTGCAAACCCACTGTGAACATGGGTCAGGTATATGTATGGTTTGCTCAGCTCCAGTGGTAGAATTTGTTAATATGTCTACCTGTGGACACCACCAAATAGTCACTAGTACCCCTGTCTGTCTTTGACATTGATTACATGCCTCAGGTACATTGGGTTATTTTTGCATGGCAAATACAGATTTTTCCATAGTCTAAAACTATTAAATTCAATGACTTCCTGCCTTGATAGAAAAAGCAATTTAAAATTTCTGAGACACTAATTTTAATAGGTGATTAACTTTCTAATGTCCATACTTATACTGATTTATGTTTGCAGTGTTTACCACCCTTCTCTTGTTTTTATGTAATTTTATTAATTTTGTTTCCTCTGTATTTTATAACCCTTCTTTCCGTTGTGGCTCTAAAACTGCGTACTTCAGGGTTCAGGGTTCCCCAGGTCACTGATTCAAGCCGTCATTGCAGAAGGCAAAGCCTGGACATAGGAGTCAGATGATCTGGGATTGGTGGCTTGTTGCCCTCAAGTGTGTATGGTCTGGCGAAAGTTTTTAACCTCACCATACACAGTTTCCTCATTTTTAGAAGCGAGGTTATAATGGAAACCACCTTATATTCTTGGTTCAAGGGTAAAAAGGAATAACTTGTCTCTTCTAATTTATTGACTCTTTACTGTGTGTAGGCATACCTCAGAGATTTTGTGCATTGGGCTGGCAGCTGATAGTATAGCTTTTAGACGCAAGACCTGGTGACACAGGTCTTGTGGTGACATAGGTCCTGCAGTGACACGGGTCATAATATTTTTGCTGGAGGAGGGTCTTACCTTTAGTTAATAAAAACACAACACCTGTGAAGAGCAGTAAGGTAAAACGATAGATGCCTGAATTAGGCACTCTGCTCAGCACTTTATGTAACTTTCTCATTTAGTTCTCACCCTGAGGGTAGGTGCCTTATCACTGAGGGTTTACAGATCAGGAAACTACCTCTCAGAGATGGCACGTGCCCACGGTCACAGCTAGTAAAGACTGGGCACTGCCCCCAAGGCCACAGGTCTCTGATGAAGGCTTGTACCTGCCGTTAACCCCAGTTGGATGTGGCTTTGCTGCCTTCCCTGAACTTGTTCTGCTCAGTGTGGCTGCTACCTCTTTGGTTACTGGGTGCCCTTTCTGGATCCTGCCCTCACCAGCACCACCCAGCGCTTGATCCAGTTTTCTCCTCCACAACATTTACATCTTTAACTGTACCTTGGGAGTTAATTTTGGTTGCATTTTATTGATGTTTCATTTTGCATGTGCTGCGATTTCATAAAGAGCCACTTGTTTTACCCTTTTCTGTCAGTCATGGCAGAGCTTAAGAATGGGCCATGCAGTTGCTATACAGTTGTTTCTTGAATTGATTTTGGCATGTACATTGATGTACTACAAACAACTTCTGGTTTTTCACAGAAACAGGAAATTCTGGATCTCTTTTCTTCAGTACTCTACGAGTGTGTTACTCAGGAGACCCCGGAGATGTTGCCTGCGTACATAGCAATGGATCAGGTGTGGTTCAGAAACCTGTTTCAGTTCTGATGAGACTTATCCTGAGCAGTAAGATCAGGTTCCCAAGTGTTGATCTTTTAAGTTTCTCATCTGCACTTAGACATTCTAAAAAGGAAGCTTCATCAAAGTGGAAAGATCTGTGCATATCCAAAAGCTAAGCATTGATGATGACAGCAGTGCCCTTCACAGGCTGCCTGACTCTAGGGTTCCCATTCTCCTTAACCAGGGAAAGGACATTACTTCCCTTTCTCCCCCTGTGTGGCCTCTGGCCTCCCTCCTGAGAACTTGTTTGTGGAGGAGACTGCAAATGAGCAGGGTGGACACACTGCGTCCTGCTGATGGCGGGCACGTGCGCACCTGTGTGGTGAAGCTTGCAAGAGGTTACAGGACCAGTCTGTGGTTTAGGGAGCTGTAATTAACTTTTAATGTGTGTGTGTGTTACTGCTGTTTTAAAAGAACCTAACAATGTAGGAAATGATGCCTGACAGTTTTCTTTAAGGATCAGGTCAGTTTATTTACTCTAGTTTATTAGCGACACATAAGGCTTTTTGATAGGATAGCTTTCAGACCCAAATTTGAAGTTAAGCTAAGCCCTTAGTTTTCTAACTCGACTAAAATTTATCCGGAAAATCTTAAAAATACAGATCCTCGAAACTCATTCCATAGCTACTGGTTCAGAATTTCTGGGATGAGATCTAGTTTTACAGTTTTACATGGCTCTTCAGGTGAATATGATACAGAGGGTTCCCAGGTAAGCATTTGGGACTCAGTAGCTAAAGGAAAATTATCTAACGGCACAGTTATTCCTACTGAAAAGCTGAGGGGGAAATACATTTAGGTAGGGGACAGTCCTCTAGACCTGAAAATCACAGCATTCTAGGTAACATTCTAACTAAAAGGCAACGTCCAGTATAATCACATCGGCCCCAAATGCTGGCGCTGTCTGGTGTCTGACAATATTGATTAGAAAGTGTCAGTGTGTGACGTTTGCACTGGCACTGCTTTCCACAGCGCCTTTCCCTGCAGCAGCCAGCCCACAGGCTGTGTTCCGCTGCTGGTTGGGAGTGTCCTTTCCTCTTACGCTGGGAACCTTCACCTTGCTGTTGTCACAAGCAGGTGTCTGTGGAAGAATACCTTGTCTGGTTGCCACCATGGTGGCTTTGGATTTGGGTCCCAGGGGCAGTGTTACCAGGAGTAGTGCTTTAGCCTTCGGAGGCTGGATCCCTGGCCTCACTCCAGCCGTTGCATGATACCCCCCCAGGGTTCCCAGAGGTGACGCTATAGACCTCTTGGGTCTTCATTTTTTCACAGCCATTGAACCAAGAGTGGCCTCATTTGCCCTTGTGGCTTTTACCCGAGAGCTCTCTTTTTCCCTCCTCAAGGCTGTGAGAAGACTGGGAAGAAGAGAAATGTCTGAGACATCTGAACTTTGGCAGATAAAGTTGGTGTTAGAGTTTTTCAGCTCCAGAAGCCATCAGGAGCGGATGCAGAACTACCCAAAGCGGGGGCTCTTCATGAACTCTGAGTTTCTCCCTGTCGTAAAATGCTCTATTGATAACACCCTGGATCAATGGCTACAAGGTGAGAGCCTGTGCCCCTTGTGCTTTTAAGATAATGCTGCGGCTCAGCTTTCCTACTATAAATGTTCTTGTTGGAAAGCAAGACAAATCTGGTTATAAACCACAATGCCTGTGGATTTAATGTTTCAAGTTAGTTGAATTAGGCTGATTATCTACGTCACATTCTTTATAAATATATTAAACTCTACTTTGTAAACCATGGAGAGAATATACACAGCATTTTAAGTACCACTTGGCAGTGAAGAACCTGTTTGACCTTTTCTGGGGTCAGATCATGTGTCCTTACTGGCCTCTGTCTTCTGTTTCTGAGCAGGGTGTCGCCTCTCTGAGGCCAGTGGCCATCTTCTTTCCTCTTCACTGTCTCCTGTCCCCCCGCCCCCTGTCCTGTGTTTATTGAGCGAATACTCGTTTTACCAGCTGTGAGTCTGTGGGAACCTGGGCCATCACGTAACAGTGGTTTTCTGTCCATGGGAGTACTAACACCTGTGTCCCATCTATTATTTCCTCCTGGGACTCAAAAGCTAGCACAGCTTAAAAAATTGTTTTCAGTGTAATTATTTTTGTTCTCACTTTGGGGAAAAATATGTTATTTTATAGATTTTCTTGTTTTGATTCTGTTCAATTTAGCACTTGATCACCTATAGCAGACCTTTGCTATTGTTAAGAAATAAGCCCTCAAATCTTTGATTTGCAGATTCATAGAATGCAACGAAACTTCAGCAGCAACTAGAGCATTCTCTAAAACAGCACTGAACTGCTTTTTCTCGAGTGCTCTCTAGGGCACTTGATGGTTACAGCATTGCTCTGAGCGCCCCTGAATTTGACTGCTGCTCTGGCTGCCAAAAAATGGCTGTTTATTTTATAGTGTGGGACCCATCGCTTTTTAAAACTCTTAAATCTGTAGCCTCTGCTCTCAGAAGAACTAGCTGTTGGCTTTGGGATGGTTGTCATAAGAAACATTCAAACCTGTAGAGAGTTGAGTGTGTTTGAGCCAAACTGATAAATAACAGTTGCCAGGAAGCAAAATTTCAACAGATTGAGAGAAAGCTCTGGAGAATGGTGATTTAGCACTTTATTTTATATACATCACAGTCAAAAGAGGAGGTTTAAGAGGGTTACAAGAAATCCATTGGTGGTAGATTGAGGAGGCAGGAGAAAGCCAAGTGGGGAAACCTCTGGGATTGGATAGAAAGTAAAATGATAGACAGACACTTTCACACAGGTGGGTACAGGGTAACTATCAAGGATTAACGCAACAGCAACAACGAGGGGGTCTGTGGTCTCCCCCCAGTGTGGCGCCCGTGCTTTGAGGGGTCTGAGAAAGGAAATTTGACATTCTAAAGGTGCGTTAGTATAGATGCGAGAAGACAACAGACAGGCTCAGTTAAAGACTGGCCTCTGACGGGGAAAATTACCCGCCTAGGACATGACTACCCAGCATGAACTGCTTTTAGAAAGTTAATTTCAGACCATCCTACGAGGTTACTTTAGGTCTGAGTTTGTGAGGCCGCCACACAGGCCTCCCCTGAGCTCACCAGGTTTCACTGGTGGCCCCTTTTCCACAGGATGGAGTACAATCAGTTCAGTAAGATGTAGAACCTATGTATGTATCAGCGTGGAAATGACATTCATGTTTGTGCCTTAAAATTGCAAATTCATATGTGGACTGTTAGGGTCACTCAGTAATGATCCAGATTGTTTGGGATGACTCTTCATCCCAAAACACATCGGATTTATCGTATTGTCAAGACGTTCTGGCCTCAGTTAGACTTTAATCTTGAGCAGAGAAAATGGGTTTTAAGTTAAGAACTTAAAGAAGTTTTCTTAACTTTTTAATATGTTATTATAAAAAAATTAAAGCACAACACAAAGGAAGCAGAATAGTTTAATAAGCCCCACCTCCAGTCTCAGCCGCCGCCCGCACCCTGCCGCCCTCCCAGCGTCCGGGCTGCGCCCAGGGCCACGTTCCGCTGTTTTCAAACTGCGCCGTTTTCTGTCCCCACCGCAGTGGCCTAGGCGTTGTTTTTGGCATTGTTGGATTGTTTAATTTCAGACAGGCTGGTGAATGTGTAGTGGCATCTCGTTTAGTTTTAATTTGCATTTCCTTGGCAACTCAGGGTGTTAATGTGCTTTTTTTTTTATTATTATTCATACATTCTTTGTGAATTGTTTAACCTTTACCCATTTTAAATTAGCTGTCTTGATTATTGAGTTGTAGGAGCTTCTAAAAATTCTGGCTACAAGTGTTTTGTGAGATGGTTTGCAGATATTTTCTTGTACTTTTTGGTTATTTTGAAAAGTAATTTTATTCCTTTTTTAGAGAGGAGGATGAAAGATAAGGAGAGAAACATATATGTGAGAGAGAAATATAGATGGTTACTTCCAGTACATGCCCAGATCAAGGACCAAATCACAACCTAGGCGTGTGCCCTGACCTGGGACTCAAACTGGACACCTTCGGGTTTGCAGGACAACACCCGACCACCCAGCTGCACTGGGCAGGGTTGCCTGTGTGTTTTCTTTAGGGTGATTTTTGATGAACAGAAGTTTTATGTTTTGATGAGGTTTAATATATCATTTTATGGTTACTGCTTTTTGAGTGTGGTCCTGGAAATCTTTCCTAGAGCAGGTGATAAAGTTTTTTAAAGTTTTCTATTAAAAGCTTTACAGTTTTATATGTAGGTCTGTGATTCGTCTTCAAATACTTTTTATATAGTATGAGGTTGGGGTTGAGGATTTTTGTTTGTTTGTTTGTTTCAATACAGATGTCCAGTTCTAGGACCATTTGTGGAAAAGGCTTCCCTTTGTAATAGAGCTACTTTGGGGCTTTGTTGAAAATCAGTTGCCTTTTTAGGTGTGAATCTGTTTCAGGACTCAGTTCTGTATTATTGGCCAGTCTGTCTGTCTGTCTTTATGCCAGGACTACACTGTCTTAATCACTGCAGGTTTGAAACCAGAAAAGCTGCTGTTCGTTCTGCCTGTCACATGCTAGACCCAATAAGCAGAAACAGGGATTGAATCTCTATGGGCGCTTTATTCAGATGGCTGGGGATCTGAGAAGACTGCAGGTTTGGACCCTAAAAGACCCTAACGGCCCCCAATGGACCGTCTTACATTTCCTTCCAAGCCAGTCTTTGTGTAACAGAAGACAAAGTGTGGTGGGGGGTTTTGAAATTCATGGAAAATTAGATTTAAAAAAATAAAATTCTTGCCCTAGTAGTTAGCTGTTCCCTGGGTGGCGGGCAGTCGCCATCTCTCCCCTGGGACACAGTGGCCTGGAGGCCCCCACTGGTCCCCCAGGTAGTCTTCAGCAGAACCCCAGGTCAGTGGTCTCTCTGGGAGCCAGGATGGGCCTCCTCTGCGTTTCCTGAAACAGTAGCTTTAACATGTGCATTACCTGTTAGGCTTATTAACTATTTACCTTAAACTAAAATTTTCCAACTCTTGAGTCCCCTCTTAGGTTCAGAGTAACTTCTGAAATCTGGTAGTGGAAGTGGTTGTGTTAAGAGGAAAATTTATAGCGCCAACTGCTTACAATATGAAAGAGGAACAGTCTCAAGTCAGTAATCTAAGTTCTTGCTTCAAGAATCTAGGAAAAGAAAAATAAACCGAAAGCAAGCTTCCCTTTTTCCAGTTTCTTGAAGCGAGAACTTAGATTAGTGACTGTAACAGTCTTGTGCCTCCAGCTGGGCATTTTGCCCAGGGGAAGAACAGAATGGCTTTTTTGAGCTTTGTTGTGGGAACTAGGCCACTTTTTCCCTCTGGAGCCTCCAGCTAAAGAGTTGCCCAGCATCTCACCTCTTGGACTTCAGTTGGAACTCCTGCATGTTCCTCAGTCAGTCCCCAGGGCAGAGAATATCCTTCACTAAGTGCCTAGGGTTTGCCTGATGCCCCTGGTCACTGGTTCTGTAAGTGTGGTCCCTGGAGGAGCAGCAGCAGCAGCAGCAGCAGCTTGTCCTAGGACCTTGTTAGAAATGCCAGTTTTCTGGCCCTGTTTAAGAAATTCTGGGTTTGTTTTCATCAACTTATCAGGTTAAAGTTTGAGGACCTCTGGCCAAGGCTAATCAGAATCCTGTCTGGGATCTGAAGTCAGTCCTCTCCAGTGTTAACACAGAGGAGGGGAGGGTGGTAAAGTGGGTATTTTGGGAGATCCCCACAGTGCGCCAGTGTGCTTTGGCAGCACTCATCAGTGTTGTTCATTTGTGTGATCTCTCTCTGTTCGCTACAACTGTGAACTCTGCAGTGACAGGCACTCTGTCAGGTTGACCGAAGTAGCCTTAATGCCCAGCATAGTAGCTGCCCAGTATATGGTATGTGTGTAATTTCCCATGTTTCTCCCACAGCTGGGGGCGATGTGTGTGTGCACGCCTATCTCAGCGGGCAGCCCTGCGAGGAGGCGCAGCTGGGCATGCTGGCCTGCTTCCTGGTCTACCACTCCGTGCCGGCCCCGCAGCACCTGCCATCTGTTGGACTGGAAGGTACTGGAGACCTACCTCCACTTTCTTTTCAGAGCATGGGATCAGCACGTATTTTCTGTAGTTTCTTAGTAGGGTACATTTCTAGTGAGTTATTTTCTCTAGGTTTTTTTTTGTCTTCATGTGTGGGTGTTACTTTTTGGAATCTTTTCTGGAAAAAACTCTTTAAACTTTACATACGTATAAACTTTTATTTACACTCAAAAGGATGGAAGATGCTTCACAGAGCCCAACACGTATACATACTAATAAACTAAGTACTTATATTATTATTCTCTCTTAATTGATTCTTATTAGGTATTTTCAGTTTTTTCATTAATTGTATTTAATATATATTACTAAGAATAGTTTCACATATAGTTACTTATAGGTCACTTTTGAAGTACAGATTGGTTGAATTTAAATTTTTATATCAAATTTAACAGTGCATTAGGGAAATTCATAATTTAATTTTTTTGTTTGGGTCATTGTTTTTAAAGGGAAAGAATGCCATCTTTAACCTGGTTGTGGCTGAAGTTTCCTTTAGAGAGGGCGCGGGGCTGAATCTGTGTGGTCGTGACTGTTCCCACTCTTTGCATTTCTTTAGGGAGCACAAGCTTCGCTGAACTCCTCTTCAGATTTAAACAGCTGAAAATGCCCGTGCGTGCTTTGCTAAGATTAGCGCCTTTGCTTCTTGGAAACCCACAGCCAATGGTTATGTGATCATGTCTGGTGAAAAACCTGCCCTGAAATGTGACTTCTGCATAAAAACATGACCAAACAACAGAGCTAAAGAGACATTTGTAAGTTTTATAATATACTTAGGGGAAAATGAGCTGCACAGACCTCAATGTATTTTAAAAGCTGAGCATTTTAAATATTGCAGACTGTTGCTGTCAGCATTAACACATGATCTATAAAAGTGAGTTAAAGTTTACTTTTTTAAATAAAGTTTTTTGGTTTGTTTTCAGAACTCTTGATTTAGTTTGGGATTCCAGAGAGTAGAGCAGTGGAGGCTGGGGTGGACAAGGAGTTTTTAAAGTCTTTCATCTATGGTGGTGGTTCAAGTGAGGCTGACTTTATGCTAAAAAATACAGAGTTTTAAAAGAAGCTCTTAAAATTTTCTGCATCAACAAAAGGCCTTCAGCATTTTCTGAGATGTCACAGTTGCCTCGTTTGGAATTAGTTTGTCCTTGCAGTGCCAGTGCCAGGCATCCTCAGAGTCCGACCGATCACCTTGAAGGGGGGACTGACATCCTAACATGAAGCCTGTTCTAGAGAAAATACGAAATTTCAATTATAGGCAGGGCTTCAGAAATTACCTATTTCCACCCAAAACGTAGAGAATGTACACCTGTGTCGGGGGGTCTCTGGACTAGATGATGATGAAAAATACTCATAAAGACGTCTCCAGCATCAGGTTTACAGTACAGAAGGAAGAAAGCGAAACCGGAAAAGACACCAGCATTTAGGCTGCTTGTCACTACGAAACCCAATAAACAGTGACAGTGATTGAATCTTTTATGGGCGCTGTATTCAGATGGTGGTGATCTGAGAAGATGGAGGGTTCATACCCTAATGGACCATCTCACCTTGTCTTTCCAGGCCAGACTTTTTATAAGGTGGGGGCGGGTGGATAAACAAGGTGCCGTGAGGGCTTTGCGATTCAGGGAGGATTAGGTGAGCCAAGCTGCAACGTTCCTGTCCTGGGAGGTTAGCTGTCCCAGGGGAGCATGGTTGTCTGCTGTCCCTGGAACACAGAGGTCCGATGCCTCCCACGTGTCCCCAGGCGGTGATCTCTAGCAGTGCCCCAGGAGACTGGCTGTTTTCCCAGGGGCCAGGATGGGCCTTATCTGTAGTTTCTGAAACAAAAGCTTTAACATACTCATTACTTGCTAGACTTACAACTTTTTCCTTAAGCTAAAATTTTCCAGGTCTTGAGTCCCCTGTCAGAAGCTCCCTGCTGTCCAGACTGTGACACGTGTGCTATACTTTCTAAAAGGTCGCTGCACCGCAAACTGGCAGAAGCTATAGACATTCCACATGTTCACATCCTGCATTGTGGTGTTTAGGTTTAAGTAAAAATTAGAGCCAGTATAAATCTTTCCATAGAGATTTTGGCAAAAATCCATGTGGTCTTTGCTTTTGCAGCAGTAGTGGGTTTTGCAGACATGTACCCAGAGGCAGGCAGTGCCATTCTGCTTTTGTGCTGATTTTTTAAATTTTTATTTATTTATTTATTTATTTATTTATTTATTTTTAGAGGGGAAGGAAGGGAGAAAGGGAGAGAAACATCAGTGTGTGGTTGCCTCTCATGTGCTCCCCAACCAGAGACCAGGCCAGAAACCAGCACAAGTGCCCTGACTGGGAATTGAACTGGCGACCCTTTGGTGCGCAGGCTGGCACTCAACCCTCTGAGCCACACCAGCCAGGGCTGCTTCTCTAGTTTCATTGGCTTACCTGCCCGAAGGACTAGCCCCTGCACGGGAAGCATGGCTGAGAGGCGGCTGGCCAGGAAGGTGAAATGTGCTTCCCTTCACACTTAAGTAGTTTTCCTTCTCTAACAAACAATGAAAAAAGTTGAAATGGTAGATTATATCTATTCCATTTCAATGTAAATTTAAAGAACTCAGAGTCTTGACAACTGTTACTGTGTTTTCACTCTGAATTGTTTGTAACTTGTGTGCTTTCTCTGAAGAATGACTTGAGAGACAGTAACTTGCACACACATGAACTTACATGTATGAGGGAGAGTGGTCATTAGAATGTTGTCAACAAAAGCAAAAAGCAGGCTAATAAGAGGGAGCACAGTAAAATATTGCACACACTCTGGAGACGGCATTGTCTCTGTTGGGCCAAGCAATTAGTCTGCAGGGAGCAAAGAGGATATTCTGGGCAGTGTGCTTTTGGGCAGGCGTGCTAGGGTCGTCAGAATCAATTTCGGCTACTTACGGGTTCTCAAAAGTTCTTGAGTGTAGCTCTCACCATCCCAGCCTATTCAGAGACATGGCAGGGAAGAGCTGGGGAAACACCCTTGACTCAAGTGTTTTGGCGCAGAAGTGGCCATGTCACTTCCAATCACAGCCTGTTGGCAAGAAGTCGTCACGTTGCTCCACCTTGTGTGGCTACTCTTCTACTTGTCCTCGAAGGGGAGGAGGATCAGGTGTGCTAGTCTGTCATAGTACGGGTCCTAAGTTAGTAATTCCCCACATCTGTCTGCTACTTACACAGATAGAATGCTCCTAAATGCCTCCATAGATGAACATAACTAAAGATGCAGTGTAGTTACACACTCATACACTCAGATTATTGTTTTCTGGAAGATGCTGACATCTGCGTGAAGACATGAACTTGCAGCAGCTCTGAGGCATAGAGGCCGGGCCTTAGCAGGAAACCATTGGGTTCAGCCCACAGAACTCTTGGTTCTGCCTAATCTTACCTGAAAAGGCCACTTTCTACCCTTTGTGTAGAAACCCCTGACTTCATAGCTTAAGGAGAGGGGTATGTCCCAGCTCCTGTATCTGTCAAACCTATATACAAGTGAGCAAATCAAGCTGCAGTGGACCCACCCAGGCCCCCGCCCACCCCACCCAGCATCCTTTCCAGTCTCTCCGAAGGACTCAGCCTGAACCGTATCAAGATCACAATCCCTATTTTCATTTGAAGCATTTTCTCTGTTGCCCTCCCCTCCCCTTTTTTAGTGCCTCTGAATGATTAGAGCTGGGTTTTGCTTTGTGAGTCCGTCTAAATCTCAGTTTTTATATGCTATTCAGTGTATTTTCATCTTTACTGTGTCTTTTATTTGGTCTCTTTTCTTTGCTTTTTAAACATTTGTTGAATTCATTACTCTTAGCAGTTAGGATGGGTCATGTTTTTTAATACATTTAACACTAATATCATCATAGGACCCCCATCTCAACACCCTCTTTTTTTTTTGCCTCGGCTTTCACCATCTTGCTTCCAGCATTGATGGTTTGCTGGGACCACCCCACTTCCCCCCAGCATCCATTTGCAAGTCCCTCCTATTTTCTTTTTCCTGTCTCATTCTGAAAATTGGGCTATTTCTACAATGTCATAGCATACAATGCCACAGGACCTCTCACTTTTATCCCCACTCTTATCAGCCTCAGATGGACACATCAGTTGGTTCCAGCCTCTGTTAGTCCTGAGCTTGAAATCCCCACCATCTCTCCTTTGGGCAAGACTGCTCTTCATGTTGTCAGGAGCAGCTCCAAGCACATTTGTTCGCAGACGCTGATTGTTTAGAACGGGCAGGTTTCCTCCTCTTTTTTCATGTGTTTCTCCCCTTCTGTCTCTTTCTTTTCCTTGCCATCTGCCAGTCACTTTTTTTGCCTCTTCCCTTCAGATTCCTCCTCCTTGGTAGTCCAGGCGTTTTCCCAGACTTTTGATCGTTCTTTCTCTGCCGGTCCTGAGACTTCACAGAGGCTCCTGCTTCAGTCTCTTAATTCCCTTGGGTGCCTTTCCACATTACTGCTAGACCCTCTAGGACATCCAGGGGTCAGGGGCCTTTGTTGGCTGACTGCGGGGAGGTTGAGGGCCACTGCGCCATGGGCTGCCGTGGTTAGGGCTCTCCCAGCATTGTCTGTCATGCGGGTCTGAGGAAGTCGGAGAGCCCGTGCTGGTGCTGCCTGGAGCCTGGGAAGGAGGTAACAGCTTCCACGTCTGGGAGGGGTTGGCAGGGGGTGGGGGTGGTGGCTGGAGCTATAAGAAAGTGAGATCAGAGCGGAGGGGAAGGCAAACCCTGCCACATGGTGCACACTGGGAAGGAGCTCAAGGAAAATCAGTTGTCACCTTCATGTTCTTATAAGTGACCAGACCATCTGCAGTATTTTTTATATTTGCTAAAAATAACATTATCTTGGAATTTTGAGGTTTCTGACATACACAGTAGTTCTTGGTCCTCAGAAAAAAGCCTGTGGGTGAATTCAACCTCACGGTTTATGTCGGAGCACGCCTGGTCGGTCTTCTCCGAGGGCCAGTGAGGGTCTAGCGCACCCTGTAGTGTGGCAGGCCGGCTCCACTCACAGGGCTACTCTAGCACCACCTCTGCGCAGGGGAAGAGCTTCTGTGCATTTCACCCACTGTCTCCCGCACTTCAAGTAAATCCGAATATAAAACCTCAATTTAAACCACGGAAACACACTCTCTGAAGGGTGTGTTTCTAGAGAGGTGGTCATTCTCCGGAAATCCCTCGTTGTGTATACGTCTCCACAGTCCTCTCGTGCACTTGCTCCCTTTTCTCCAAGCAGTCGTGTTTCTTCCAGGGACCAGAGAGCCCCAGGAGCTCTTCTGTCCTTGACACACCCTTCAAGTGCCTCAGCGTAGCTCGCTTCACGTGGGAAGAACACACAGATGTGATAAAAGGTCAAAATCTATCTGTCTTTCCTCCCAAGAGCCTCCACGGTCACGGTCTCTTTTTGAGAAAGGGTGACCTCAGTGTTTTTCATGTATTTATGTTTAAAGTTTTTGATACAGATCAAAACCTGCAGAGATTTTCATTGCTTAGATCAGCATTTTAAGACTTTTTCCTAAAAGAAAAAAAACTGATAGACTACTTGGGACCTGTGTTGCATAGTACATGATTCCATAGTCAAGTTCAACTAAACACAGATACTTTACCTGTCACAGGAGTTCTCTGAGCCCTTGCAGTGCTGATCCGCACCAGGGACTACAGTGGCTTCCTCCTCAAGCTGCCAGCCTGGCAGAGGTGACTACAGAGCACACATGTGGAGTTGTCTGACTCTGCACAGCCCCTGCCGCACCCCTGCACTCACCTGGACCACCTGCAGCCCCCGCTCTCTCCCTGGGAGCCTAGGGGGTGGGTGCACTGGCACTTCCGACTCCAGACCCGGTGATGTGGGTTCTGGGCCTGGATCTGAAAGGCAAGCAAAGGGAGTTAACAACTGGAGGACAGGTCCAGCCCGCCGCCCCTGGTGGCCCTGGCCTCGTCTTGATGCACCTCCTCACACAGGTCTTGGGTGACCCAGGCTTGGCACTCCATTGCGTGGAAAAACTCCATCTTCAGCTTCAGGAACTCCTTGTAGCACTCTGGCCAGTGCTGCTTGCCCAGCAGGCACTGGAATATGCTGCTCTTGGAAGTGGGGTTGTCCTCCACGTCAGAGGCGATGTAGCTGCCACAGGAAAAGAGGGGAGCCTGTTCGGGTCCAGTGACAACTCCCAGCCTTGGGCACACTTAGTGCCGGGGACAGCATGTCCAGGAGAGAGGATCCAGGGGAGTCCCATATGCAGGGAGCCTGCTGGGCTGTGCTGTGTTCAGCCCAGGCCAGGCTGCTGGCTTCTACCACTTCCATGGTGGCCTTCAGCCACTCATCTCTGGGCAGTAGGCGGGTTTCCTGGGTACTTCTCTTATCTCAGGCTCTTACTCGTGGCCTGCCTTCCCCAGGACCATGCTATCGCTGACAGCCATGTCTTCTCCGTGGCCCCCCAGTTGGGATCCTTGGGACAAGGGCAGTGAGATTGGGGCAGGCCATGCGGGGGCGTATTGGGCAGAACTGGGAGCAGGTTCCAGGGAGGCTCTCACAAGGCCAGGCAGAAATGGATCCTGTTGTTGCTGTAGATACCTTAGACACTCTGAGGAGGTGTCAGCTTTCAGGAAACTGAATAATGGGATCCTCTGCAAAGGAAGGTAGAGGGGATGAGGGCTTGGAACACCCTGCTGGAAGCAGTGAGCCTGGGGCTGTGGGACGTTTCAGAGGGAAGGGGCCAGAACCTTCTCTGGGTCCTTTGTGGCAGTGGAGGGTCATGAGCCTTAACAGAGGAAACAGCTGCTATTCCTTCCATCGACACATGCAGAGTGAGGTTAACTGTGGAGCAAGGATATTGCCATTGTTATTTAATCTTCAACATACGGGAGCTGTTTGCTCCAGAGACCTGACCTAGATCCCAGAGTTTAACAAATTTGCCTTAAGTCAAAAGCTTGGCTGTGGCACTGGGCCTCTGTGACGCCACGTCCTCGTTGCTTCATCATGCTGTGACTGTAAGGCTTCCCTGCCCCTTCTGACACCTGAGTACTCGTGTGGTGGTGGAGAGTTCGAGGCATCCCACCCTCCCTTTCCGGGGTTCCCTCAACCTTAATGACCTGGCCTGGCCTTGCCCAGCAGGCTCGGCTGGGATTACACTTGTTTCCTGGAGGTGCTATTTTGCAGTGTAGACCTGAGCAAGATGGGTCCTAGCTGTCCCTCACTTTTTGCCAGCGACTGTGACGTGCACAGCAGGGGGTGGGGGGAGATGGGCCATTCGCCCTCCCCGCCCCGTCTCCAGTCATCCTGGCTCCAGAAGAGCACTGTCCAACAGTATTCCAGCGCTCCCTCTCCGTGTGCTGTCCGGTATGGCAGCCACTTGCCATGTGTGGCGAGCGAGTCTGGGGTGCTGAGCTTTGAAAGATTACTTAGTTCACAAAAAAATTACATTCAGATAGCTACCTGTGGTTTGTGGGTGTTGTATTGGACAGTGTGCCCCATGGCTCCCTAAGTCCTGCCCCTGGTCCTAATGTTACCCTTCAGATGGGCCTCCTGAGGTAAGTACCCTGTTCGCGAAGCTCTCCCATCCTTGTGCATGCCCCATCTTCAGGCATCATTGCTTTTCAGAAATGTCCTGCTTTGCATGCATCACTGGCTAGAGTATTTTATTTCTGCCCTTATGGTTTGTCTTTTGTCTGTGCCCTCTTTGAGCATAAAGCTAGCAAGTTCTAGTTTATCCTTTCATCACTAGTCTCAAATCTTAACTAGGGGGACAGATGAATGTCTCCGTGGGCAGTGAGTGTGGTTGGTTCTGAAATGTCTCGATGACTGAACAGTCAGCTGGGAGCCTCTTATCCCTCACAGAGCCCAGGGCTGGGGGAGGTTTGCACGTGACCCAGAGCCACTGTCGCCCAGAGTTCAGTGTAGACGAGCCCTGAGCACTCTACAGTTCTGAGTGCACACCCAGAAGTCGGTAGAATGCTTCTAGGTTCTCAGGACTGTAACTGGGTTTTCTCCTCTTCATCCTGAGTTTTGTTCCCTTGACATGATTGACAGTCCCTATGGCCCTCTGATGCCCCCTCTTCCAGGACGGCTTGCAGATGGTTTCTGAGCAGGCTTGAACTGGAGGCCGAGCAGCTGCTCTCCTGGGCAGCTGCAGGGACAGAAGATCCCCTGTGAATACTGACCTGACCTACCTAAGGTCCTGTGTCTCCCCTGTTGCAGCTCACCCTGAAGACTGGACCCAACCTCCTGAGGACAAGGTGACAAGAGGTTACTCAACAGTAACTGATGTTCTGTGAAAGGCTGAAGAAGCAGAGGGATGCCTGAGGACCCATACCTGCCTCTGCCTCTGCCTCCAGCAAGCTCCTTCTCATCTGGCCCCTTGTCCCCCTGATTCTGTGCTCAGGCATGGCCTCTCGAGAGGCAAAATTGGAGGCCAGAGGGCTCCTGTTCTCCAGAGCTGCAGGGAGAGAGGAGGGCCCCAGCTGGGAAATCCTGGGCTCCTTCCTTCCCATTCACCTTGAGGACTGCCTTTGACATCTAAAAGGATGAGAATGACCCTCTTTCCCTTTGCACTTGTCTGTAGAGGGGTGTGGGAATTGAGTTATTTACTTTTCTTTGCCAAGGAAAAGCTGCTGTCCCTGCCTCTTTCCATGGATCCTTCTGTTCCGAGGTGACCTCTGTGGAGGTGAAAATAAGATTCTGTACTCATAAATGTGTTAATAGTGACCGGAGTAAACAGGATGATGGCCTCCCTGTCTCACCCAGCAGACCCATTCTTGTGAGAGCCAGGGATGATGTTCCTGCACCTCCATTCAGAGACCAAGGGTGAGGGCTAACGACCACACACCTGCCTGCCCTTCCATGCACACCTTCTTCTTCTGACTCTTCTTGACTGCAAGAGTCTCCGTGGCAGCAAGCACAGAGCTCAGAGGGTTCCTGTCTTCTCGTACCACAAAAAGGAAGGTTCTCAACCTGTTTCTGACCAGGCTGTTCCTTTCTGCTTAACCTGCTCCTTGTGAAACCTAGTAATAATTATAATGGCAGTACAAGTAGCTGGCAGTTACTGATTGCTCACTGAATGTCAGATATTGGTAAGTGTACTAAGGATTACCTCATTCGTTCCCTGTAATGAGCTGTGAGATAAGCTGTGTATGACTTACCTGATTCACAGACGAGAAAGCCAAGAATGAGGTGTGCAGGATCTGCTCCTTGGCTGGTAAGAGCACTTTGGACTTGGGATTAGAACTTGTGTCTGACAGTGCTCAAGGGAAGAACGGCTAGTGGCAGGAAATGTGAACCTCAGTCACATTTCCATTAGGGTTGAGCTGGGTGATCTTCCATACTTCTAGTTCTCTCGTCAGTTCTACCTAACTAAACATTGCTGTGAACCACTACAAAACCGTGGGCAATAAAGCCTGGCTAAAATGTGACCGGAGCGCCCATGTCTGTCTGAAAGACCCTCGAGGTGATGGAGGCAGTGCCTCCGGCCTCCCTGAGGAAGGCCAGTGCAGTGCACCCCACCCGAGGACACTGATGCTCATGACTGGTGCAGGGCTGCCTCTTCTCGCCCCTCCCACTGTTCTGGCTCCTGAGGCTCTCAGGGCAGCCCCTGACTACTGAGTGCTCTGGGAGAGTCCGCTTTGCTCTCCTCCTGTTTTCACTTCCTTCTCCCTTTCCCTCACCTCTCCCCCCCCACCCCAAAATCTGAGACTTGTTGTTACACCTACTGCACTCCCCAGTCACTCATCTGGAGACTCCCAGTGGGTCCCACCCACCTCTCCTGGGACTGTGGAGTAGTTCAGTATCCCACGCTCGGTCTTGTGCAGGAGCGAGTGCTGCCCAGCTTGTGTGAGCACCCTGTGGCTCTTGTCAGGGTTTCGGCCCTCACACTTACCCAGAGCATGGCCTCAGAACATGATGAAAAGAGTGCTCACCATAGTCAGTCTTCAGGGTTAAGTGGCTCCCAGGATTCCGGAGCCTCGCCAGGAGTCAGGATGACCTCAGACCATTCCACCAGGAAGTGCTCTGGTGTGTAAGTCACCCCAGGAAAAGGCCATGGCTGGAGGGGGTTGGCGTCCCAGCCTGAACACCTGGGTCACTTCCTATTATCTCTGTGTTAGCTCCACTGTGAAACGCATCTTGTGTTAAATCCATCAACGACTCCAAATGGAAGTGATCATCTTTCAAAAAATGGAGAAAATGCAAAAATAAAAGTTGGTTAATTACTCATTCATGGTAACTTACTAAGGTAGTTTTACTGTTTTATTTGTGTTTAGCTATGAGCATATTAAGATTAAAGAATTTTAACTTATATTTTGGATAATTGGAGACTCATACGCCCAGTGTCCCCCAATGGTGCAAATTTGCATAACCATAGCACAGTGTCACCACAGGAAATTGACCCTGTACAGTCCATCGACCTGATGCAGTTTTGTGTGCACCAGTTGTGTGCGTGTTTAGTTTTGTGTGACTGTATGACATGGGCAGCCCCATGGGATCACCACCAAGATGCAGAACATTCAAGATACAGAACAAGCATCCTTCATGCTACTTTCTTATAGTATGTCCTCAACCCCTAAAAACCACTAATTTTTTCCATCTCATTTTGTAATTTTAAAAATACCGTATAGCCCTAGCCTAGTGGCTTAGATGGCTGGAGAGTCATCACATGCACCGAAAGGTTGCGAGTTCAATCCCTGGTCAGGACACATACCTGGGTAGTGGGTTTGACCCCTGGTCAGGGTGTGTACAGGTGGCAACTGATTGATGTTTCTCTCTCACAATGGTGCTCCTCTCTCTGTCTCCCTGTTTCTCTGTCTCTCTGTTAAGTCAATAAGCATATCCTCAGGGGAGGATTAAAAAACTAAATTGTATAAACAGAACTAGATAGTGTATAGTCTTCAGGGGTTGGCTTTTCACACTTAGCATAATTCTCTTAAGAATCACTCAGTTGTTGAATAAATTGCTATTTTATTCTTACTGCTTTGTATTACTCGATGGCCTTATCGTGAAGTGCGTATTTAGTATTGTAAGAATCCTCCACACTCTTCTACAGTGACCCCGGCCTTTTACGTCTCCACCAGCAATGATGCGTTTTTCAGTTTCCCCACATCATTACCAGCATTTGGGGTTATCACTAGTCTTTAACCATACATTACTGCGGTTTAATTGGCATTTCCCTAGTAGGTAATGATGTTAACGCTTTTTTGTGTGTTTATTTGCCTTATGTATATCCTCTTTGATGTCTGTTCATGTCTTTTCTAATTGAATTGTTTCCTTTTCTACTTTTGGGTTTTCAGAGCTTTTTACACGCAGTCCTTTGTAAGACATGTGACTTGCAAATACTTTCTACCATCTGTGGTTTGTCTTTTATCCTCTTGACAGGGTCTTTCACAGAACAAAAGTTTTAGCATCTTTTCTTCTTGAGAATGTGTTTTTGGTGTCAGTCTAAGAGGGCTTCACCTAGTCCTAGGTTCCAAAGTTCTGTTCTGTGTTTATTTTCTAAATGTTTAAGTGGGATGTGAGGTCTAGCTCGAGGGTTGAGTTTTTGACTTGGATGTTCTATTGCTTCAGCACTATTTGTTGAAAAGACAATCTTTTTCTACATTGAATTGTTTCTGCATCTTTGTCAGAAGTCAGATTCTATTTCTAGGTTCTCAACTATGTTCCATTGGCCTACATTTATCCTTCTACCTTGACCGCCACGGCCCCGTGACTGCAGCTATAGAATAACCCTCAACATTGGGTGAGCTATTTCTCTCACTTTGTTCTTCTTTTCCAAGTTGCTTAAGCTATTCTAGGTCCTGTGCCTTTCCTTATAAATTTAACAATAAACTTATCTCTGTATATAAAAATATTCTCTTGGATTTCTAAAGGAATTTCTTTAAATCTTCAGATTAATTTGGGGACTCTAGTAATTTGTGCTGATGAAAAATATTTAGCCTGGTAGAGACAAAGTTTTGGGGAGATTAAAGAAATACTTTTTAAGATATTTGAAGATCAGCCACGTGGAGAAAAAGCCAAATTTGGTGGGGAGGTGGTATGAGGCTCTGATTCTCTTGCTCAGTAGAGAAATTTCCTGTTATTATATTATAAGAACTCTTAATACCCAGCAAAGTCGAAATACTTGTGCAATAAGCACCTGCATACGCGTGACCTAGACTCTACAGTGAGCACTTCACTGTAGAAGCTTTACCATGCGCGTCTATCCGCTCCTCCCACCATTCTTCAGCCCGTCGAGTTTTAAACAGCTTTATTAATGTGTAACTTGTATATCATAAAATGTACTCAGTCTAAGTGCACAGTTCAACAGATTTTAATGTAATTTACACAGACTTGAACAACTGTCACCACTATCTAATTTTAGAACCTTCCCATCACCCCCAGAGACCCCTCCCGCTGGCTTGCAGCTGCTTCCCAGTCCCACCGCCAGCCCCAGGCAACCACCAGTCTGCTTGACTTCTCTACAGATTTGCCTTCGGAGATTTCACATAAATGTAATCATGCCATGTACGTTCTTTTGGGTCTGGTGTCTTTAACTCAGCAAGATGTTTTTGAGACGTTCATCTGTGGTGAAGCATGCTTCGGTACTTGGTCGCTTGTTGCTGAATGGTAATCTATTGTATGGATTAACTGTATTTTTTATCTGTCCACCAGTTGATAGACATTTGGGCTTTTTCACTTTTTGGTTACTATGGATAATGCTGTTATGAACATTCATATTGTAGTACATGGATGGATATGTTTTCATTTCCCTTGGGTAAATAAATAGAATTCTGGATCACACAGTATATTTACTTTTTGAGAAAATGAGGCATTGTTGTTTTTTTTTTAAACAACTTTATTGCGATGCTCTCCTACCATACAGTTCAGCCACATAAAGTGTACAATTTGATAGCTTTACAATTCAGTGTGCATTCACAGAGTCATGCAACCGCCACAACAATCTAATTTTAGAATTCTTCCAAAACCACCCTCTGAACGCTACACCCCTTATCCACCACCCCAGTTTCTTTGTACTCTCTCATGCTCGTGCCCAGCCCTGTGTAGCCATGAATTCACTTTCTGTCTCTACAGAGATAGGCAAAATAGCTCTGCCTGTTTTGAACACGCCATGTCAATGTCATCATAAACACGGGGTCTCTGTTGACTGGCTTCTTGTACTTAGCACACAGTCCATTTATTGGTGTTGCATCAGCACTTCACCTTCCTGGTTGCCAGATAACGTTCCATTGTGTGATGCACCACATGTTACTGGTTCACTCATACACTGATGAACATCAGTTGTCTCTACCTTTGGATTGCTGTGAACGATGCCGCCGCGATCTTGGGTGCACGACATTTCGTGTGCACAGACCTGTTTTGTTTTTCTTAGAGTGAAATTGCTGGGTGATATGGTAACTCTGTATCTGACCTTTGGAAAAACTGCCAGACCGCCTCCCAAAGTGATGCCCCTTCTTACACTTCCACAGTTAGTGTGGGAAGGCTCCAGTTTCTTCACATTCTGCTCGGATTACCTTTTTATTACCTGTACTTGTGATCGCAGCCATCCTAGCGGGTGTGGAGCAGCAGCTCACGGTAGTTTTGATATGTGCTTCCTTGGTGGGTAGTGGTATAGTGTGTGTCGGCCATTTGTACATCTCCTTTGGAAAAATGTTCAGATCCTGTGACTATTCTAAAATTGGGTAATTTGCCTTTTTATAATTGAGTCATAATTGTGTTTTACGTATTCTAGATATACTGTATCTTGCTGTGTATAATGCACACCTTTTTGCCCAAAATCTTTGAGGGAAAAGTAAGGGTAATACCTCAAATACATGAGCTGTGCATTATACACTGCAAAATACAGTGATTTCTTTATCAGATGTATGATTTGCAAATGTTTTATCCTATTTATGTTTTGTCTCTTCACTTTCTTGATGGTATCTTTTTGAAGCATCAAAAGTTTTAAATTTTGATGATGTCTGATTTCTTTCCCCTCTCTTGGTTTTGATGTCATATTTAAGAAATGATTTTCTAATCCAAGTCATGAAAGATTTATGCCTATGTTTTCTTTTAAGAGCTTAATAGTTTTAGCTCTCACATTTAGGTCTTTGATACTCTTCAAGTTAATATTTGTATATGGTGTGAGGTAGGGGTCCAGCTCCCTGTACATACTAGTTTCTTCCCAGCACCATTTATTGAAGAGATTATTCTTCCCCCCGTTGAATGGTTTTGGCATCCCTGTCAAAAACAATAGAAAAATTTTTAAACAGAACTGGTCATAGGTGGCACGGGTGCCCTGTCTGAGGCATGAAAGGTTAAATGGCAGCACTCGAGGACCTGGGGGTGTAATAGGGAGGGAAGTGGGCAGAGGTCTCTCTCTCAGTCGAAGGCTTTCCAACTCTAAGGGGTTGTGGTTTTGGTGGGATGGTGGCAGGAGTATGTGTGTGTGTGTGTGTGTGTGTAAGAGCGGAATTGAATAATGGGTTGAATTGCCTCCATCATTTCAAGCAGCCTAGCTTCATTTGTGTCTGTTTTGTTTACTGAGAATCAGTGGGGAAATTAGTTTGAAAGATTAATTTGAAAAATTAGATTTCACGAGTAAAAATCATTAGAAACTTACTGATTATTGATGAATCAGAAAACAGGGGTCCTAAGAGCACCGTTTGGTCCAGCCCCAGACACACACGAGCACGACATGGCAGAGCCCAGGCCCTGGAAGAGCCCCCGGAGCCTGGTTTGGTGTGGAGTGAGCCGCAGGCTCTGCCGTGGTTCCCTCTAACTGGGGCCTCACGAGGACTGCCCTGTGGGGTCCAAGGCTGTGGGAGATGGGGGCCGCCGTCTTCGCTGCCTCCTCTGCCACTGTTCCTGAGCCTGTGGTCTCCATCCCCAGGTCCAGCCCACAGAGGACTGCGAAGCCAGGCTGCCCTTCGGCGCGGTGGCTACATTCCCGCCTCCCATGTGCTTTGGGTTTCACAGCACATGAGTTTCTCCTAGTGAGATAATGACTCTTGGATGGCAATTACTGTTGTTGTTATTTTTAAAATTATTTTGTGTTGGGAGAATAAAAGGGGAGCAGGGGCTTCTTTATGGAGTCTCTATATTCTGGAAATTTTTATTTCCTTGAAATCTCTGGCATAAGTAGGGGTGGAGACAGTTTGGCATTGCCACTCCTTGGACTTCACAACAGATGCCTCCTGGGACCAGTCACAAGCACCCACGGGGAGCCCAGCACAGAGCTGCAGGCTGGGCTTGATGAGGGACAGCTCAGTCAGGGGGTTGCTGTCACCACCCCCTCCCCAGTTCTGCGTGTTGGCATAGGCGAGGAGTCCGTACTTTAGGGGTTAAGGTCTTGGGATATTTCAAAAGAAGCCAGAAATCCCAACTTTTATGTGAAATTTCCAAACTTCAAACAATAGCAAGAAATTTTTAAAAGTTTCAGAGTGCTCTATGGAGGACACATAGGACACAGCAGCCGCTGAGCCCGGTCAGGGCTCTGAGAACCACTGCAGGGGACTGGAGGGCGGCGTGCGGTAGGGAGCTTGCAGGAACCGCAGTCTCCTGTTTCCCCAGGTCAGCAGGCCCTGCCTTTGCAGGAGGGAAGGAGGGTTGTCCCAGTCTGTCGCTTCAGCTCTTAGCTCCACTTCCACTCATTTATTTTCCTGTAGTGGCGGTAGCTACACTAACAGTCATGGTGCTGGCCCTGGTGGGCTGTGCATCCCTCTTCTTCGTGAGTTGGCTGGTAGGGTCTAGCTGGGCTCTGTCTTTGACTGGTGATTGCTCTTTCTTGACAGGGCATGCGGGAGCTGAAAACAGTATTTCCATCAGTAGTTGGGAATCGGTGCATGTAGACGGTTGACTCTGCATTGATCTACGCTGATTTATGTAAGGGCATAGATCGTGAGATTTTGGTATCCACTAGACATCCTGGAACCAATCCCCTGTGTATACCAAGGCACAACTAGTGAAGTTTTGGGGGAATCAGAAGTTACACCCAGATTTTCAATTGTGCATAGGTCGGCACCCCTAACCCCTACATTGTTCAGGGCTTTACTGGATTCTTTGTCCACCATGAGGCCATGACAAGGATGTGGACATGTCACTGAAGAAATGGGCCATCATATAAGTCTATCACACTTATTAAAATAACCATGTATTGGGCCCTGGCCAGGTAGCGCCAAGATTGCGGGTTCGATCCCCAGTCAGGATATATAAGGGTCAGCCAGTGAATGCATAAATAAGTAGAACAACAAATTGATGCTTCTCTCTTTTCTCTGACCCTTCTCCCCAAACAATAAATAAAAATTAAAATAACCATGTGTTGGGAAGGTTTGAGAGTTCACACTACTGGGAGTCGCCACCTCTGGGGCTGACAGGGTCTACAGTGTTTATTCAATACTCAGAGCCAAGGACCATCGCTCTGCTCTCTGCTTCCACAAAAGATGGAGTAACAGGGATTAAATTTACCCTCCTACCTGAAAAAAAGTTAATGGGAAAATGAAACAAAACCAGCTTCTAAAGCATTGCTCATCGGCCATGCAGTACAGTGGCCCTTGGGAGAAGGGGGATAAGTGAGGGGAGTCCCTTCCTAGAAAAGTTTTATTGGTAAATAGCAACGTTCTTCCTGATATTTCCAAGGTCAAGCATTGTTTCC